ACGCTCGAATTTTGATCGCGGAGTGAAATGACTGAAACTTTTCCAGTACAAATTATTGTGCGGTGACGATGGGGCAACGAGAAGAAACAAATAGTTTTGCATGGTTTAGCTGTATTAAGTGGTTGTGGCAAATTGGCCAATGTTAAGACATGCTGGCCAAAGCCTGAGGTTTCTGAAATTTCCCTGACCAACTGAATTAACAATTTCACACATACGACCTGATAATGGACTCAAATCTCCTCCAACAGCCGTCAACTCCACCTATTTATTTACATGCTTTCCGCAAGTCAGGTGTAGCGTACAAAACAGCTGACAAAAGCAAATGAATTGACAGTTCGTTTACATAATATGCGAAAAAATGATGTTCTTGGAAAGCCAACATCGGTTTGTCTTTCACTTTCATAAATTAATCTACCAATACAACACGATTCATGTCTGTAAGATGTACCAAAGAATTTTAAATGTTAGAAAACAGTAAAAGAAGAGAGAAAAGAATAATTATGTACACTTAATCTTCACTATTCCCTGATTTCTTTCAAACATTTAACTTTTCCCTTAATTGAAGAGAAATTCGTTGACTTTTCCCTGACCTGTGGAAACCATGTAAAAGGTCTACGACGACAAAAAGTTGACCTTTTAAAGGGCTAAAATTTTCTCAGTGCTGTCACTTGGGTTAGCCTCAGAAGACACCAGTTACCGATGATGGGGGCAGGATAGGCTCAGTTGGTAGCACGCTGCAGAACGGGAGGTCTCAGGTTCGATTCCCATGACTGGACCAATACTCAGGGTCCAGGGTGTCAAGCGCTTTAGGGGTCCGTATATTGAAATATAGGACTGGGCGACCTAAAAAAAAGGGACAAAAACCGCCAAAACTGCAAAAATATAGGACTAATCCGATAGTAACTTACAGGCCCAACCGAAACGCTACTTATTCATTAAATATGTTGCCAAGATTATACGGCCAAGTTTCAAAGATATGTTTCAAACTTATAGTAGGTCCATCATTTACTTAAGAAATCAAACATTTATTTAAATTTTTAAATATTTCTTGAATTTTTCATGAAAAAGGCTTAAAATATAGGAAAATATAGGAATTTACTCAGTTTATAGGCCTTTATGGGAAAGGTCTGGAGAATAGGATTTTATAGGAATGCAGGACTCGCTTGACACCCTGAGGGTCTTAAAATAACCGAGGAAGAAGGCACAAACAAGCAAACGGCTGGACTTTAACATGGCTTAGACGGCCACTAAGAAATGGCGGTGATCCAGGCTATTTCCCGTCTCCAAGCAGACGTGAAACAGTGTTCCTCAGGGTTGCCACTCATCAGAAAGTTAAAAACTCCCTGACTTCTCTCTGACTTTTATTAATGAGAAACAATCGATGTTTACATTCGCTTTAGCCTTTTTTGTAGGCATGGATATTTTTCTCTTCATTTTCAACCTCTTTCCGCTTTTCGTGGATAGAGGAAGAAGGAATCTGAAAGGAAGCATTCACAACGAAAATCAATGACCACAACAGTTACATGAGTAAGGCGTAGAGTGTCAAACTGATCACTTTGCCAGGGTGTTCAGCACCATGGATGCTCAAAAAAATAGGAAAATAGGAAACTCAGGATTGAGAAAATAGGAAAAATAGAAAACTTTGTATTAAAAAATAGGAGAAAAATAGGAAGATCAATATTACTTTCGTCGACAAAGATAGACTGCCTGCACTCCATCAGGGTTGTAATAAAGGTTACGAGTCCTAAGCTTCTACGTTCGCAGCATTTAGATCAACTTTCGCGGCTTAGAAAGAGTGATCAGTATTTAAACGTTCAGTTTATTGGCTCAGATATGATACAGCGTGGTTCTATAATCAAAGGTTATCATGCATATGCAAATTCCCTTCATGTTAGGTGGCGGCAAATCTTTGAAAAGCTTCGAAGAATGAAATTTTTTAGGATAGACATTTCTTACGATTGCGTTGTTATTGAAGGATATCCAACTAGGACTAAAAAGTCCTATGGGAAGCTTTCCTTCCATTATTCTGCAATCGGTAGCTGGTTGATAATATATTTGTTTGAATCAAAAGACCGCATAGTTCTAGTAATTACGGAACCAGGCTTTCCGCGGTGTACACAAAGTGACACTGATCTGGCTATTTGGTATCAGATTGTAAGTGTGTCATAGTTAAGTTCTAAGAAGAACGTAACACTGTGCCTAGCTATGACTGCAAGACCGGTTTCGCCATCAATATATTAGATCCGCCCAGTTAACCCAATGGGATAAGCGCCGGTCTGCTGAGCGGAAGGCCGTAGGTTCAAATCACGGCTGGACCAACACTCAGGGTCTTAAAAGTAACTGAGGAGAAAGTGCTGCCTTTGTAATAACATCTGCAAACGATTAGACTTTCTGGTCTTCTCGGATAAGGACGATAAACCGTGGGCCCCTACTCACAAGCCCTTGCACATGTAATAAATCTGTGGGACATTAAAGAACCCACACACGTAGTGCCCGGTGTAGTGGTCTATCTCACTTTCACACTCATGTATGGGGGCATCATTACTCATTCCTTCATTATTTATAAACTGCACCTTAAGCAGTCTGGCAAAGTCCCCCAGCCAGTGTTGTAAGTTATCCCTGAAAAGCCCAGAGGGGAGTGGATAATAAGATATCTACAACTTACAATCCTTCGTCAGTTGCTTAGGAATAGCTGTTAACAAGGGCTCACCAAGAGAGCTAGTGCCGTATACTAACTTGAGTCTGTTCTTTACATGTAGCATCCAGAATCAGCTAGTGATTGGTTTTTTAAACAAGAAGCTGATTGAATGATTTATCTGAACTGTGTTGTGAGAGGACAACTTGATACTGTTTTCCGTTTCAAAGATGAACATAAAAGCGAGCAAGACTTCAAAATAAACTCTAACATGTACAGATGCTGAAATGCAGTTTCAGTGGGCTATTGACTCAGAGCCCATTCGGGCTCGAGGAATAATTGTTTTAATAAAATCCAACTAGTTGTGCATAGCCCACTGAAACTGAATGGGCCGAATGGGCTCTGAGTCAATAGCCCATTGGGCCTTCGGCCTCATGGGCTATTGACTCAGAGGCCATGAGGGCGAGAGGAATAATTGTTTTAATAAAATCCAACTAGTTGGTCAAAAATATCAAGAATGAAAAAATTTTAGCTAGTTAAAGCTAGACTTTAATCCTTTTTTGCCGCCAAAAAGCCGGCGCTTTTCGCTACTAGTGGGCTATAACATATAGCCTAGTAGTCAGGGGCACCCAACCGGAAATTTTGAGAAAAAGACCTAAAAACAACAACAAAGCGTGAATAAAGTTTTCTGAGACTATTTTAGGCATTTTGGGAGATTGCTGGAAAAAAATTATCTGTTCCTCACTCCCAGCAAGACTGATGGAAGAGTTCCCAGCCAGCAACCTTACAACCTGCAACCTGAATTACTGGGAAGTTTCATAGGGCACAATTCAGATCTTGAGTGGTGAGCAACCCATACAAGTAACCCGTAGCAGCTATTCTAGACTTCAAATCCCCTCTGACACCCTGAATTATCTTTTTCCCAGCAACACTTTCCTTCCAAGGACTATTATTTCTTCCACATCTCCCAGCCAGCAAAAATTTGCATGAAGAACAGATATTTTGAGGAACAGATCCATTGGGTGCCCCTGAGTAGTAGCTCAACCAATCAGAACGCAGCATTGATAATAGACCACTAGTTGGATTTTACTAATATTCAATAGTTATGAGAACTACATTGTACAACACTACATACAAACATGTAGGTGCACTAGAAAACAATACAAAAAGTAACAACATAACAAAGTTGTTAACAGAACTCAAAACGGCAATAGAGGTCATGAAAAGAACAAATGTAACTATTAGTTTTGCTAATATTAGAATATCGAAGTCAACATAATACTTGCTTTATGATAAATCTCACTCTAAAACAAATATAACTATAATTCCATATTCAACTTTGTGACAAATTTTGGCTTCACAAGCTAAAAAATAGGAAAATTAGGTTTTAGTTAAAAAAAAAATAGAAGAAAATAGGAATAAGCTCAAAAAATAAGAAAAAATAGTAACTGGACACCCTGCTTTGCTTGCTTTGCAGCATACTTTTCATCTTTCCCCACAGGTAACCCAAGCTCGAAATATAAGCATCAGCTGTTGGGTAACATTCGAAATATAAGGATTTGTATGAGGAAAAAACTTACCGCTTCTGTAACCTACGAAAATGAAAGGATTTCAATGAAGAACAGCTTACCTTACTAAAAATGTGTGTTACGTCTCTCCTATGTGGTCCACGGGCCGATTTATGGCCGTTTTATGTAAACGGTTTTCTCTCTATGTAAAGGTTTACCAAGGTTTGTAAACCTTTATATAGTTATATAGAGAGAATCCGTTTACATAAACCCATAAAACGGCCCGTGGACCACACAGGAGAGACGTAACACACATTTTGAGTAAGCTGTTTTTTATTGAGATCCTTTCTTTTTCGTAGGTTACAGAAACGATCGGTTTTTTTACCATACAAATCCTTATATTTCGAATGTTACGCAACAATGCCGATGTTCGCCGATGCTCATATTTGAGCTTGGGCTACCTGTGCTTTCCCGAAAGAAAATGCATTTTTTTAAGTCTTGAAGAGAACTTATGAACTATAAACCGGAAAAAAGAATTCCCTGACTTTTCACTGACTTTGACAATATCAAAGATTTTCCCCTGACGTTTCCCTAACCGTGGCAACCCTGGTTCCTGGTTGGTACTTGCGTGCCAAATACACTGACACTTGAATAAGAAATGTTTTTTTTACCAACGTTTATTCATTATACAGGTACAAAACCAATATTGGCAACTGGTTATATGCATTCAAAATCTACTTTCACACGGAATACACAGCTTCTAAAAACATCTGTTTTCATGCAAAAAAACATGTTACAGTACGTAAACGCTGGAATGGATGTGAAATCTAGTAGAATACAGAGTTGACCGCTACCATTTCTGACATCTGCCCTTTTTAAGCTATCAATTTGCCAGCACATCAATTTGCTTAAGATAAGTATATTTCCGTTTAAAAAGTTATTTTAGTTTTCTCTTCATTACATATACTAACCCTTCCTGTTTGAATGATGGAAGTACATTACCTTAGCACTTACTCTGGGCGATAAGTGTAAGATAACCTTTTTTTCTTTTGGAGTACGCAACATACACAATTCCCATTTTACTTCCGTTCTACTAGTTTCCTTTAACGAAGGATTAGAATGCTAAAAACGTGAAACAGAAGATTATAAGATCCTTTCTAATATTCTTACTATTTTTTCGTGTCAACGTGAGAGAAAAACGAAAGATAGCCTCTGGCAATTCAAACATCTAATGATGCTACAAAATGTCAGCTTTAAAAGCTTTTAACAGTAAATTCCGCAGCATAAAAATAACTTAATAAATGACTGATGCAGATTGTACCATAAATTACTCAAGTTCATACTGGCGATTTAAGTTGCAACAGAGATTACAAGAATTTGGGTTAAAAAATTTATCACACTGGAATTTGTTTCAATTTGCGTGATAATGAGAAAGCTAAAAAAAATTTCTGGCTCTTTATTTTACACAGTAAAGATATAAACCTAATCATATTCAAAGTGTTATTTTCCCTAGCTAGAAAGCCCACAAGCAGAAATAATTACTACTGAATGATGCAGCCTTTGGCAGTTTCTCCCTAGAAAAAAAAAAGAACAGGAATAGTTATTGCAGTTTTCCAACCACTTTGGATATTCGCATAAACAAAACAACTTTCTTTAATTTACCAGACATGTTTTGACGGTACATCCGTCATCTTCAGTGTTACATATTGTGAATCGCCGTTGAATTTAAGCCGTGCGCGATGTTAAAGTTCGTAATATTGCGTACTTAAAAGTTTAAATTAGTAACATTAAGGAAATTACAGGGAAAGTGTTGTTTATCTTTAAGGAGTTTCTCCCCGTTACCTAAAAATTGGGATTAATTAAAACCTTGATTGATGGAACCTTTGAGATAAACAACACTTGGATGGGGTTCCAAACTGATCTTCAAAAATTGTTTGTCATCCTACAGAAGAATCTCTTCCCTGAGAACCTTATCAACAAATGCTTTTCTCAGTCACAACAGAGATGGATATGCAAACTTGGTAACAATTATGTAAACCTATTGATATAAGGTCAGGCTTCACTTCTTTCAAAATCAAGAATCTTGTTAATGTGGAAAATGTTGTCCCTGAAGGGCTTCGCACACTTGCGGTGTATAAATTTTCGTGCGCAAGTTGTAATGCTTGTTTTGTTGGTGAAACCAGCCAACACTTCTCCACTCGAATACGCAAGCACTTATTTTCCTACAGGTCTTCGAACGTGTTTAGACATCTGCAGAGTTCAGGGGCTTTTCGACCATCCTGCACACCGGATTGCTTCGTGATCCTGGACTCTGCAGCTACTGAGTTTTAAGTTAAGCTTAAGGAATCCGACCAAACCCGACCTCAATCAGCAGGTGAAACACATAAACATGACTCTGTCGCTAATTCAAACTTGAAGTAAACAATATTGTTAATGCAAAGTGACGAACTTTGTAACATTGTGCGCGATTCAACGAAAATTTCACATGTAACACTGAAGACGACGGACGTACCGACGAAACATGTCTGGTAAAGAAAGTCGTTTTTTTTTTATGCGGCTATCTATATTGTTGTTGCTATCAAGACACTAGATATATATTGACAAAACAACTCAGATTTGATGAGAATGATTTTTCATCATGCCTTGCTTTTATCAAAATCTTAATTAAGGATTAACAGTCATAACGTCAGGCTGCATACACGAAATAGAAGATATCTTTCTTGGAACAAAAAGTAAACACGGCTTTCTGCAGGGTTAAAAATAGAGACCATTAAATAATTTACAGTCAACTCTGTCTTAACAGACACCTCTATATAAAATGGACACTGCGCTAAAAAGGACACCTATAGTTGTTCCCTGCCTTCCTTTGTTACTCTCTATACGATGAACATCACTCTTCGACGGACAGCTAATGCTGGTCTAAAAGATGTCCATCATAAAGAGAGCCGAAGGTATGACAAAACAAATTGCTATTGAGCTCGGACAGTCAGTGCGAAACAAGACAGGGAGCAGTTACCTCGATCTTAGCTTTAGACAGCCAATATTTCATGTCAACACACCTCACACAAAAAATTTATGTCACCATCTCCAGCGGTAAGTAATAAAGAACAGCACTTACTTCACGGCGTCCTTGCATCCTTGGGCTGTCTGTGACATCACTCCTTATTACACTAAATTCTTCAGTAACTGCAGTTGCTGCTTCCTGCAATTATTGAAACATCAAATTAACACAAACAAAAGTCTGTCAACGTGTCAAGAAAGCCAGCAAAAAACAATTTTCCTTTGTAAAACAATTTCTTAGAATAATCCAAAAATAGGGGTCAAAGTCCACTCAGTTTAAGAGGCGCGGTTCACATAGCATCACAGAGTCTTTTCACTTTCATATTCCAGTTGGTATAAAATCTTAACACAGGGATGGAAAATGCTTGCTCAGGAACCGAATAGGTTGGAGAAAAATTGTCTCTTTCAATGCTCGAACAGTAACTCCCTAAGTTAGTACTGCCAAAGCTTCCATGTTCTCTTCTAAAGTCAGTTCGGAAAACACTTATACACATTTATAGCGTTAATGATTTTTTCAAGTGAAGCTAACACATCATTACTTGTAAAATAGTTTTATTTATTTTTTCAACACAAAAATACAAACTCGACGAAAACAATTATGACACCATTGTATTTACAGTGATGTTTTAGGATACTTTATTTCGTTAAAAAGTTACAAAATAATTATGATGAAGTCTGCTGATTAGAATACTGTTATCAGAAAGTTTCCGATTTTCATTTTTACTGAACACCCTAACTTAACTATACACTGTGAAGGGTTTGAAGGTAAAATTCTGTGTGAAATGCCTCTTAAATAATTGCAATCTTGTTTACTCCATCGTAGAAATAGACTCTAACAATAGTTGTTAATTGCATTATTCACATGGCTGCAGTGGAATTGAGTAATGCAAAAAGAAGAATTGTTATGTTTAAAATGTTTGAGATGATAAGCTTCTAAACAGTTCTACAAGAAAAACAAGCAAAATCTGAATATTTAAAAGAGACACCGACTTGACGGGAAAGAAGTTCAAGTTGGAAAATGTTTTCCTCCTCATCCTCATCAGCGAAGTTACAAACACAGACACAAACCTGGCCATCAGCATCTCTTAAAACTGTGCTGGTATCTTTGCCGACACCCCAGTTTCCCTTTTGTCTGAAAAGTAGTTCTGCTGGGGGTTTATGCTGGCCGCCACCTTGGGATGCCCAGATCTATAATTTGACATTTCAGTAATTTTTAAAAACTCAATAACATAATGAAACACAGTGAAAGAAATACAGTGTATGAAGGTAATAACAGGCAATATATAAAACATTATTTATATCCAGCCAAATTTTGAAATATTCGCACAGGATTGTGGTGGGAATTTTCATAGGGGGTGTGCTGTCTTGATTGATCTCATTATCAAGCTCAGACCCTGAGCTAACTTCCCATGGGGAGTGAACAGGTCTCCTTCTCAATTTCTAGTGGGGGGGCGGGGGACTGCTTTGGAGAATATTCACTGATCATATGTCTGGTTTCAGTTTGTCATGCCAAATTCTTTAAATGTTTCAAGCTGGTTGCTAATGAAAGGATTCCTTGCACCAATTTGCTTGGCTATCAGGCTATGTCAGGATGTCAGGTCAGGGAGGTGTAGTCTTGAATTCTCTGCTTAACGCTAGCTTAAGTCTCAAGCTGCCTCGGTCATATAGTTGAGTGTCTTTTTGATAGACTTTTTTAGATAAACATTTGTTTGCTCATTAGGAGTCAAGAAGAGAGCCAATTCAAAAGGCTTATGTGTAAGAGCTGATTCCTTCAAAATATTGGCTGTTGGCTCCTTCATTTAAGTCAAGTTAAGCTAGCTGACCTACACTTCCCGAACTAGACCTTTGCCAAATAAAAAAGGTTACAGTTAAGTATATAAGGTTGGCAAAGATTTTTAGACTTAAACAACTCCATTAATGGTTTAAATATCCAACTGTACAAAATATCATGGTAAATTAAGACATGTTTTGTGCATTTTTATTTACTAATGTAGTTGGATAATAATTACTAGTACACGGCAGGCTTTTAGCATGCACATTGACGACTGGACATCCACGAGCATGTTTTTCCATAAAATTATGACAGATTTAGTGAATTGTCTTGAATTTCCTCGAAACGTAGACTTTCGAAGGACATCAACAAAACAACACTGCATGGTTATATTTTACTAGAGCCATAAATTCATGTAGTTACAGTGACTATGTTGGGGTTTAGGGTAGTTACACCTTATTTTTCCAAGTGGTTATTTATGCCCAAGTGTTGATGTAATTTCAAAAGGAGGTATGTAGTTTTAGAGAAAATTACAAAAGTAAATGCTGTATCAATGTCATAAAAATGGGTCATAAAATTAGCCACACAAAAAATTGTAGCCACACAAGGTTGCTTGCTTGTTAACAGGTTTTAAAAAACAAATAGAGAAAAACCCAATAAGAAGACTTACCGTCACATAGGAGCCACTTTTTAAGACATACTTGGGGGTGAATTTGTAAATGACTGGAGGTTCACCATTCACCGATCTTTCAACAGTCCAGCCACCAAGAGGAACATCCTGAGAAAGGCCAGTCAATATCAGGTGTTAACAGTATGACCAGCTCTACCCTTATCCAAAAAATTAATGAGGATGTTTGGAATTGGGAAGAGAGTTATTACAGTATTTGCTGAAATACATGTAAAATGTAAGACTGGTTCATGCACATGTAGATGATTATTAATTTATCCATACTTTTTCCTTCTTGCACAAGGATACAAAATTTTCTTTGAAGGTTTTCAGTGTAAACACACAGCAGTTGCTGAGCTGAGTTGCAAAAATAGGCACACACTTTGCACACTCACACACACAGAAGGGTTGAAACCACATTACCACAGATGTTTTTCAGTAGGAAGTATATATTGTCCAATTCCAAACAATATATCAAAGGACCTCAAGCCAATTTAGCAGAAAACAATAAAAATATTGATATCAAAGGACCTTAAATATATTATTAACAAAGAATGCAGATATTGCACTTAAAAACTCTAAGAAAACTTACTTTTGCACCACTATTAAACAACTTGACATATCTGCCATCAGCATTTGCCTCCTTGATTTGAATATAACCTTGGCTTGAATACTTAGTTCCTACAGTTTCTTCATCTGGGCGCAATCGCTTGACAGAACGTCTACTAGATTGAGAAGAGGCTCCAAATACTGGTGATGCTGGTGGAGTGATGTTCAACCTGAATAAACAAAAATGTTTGTTATCACAAGGAAGACAGCTAGCCTTTGGATTTTCCAGGTACTATTTTCCAGGTAATTTTCTACATGAAAATGACTCTTAAAGACAGAACCACTCATAACTTCTGGTTTCAAACAATGTTCAGAGCTTGTACTACTTGTGACAATATCAGTTTTAATTTCCAGAGACAGAGGAAGAGATCTACCAAAAATTACTGAAATGTGTGCAGTTTGGTCAAGCCGGCCAGAGACTGAGAGACACCAAACAAACAAAACAATGAACATGTAACTGAAACTGCAAAATTTGAAATTTTTGTTTCACTGTCCACCTGCATTTGTTTTAAAACTATTTTTAAGATCCTTTGCCATTTTTCAAAAGTTTTTCCTACAGAACTGAAGCAAGCTTACAAAAGAAACAAACAAGGGAAAAACAAAAGTAAAGATAAAACCTCCACTGCCACTTTTCTATTAAATTGCAGACATGCACACATTGTTACAGACTGTCAGACCTTGTCTCCTCTCCTTCAAGCATCTTCCTGTATGTTGCAATCTCTAAGTCGAGTGCTGTCTTCACTCCCATCAGGTCCTCATAATCTTTGAGGGCCTCATCAATTCTCTTTCTCAGCTCTCTGATTTGAGCATCTCGATTAGCAATGGCCTCATCAGCTCTCGCTTGGTCCCCCGCTCGTAACTTTTCTAAATCTTCAATTCTTAGAATCAGGCTTGCATTCTGAATGAATTAATGAGAAGGGTTTTTATACAATGCATATGGAATATAAGTTATAACTTACCGTTTTTTCCAAACTAAAATTTGTACCAAGTTTTAACCTTATTGTCTGATGGGAAGCAGCTGAAATGATTTTGAGTACATGTAAAATATATGTTCTGATAAACCCCACCAATATGCAAAAAAAAGAAAACTGTTTGCAAATAAATTGGATTATCATTCAAAGCAAATTTTTCTTTCTTTTCGTTGGCCAAGAGCCCACCATGTGACCTGCAAATAACTGCCTACAAAATAATAATGGTCTGCTCATGCGCAATGCTGTCCAACTGTGTTTGGCTTCAAACAATATTCTGCACATGCGTAACGGAAACTGTGCTTATCTCCTTCTTGCAATCACTCTTGCTGAAAATGGCAGATCGCTTCGCTTCCCTAGGATATTCATTAAATAGACAAACTCGGTGATCTAATGATAAAACAATTATTGAACTCAGTTATTGCAAAATATCATGATTTGCCAGTGTCTCGCATATCAATTATTTGCCTTTGCCTTCGGCTTCGGCAAATAATTGATCTGCTTGCCACAGACAAATCACAATATTTTGCTCAACCTTATCCAATAATTGTTAATTACTGTTTGTTGAAAATTCACATTATTTACTGATTTAAAAAATAAGTTCAAGGTAAGCAATAATAATTATATGAATCAATAAATCAACAAATCAAAAGGAAGAAGTCGTTTTCAAAAGATACTTTTTAGAGCCTTAAGACTATAAATAACTACATGTACATGTTATGGGTCAAATTTGATTTTCTCATTAGTTTCACTAACATTGTATTATGGAGATGAAACAAGAGGCAAATATTTTACCTTGGACTGCAACTGGCTTAAATCTGATTTGAGGTTTTCAACTGTTATGGATAGAGTTCTCTTTTCTTCTCTAATAACTGTCAGCTCCTCAACATCCTTGGCAGACATTTTCTGTAGCTCATCATACTAAATAAAAGAAACAAATAAACTCACAACAAAATAGGGCAAAGAAAAACTGCATAATGTATACTACAAAAAGCCTGTTTAGCCTGTTGCTGAAAAATGGAGATTGTGTGATACTCAAATTCAATCTGCCAAAAATTTGACCCTTTAACATGCAGCGCTTTTGATAAGAACCAAGAGCTAATGACAGAAGTTGATTACTTGCTACAATTGGTGACAAAATTAATCAAGACACTTAGCTCTATACTTAAAAAAGGGAAAATAAAGCTTTCCCTCCCCCATCCCCTCCATGCCATGTTGTGCCACTGTTCAAGCCAACTGCAGAAAACAACAAACACCCCAACTTTGAATGCAAGGGAGGAGGAGGGGTGTGGACTGTATTGTTCTCTGAAGTTACCCCATCTGAGGACTTAAGTCAGTAATGTTTTCCCCTAAATTGAAGTAACCAGAGAAAGATTCCTTTAAACCTTGTTTATAAAGTTGATTTATGTTGCCCCTCCTGTGTTAAGGTAAACTGATTATGGAATTCCTAAGCTATATCAAACAATATGAAACAGTGCGAAAACACAAAGCTTGGGGAAGTTGCTGCAAGACCAAACCGATAGCAACATAGGAGAGGTAAACCACATTTTATTTATACAACAACAACACCTCCAAAGGGAGGGAGAGAGGGAAAAGGTACAAAATTTGAGTAAACTGTTCAGTAAGCAAGGCAGCTAAGTGAATGAGGGATTTTGCCCAAAAAAATAACCTTTTTATAGCTAGACATATGTCTAAAACTAAGCCAATGGATGATGCAATAGCATTGCAAGAACACAAGCTGTGTACAACTGAACAAGAAATGAATAATTATGGAGGCATTTAAGGAATCTAGCCATACAGGACAAATGTTACAAATGTACTAGACGGTGTTGCAACATTTTGACCTTGGTACCTGTCTATACCATTGTACTACCGACGATAAAACAAAGATATTATACTATTGCACATTAATCACTTGAGTGGCTCTGCTCATAACAATTACAATCCCCCGGAGCTCTGGCACATCACGCTCCATTAACTGCGATTTACTGTTTCACTGTAAATTTTTATTATGCTGACTTTACAGCAGCTACAAGATACTATAATAAAAATTGAAGCATGATATCAGAAGTTATATTTCTTGTAAAAATACTCAAATTTCTTTTCTTCTGGCCCACCATATCACTGCAATAGCCCATAAGTTTCAGAAGTGGCTTATTTAATATTTTGAAATCCAGGGGCCATAGGCCGATATGCCTGTTTTGTCTTCTCAGTCGCTGTAGTTTGCAACTATTTTTGTCAATTTGTACTTGCCAGGGACCTAAAAATATAGTCCAGGCATTTTGTCATCGGACCTGCAACTAATTGCAAAAAAAGCTTTCTCATCATTGACCAGTTAGAAATATCCCATACATGAACATGCTAAAAGTCCCTAAAGATCCAAGCATGGGAACACCTCAAAACAGGACTCTTAACATGAGTCCCTTTTTCCCATAGCATGAAAACGAGGCTGTAAACCGGAAGTTAGTGTTTAGCTTTTGTTATTGATATAAATCGAGCCATTTCGTCAAAACCAAGAATATATTCTTAAGAAGAAATTATTTTAAGGCTTTAATCGTGAAAACATTTCCCAAAAATGTATCATTTGAATAAGTAAAATATTAAGGATTTTTAGAATCTATGTACTCCCCAGCAGTGAGATCTGATTTTGCTGAAACATTACGAGACAAAATTGCTTACGACTTGCGACAAAAAAGTCCTATATCATCACCAGAAAACCCCTCTTTAATTCAATTCTACATGTGCCTTATACAAAATTAATTTTTAAATACGCTAGTCTTCCGAATCTTAACTTTCGTAGTCTACAGTGTTCGAAAAATTTGTGCGCGAAGACCCTTTGTAGGCCAGGAACACTGTACACCATTCAGCATTCTTGCGACACTGATGCACCTCATACTGCTAGCCTACAGTCAGACTAACAGTTGCATCTGGTTAACTAAAGAAGCGATTCTGGGGCAGGCGGCAAGTCCGTTGCAACAGAAAATACTTCGTCTCAAGCCTTACTTCACGAGCATATTGTTAAAACAGTTTCTTCCTGCTTCTCAAGTTTAGCTCAAATTAATCGTGTTAAGTACGTGTTTGACAGATTGACTTTAACCACAATAATTCACCCGGGGTGAACACGTTAGTGTTTAGTAAGTTGTTTTATTGCTCTTCCGTCTGGTCCAATGCAGCGAACACTAATCTTCTCAAGCTCCAAGCGGTCCAGAACAATTGCAGCCTGGATTATCCGTGTTTCCAGAAAATTTGACCACGTTACTCCGCTTCTGAAAGAACTACATTGGCTACCTATTAAATCTCAGCTATACCTCTGTGACGCCATGCCTGCTTTTAAGAATGACTGGCTCCGCTCTTACTTACCCCTCATAAACGTTTCCAGAAGCTCCCAACTTCTGCATATACCCTTATTTAAGACCGTAAATCTGGACAAAGAACATTCTTTTACCGTATAGTAAGTCTGTGGAACAATTTAGATAATTTCCTCAAACTCTGTAACTCTGCTTGTAATTTAAAGCGTAAACTTAGAGCCGAATTATTTGCTGCTTTCCTATCTTATCGGTCTTGGTTTGTATCATAGCTATTTTATTGTATTTTCCAAAGTTTTTGTTGCAGTTGTAATCCTACTGAATATTTATTTACTTCTCAGCTTTCTTAATTTTTTCTCTTAAACATTTTATTATTGTAATTTTGTAATTTTTAGATATACCGTACTCTCAACGTAAGTGATTATCATTGTCACTGAAAAGCCCTGTCTTTAGGGAGTGTTAATTAAAGTTTGTATTGTATTACCCGCGTAAATTGAGACTGGTTGAGTCATAAGAAAAACTTTCTTTTCAGTATAGTTAGGATACCTTCAATCCCGTAATTTTCTTTTTAAAATCGAAACGTGCGAATGTGCGTATTGGAATTCCCATTGACTTTCTAATTTTCAACTTGAACCGGAACTTTGGCATTGCAGGGCGCGGGCCTAATTTATTACTTCATAAGTCAGTGAAAAATTTCCTTTGGCTTTAGCGAAAATGGTACGATTCCTAGACTTTTTTGTGACTCCCGAAAAAGGTAAGCGCGAAGCGATGAGTGAAGTACAGGTTTTTTCACCGAGGTGAATGATCAGTTCATTTTGGAAGTCTCTACTCAAGACACCCAAGTCAAATATTTTTTTTTGAATTGTATTACCTTAGGACACGATATTACTTTTACTTTCAGACCAGTTACTAGATAGCTAACAATTGTGGATATTTTCTACAGGTTTTACGTGCTCTTTTCTGTTTTAAGAATCTTACACAGAACAGTTCTTTTATTTAATCGTTACATAAATGCACTTACATAGGAAGAAAACACAATAAATTCTCCCAGTCTTTACTAGCCCATGCTGTACGGGGCTTCAAACTCGAGCAACACAACAGGCAGTACATACAACCTCATTTCCATGCTGCTCAGTATTAGTCTATATAGGGCTCTTAAAAAACTCGATTTTAATTTTCCCCTACTCGGATTTTCGGGGACTTTTGATATGTTATAGAGGACATGTTCCTGGACCAAAAACCGTTAAAAAACCTTCTTTTGCAATTAGTGGCAGGTTGACTGACTTTTCGTGATAAAATGCCTGGACTAATATCCCAAAATTTAGCCTTACATAGTTTATGAGTACAGTAATGTGGAAAGAGGCTAGGAACATGGAATCGACGGTACTGATTTGAATTTTGAATTCAAGATGGCATCTTTAAGTAATGTCGTATTTATTGATAGTCGTATAATGGATGTTGCCTTCTTTATCTTGTTGACACACAAAAATTTTTTCATCAGCCCTCTTCCTCCCCATTCCTGCCTCTTCCTTGTTCCATGGTTTGTATTATTCAGGCGGTTGATTGCCTTCACCTTCGCTGGCAATACATGTTTAATGAAAGTTTCAGTTTGTATTTGCATTGGATTTTCAGAGTTTAATAAACCGGCTATGTGGAAAATTTCACATAGCCATTTTTTCTCCATATGTTGTTTGTATTGCCTTTTGAACAGAGCCCAGTACATATTTCATTCTAAGTAAGGTTTGCCATTTTGTGGGTAGATTGAAGCATAAAATAAAATAATAATAATAATAATAAAAACAACACTTGCCACTTGGGATATTAAAGTGTACTTATGAACACACCATAAAGTATGTTTTTAAGCAGCCATACCTTTGAACTATACAGGTTGTCAGTTTCATCTCTGTATTGCTTCGCCTCAGTGTCATACAGATCTCGAAGTTCTTGCAGCTTTTCTTGTAATATTCCTTCAAATTTCGACTTGGTATCTGATTCAATTCTAATGTGCTGTGATTCCACACTTTGAAGCTGTGAGCGGATTTCAAGAATTTCCTAAACAAAGGAGAACAAGTTAAATAGAGGTAAGTAAGTAACCACATAGGACAGGGTTCAGTTGTGGTGTATGATTGTGGCCTTACAACCCAGTCGCAATGAAGAGGATAAGTAAGAAATGTTACTAAGTAGCCATAGTGGTCAAATAAGGACAAAAGACGACTGTGTCACTTAAACAGTTAATGCAGCTGTAAACGACAATTGGAGATGTAGAAAACACGAAAGAGAAACCAAAGGATCCATAAATTAAGTTCAACTAATTAATTTACTTTTAATTGAAAACAAAAGCCAATTGCTTAAGACCATAAAAAAGTGACTCTACTAGCATTAGGATAATTTAAGTTCATTCTTGTACCTTGCTATACATTTCCTTTTTGAAATTGAGTTCTTCATCTTTTGACTGCAGTTTGTTCTCTAAGTCCACTCTGCTGAGTGTTTCTTGTTCAAGAGCATATTTAGCAGACTCCAGAGCATCCTTCAGTTCTTGGCACTCTTTTTGTAAATCTTTTACGACATCCTCAAGGTTCTTAGCTTCTCGGTTCACTGCAGCCAGTTGTGCTTCCTTGTCGGACAATTTTCTTTGAGCAGCTTTTAAGGCATCATCAGTTCTTTTATGAGCTGCTACCTCCTTATCATATCTTTCAAAAGATAAAAAAAACACTATACATTAACCAGTTTTACCTCCATTACCTAAGTATTAAGTCAACAACAACAAAAATAACAAAAAGATATCCACACCAAATTTTGGAAAACAATATCATCCGACAGTATTAGGAATAACCACATTTTTATAGTAGTTTGTGACAAGTTTCCAATCCGGTCTCTGAATTCTCCTTAGCAATAGCAAGGAGTGACTGACAAAACTATGGATTTATCAACTAAGATAAGCCTATCAATAACTTTGTTTTATCTACCCAGGCCTACAAAGACATATCAGCAACCAAAGGGCGACAACTAAAATTGAGTTGTCGCCCTTTGGTTGCCTTCAGCATTATCATTAATTTAATGATAATGCTGAAGGCAGGACTGTTATCCCAAAATATGTAAAATGACTGACGTGTGTAAGAGGAGAAAGGAAGGAGAGGGAAAATGTAGAAAGGGGAACAAGGAAGAAGAAAGGGGGTAGAAAGGAATGCTTGAAATAAAGGTCTCCATTTCTTCAAACACTTGTGGCTGCCAATTTCTGATTTGTAAGTAGGATACAACATGACAGCAGTCAACAAAGGAGATGTTTAGTGAGAAATGCATCTCTAGTGAAATCTGACCAAAACATTATCTTAATTTAGGAGTTCACAATGAAGTTAAGAATCACTTGCTTGATACACAATGTCATCCAAGAGCAGCCAGCAGTGGGAAAAACCAACATTTTTCAACAAAACCTTCTTTTTTAACCAGTTTTCCACCAATAACGATGGAAAATGCTTAAAATGAGATTTACAACAACAAGCTTCTTTTCCTGTTAACTGATTAATAAGCTTCATTTTTTTTGTTGCATGTGATCAAGCAGAAATTTGTTTTTCTTTTTACTGGGAATATATGTCAACCTTATCTTCTTGCTCTCTTTCCTTGACATTTCTTTTCTATATATAGTTTTGCTACCCTTTTTATCATCTTTCCTTCTTATGGCATTATGCTTCGCTAACTTTCCAGGAAAGGGGGTCAGAACTTCATGTACCGAACACATGACATAAAACAAAAGACCTCCTTGTTTTCTGTTCAGGGAAAAATCTGCTTGGTATATTTGTTTCGTGGTTTTTGTTCTTTTGTTAGTCTTGCTTGTGTAAGCAGCAAGACTCACAATCTGCAACGCGTTTTTTACTCCAGGGGGTAGTCCCTTATATAGGCTATATAGGTATGTGCCGCACCAAAGGGTATGTTTTTTTTAGCCATTTTGGTCTGAAATAGGGTATCAATTTCGACCATTTTCGTCTGAAATCGGGTATGGCTTGTGCACTCTAGTCTTGAATTGGGTATGTTTTTTAGAGGAATTAGGTAATTCTTCATCATTTGGCGATAAGACCATTTCCCTTTTAATGTTTACGCCAACTACCGTGTACGTGCCGTGACAGCTGGTCACGCACTCCGGTCACGCCCTGGGCTCCAGGTCTGAAATAGGGTATCAAATTTTTTATCAGGTCTGAAATAGGGCAGGGAAAATCACAGTTTCAGGAAGCGTGCTGCACACCCCCTCCCAATTTTTCTGGAAGTACCCCCCGGAACTTTGGGACACAAAAGGCAGGTCATTGTACCAGGCATTCCTTGCGGAGACTGTGGAAACTGGGACTGAGAATCGTGATCGAAGCCACCCATGTTTTGCGAAGAAAACTTAGGAAAGATTAAATTTAGAGCTTTTCCGAAATGTGTCGGTCAAAGAATTCTATCGCTTGAAAGCGTTGATTACCTCGGAGCAAGTGAACACTACTGAGTGGTAGAAAAGAAATAAGAATCTTAATTAGCAAAATTGGGATGGTCAGGTGTTGTAAACTTTCACTGTACGCAAATGAGTCTTGAGCATGTGATTTATTTTCGGCAATGATTGAAATGACATTCCATGTAAAACAATTTTTCTATCTCTGGCAATGATGTAATTTCTCTGGAATCAAGGCCCTTGAATTTTCGTCTATTTATACACGCGTATAGCATTTTGGTCATTGCTAACATGCATACCAAATCAATTCAGAAACAAATAAAAAGTATTGACGTCGACAAAGTAGAAAGTAGAAAACCCTTAGTGAGTAAATCATGTTTCTTGTAGAATTAATTGCCTCCTCATTTCTCAATCTAATCTCCAAGCAGGCAAGACGTGATGCTGCTTTAAGCGTGTTCTTGTTATGCAACATCTGTGTCCCGCACGAAATAAATGCTGGAAAGGGGGAAAATTTAATCTGGAAAGAGTAGTAGATGAATGGCATTTTTCCCAAGTAGTAGGTGTGTGTGCAACTCTGTCAGGATAGGTCAGAATTTATTAATTTTTTCAACATGAGGTTCCTGTGCAAAGATCTATCCTTACTGTATTTACTGCTTACCAAGTTAAAATAGTTTACTTGAACTGAAAGCTAATTATCGGTTCAGAAATCATAATCTACATCGTTCCACGAAGAATTGTAAAGCGTTATTAACTATAGGAATTAATGTTTAACGGATAGGTGATTTACGACTAACCTTGGCGATCATGCTGGCATGTCAAACAAAGTTCACATGTCCAATAGTCTATTTTTTACACATAATAATTCTTGTTGACACTAGCAAATTCTGTTAGATTGCACAAAACTTGAAGTTATTTTATTCAATAGAGAAAGTCCATGTTCAAATAAGCGTCTGACGACAAAGCAGAGCCGAAAAAGGCGCGCCTTACACATTTTTCAACGCATCGACATCCATCCAGAGTGAGAATTTTTGAAATTGTATCTGCTTTGCACGGTATTTACAAGTATTCTTGAAATCGTCAACAAGTGTTACTGCGTTTATTGGACGGAATTATCCATCATAACACAAATTCCTTTGCAAAAAAAATAATTTCCTTGCAGAGAGCTTGAAATGTTAAAACACAAGATTGTTGTGTGAGGACAATGATTAAGCGAAGCTGGCTCACGAAACCGACATCGTCTTGATCTCTCTTATAAGCATTACAATGTTGATTACCATATTATTCATTCGTGTCTAAAGACTAAGAGCACATTAATATAAGCACCCAACCACACGTGCAATTATTGGTTCTCGAATATATTATTCATGCTCCAACAAGACCGGCCTTGATCGTGTCAAAAACTATTTATACTTTAAAGCGAAAGATTATGTGTTAAAACCGCAGCTTAAAGAAGTAATAAATTCTTAGTGGTGTGCAGTGTAGAGTTCTTGGGAGATTATTTAACCATGAAATGCCAACTACACTTATTAAGCTTACTTCTTCTTGTAGTCATCGGCCAGTGCGGCGTTCTTGCGATTCTCAATTTGCTCGCGTGCTTTCTCCTTGGCGGTTTCATCTAATAGCCTCCTTGCATCGGCCAGTTCAGATTCATACATACCTTTAACGGTTTCGACCTCTGTTTTTGTTCGCGATTTTGTCATGGTAATCTCTGCCGTTAATTTGGTGTTAGCTTCTTCCAAAGACCTCACTCGATCGATGTATACAGCGAGGCGATCGTTTAAGTGCTGAAGTTCTTCTTTCTCTTGTACTCGATTCATCTTGATTGGAGACGCTGCTCCAAGTCTCTCTGATGGTGCAGGAGTACGAGGCGAGGCCGCAGTGGTAGCCATTTTTGAAACCAAGCTAAAATCACAGCAAAACAAAGTCTGAACCACGACTCCGAGTACGGTAAGTCAAGAAAGCGCGCTCAAACCGTATCAAGTTTTGGCGCTTCTTTCGTAGCACGTGATGTAAATCGACGAATCAAAACATGCGTCCTTTCAAAACAAATAATTGATTGGTTGAGTATTATAGGCGTGATTCGAATTTGTCACGCTCAAGTGAGACGCGAATTTAGAAAATTCTTGAAACAAATAATGAAATATAAAGGTAAAGATAAGTGGGTGTAAAACAACTACATTTATCTGTGATGTAGTAAATAACCTAACAGACAGTAAATAAAGAGCTTCAAGCAGTTTGTAATTTTAGGGTTATAGCTAAACTCAACACTGAACAGTCTTTAAAACAACCCAAACCCAAACTTCAAGCCACACCCAAAGGAAAACTGGAAAATTGTAGTTTGGTGTGAAAGAACCTGGAAACGTGAACGTGCGGATGTTAAGGAAAAACATTTCAAATTTACATTCATTTTTATCGCTACAGTTCAATGACATTGTTGTAACTTTATGCATATACTAATAAACTGGCTGGATACAAATTCAAGGAAATAAAATGGTGATAATAACATAATAATAATAATAATAATAATAATAATAATAATAATAATTTAAATCTTTATACAGGAAGTCGCCATCATCCCTGGGTGGTTTTCAGATACGTTTAATCTTGCTCAACGTTTGATCAAAAAAGATCGTGATCGGTCAAAATTAATAAAAAGTATAAATTATCGTCAAAAAGACAAGTGCAAAGACACATCAAACAACGTAGTGGTAATAATAATAATAATAATAATAATAATAATAATAGTAATAATAATAATCGACTTTACTTTGGGCTGATAACTATTGAAAACTATGCCAAGATGAAGTTTGTATTCGGCGGAAATATGATTCAGTAATATGCTTGTCGCCTAATTCTTTGCTCTAAACCCTAGCCTGAATTTCAGTCGTACAGTCTACGAGACGGCCTGAAAGTGTTTTAACATTTAAAAGTGTTTCTTCAATATGCAAGTGATTCCACCTGACTTATATAAGATTGGCCTAAAAGAGAAGTTGAAAGAGAAACTCGAGCAAATGCAGGCTTGTTGTAGTGTTAAATAATTAAGTTTTTCAGTACCTTTACTTACCGTGCATTCTTTTTAATCCTGTTATTTTCCTCTTCTAAAGTTCTGACTTTCTCTATGTAGGCCGCAAAACGATCGTTAAGCCGTTTAAGTTCTTCCTTCTCTTTAGATAAATTCATCTTGCTTGGGGACGTTTTCCGCAAAAGTCGCTCTACTGACCGAGAATTCCGTGTGGAGTTTGCCGGAGCTTTTGAGGCAGGAGACATTACTATTTCAGAGAGGACACTAAACCAAAGCAATTGAAACGCACATGAGAATAATCTCTAGGTTTCTTTTGTGAACTTATAGGTCCTAATGTTCAAGCATTACAACCCACCTAAAATGTCTAAAATACCTGTCGCTCTCCGGACACTGATTCATACTTCAAACACTCCTGTTTTAATTAACTAATTAACAAGTCACTTCATAAAGGGGCAACGTAAATGTTATGGCACGTGATTCATCGTAAGTTGTCAAAAATGTTTAATCAGAGGCGACAGACGGCAAATTGTTGTCGCTTGATGATCGATAAAATTTTCTTCGGCGAGAATCGATTTGCAATTCATTCTCGAGAGCGCGTCGACTAAGCGAGCGCACTCGAGCACTTAACTCGAGCGCCCACTGTAGTTTACCAGTCCTTCTCGGTCATGATAGAGGGAGCTTAAGCAACGACGACGGAGACGGCTACGAAAACGTCATTTAAAAAGTGAATTAGCGCTGCCTAAAACTTTATCGCGCTTATTCCATCTTGTTCCATTCGTCAAATGCTGTCAATTTTTTTTGGATTTGAATTCTAAAGGACTGTATAAAAGTTCAGGAAAAGATAAATACTTGTTGTCGTGTGTTCCCGTCCTCGACAAAACGTGAAATTAGGCACTTTCACGTTGTAGTCGTGGAACGACGGCTAAGAAACGTACAAAAAGTGTGATGCAAGTGCAAAGTTGTTGTTCTGCCAATCTAACGGCCTGTTTACATAGAGGTGGAGGACTCCAGACAGGTGAGATAACACGTGGCGGGTCACCCCACCTATCATGTGAGAGATTATATGGACGGGCGGGTTACTCCACCTATAGCGGGTTACCTCACCTACCTGTGGTCCCCTACCTCCATGTAAACAGGCCCTAAACCTATTGTATTTTTACCGTTGTCGTTGCCGTCGTAGTCGTCGTTGCTTAAGCTCCCTATTGGCGGCATCGCGCATCCGGGCGCCTGCACAACAGTTGCCTGCCTGCCCTGTACCTTCCCAGGGCTCCTGACCTTCCCCTTTTCTTTCGCCCAGCCAGTAGCCACAGGATTGAAAAGTCTGACTTTCCATGATGATGCTTAGCGGGGTAGCATTCTTCGTAGACCTCTTTCGATCCGCGAAAATCTCTTTCATACCACACGGTAGTTACATCGTTTCAGGGGCATCCGAAGCTGTTCGAAGAAGCAAATATCGCCTTGAAATTTCTAAATCTCGAGGAAGGCTAAATATTTCTGGATAATCATTTTGTCTTAGATATTTGGAATTTTTATACCAACTTAACCACGATTTTCGGAGGTTGTGTTTTTCACATTTTATTACCAAGATAGTGTTATAATTAGTGTTATAAAAGGTCTTCTAAAAATTTCGATATTAATACAAAACGTCCCCTAAAATCTTCTAAAGAATGTACGGCTGATCCATGTGCTCGAACGTACGACCGCACTCATCAGGGTAGCTAACTAACAGTTTCAAATGTGACAAAAATGGTCGCCTCAAGACCCTAAAAACTTCGAGACGAAAAAAGTTCCCCTGGGACATCTCGACATGTAAATAGTTTCTAGGGCAGCTCCAACTGAGCCAAAGCAAGCTTCTAAGGGCCTTTTTATATGTGGGTGGGGGACCCCATGCAGGTAGGTGAGGTAACCCGCTTAGGTAGGGTACCCACCACATGTTACCTCACCTATATCTGGGGTCCCCACCTCCATGTAAACAGGCCCTAAGATTGCACGCATAGCCAAAACCATTTGAGACACTTCTGACGTATTTGGAAACATTCAGTCGTTGGGTGCTCCTGATAGTCTGTCTTAGTAGACTTCAAGTTTTCTTTCATTTTTTTTCGAGGAATTCAACCCCTTTGGCAAGCGGCCAATATATCCCCCGCCGCAGTTTTTATTTTCATACACGAGCTGGATCTTAAGGGAAATCAGAAGGTCCGTGAAAAGGCTAGTCCTAAGAAGTTACAAATTATGAATAACAGGTGTGAAAAGTGATATGACATCTTAAACAACACCACAAACATTACGGCAATGTTTCTACAGCTAGAACGTAAGGCTCGTAGGCTCTTTTTATGTTATAAGAAACCCGGGAAGAATTTATTGTCGAGGCTGAAAGTTTCGGGGTATTTTAAAAAATAAACTCGAGGCTGAGGCCCCGTCCACAAGCCTCCGGATATTTTTTAAAAAACGGAGATTTCTTCCTTCCGTTTTAGCCCAGTTCGTCCACAGATACACGGGGTTTTCGAAAATGGTTCCCAGGGTGAACATTTTTGAAAACGCTGGCTTCTCCTTTACGTGTGGACGGACGAAAACGGAGGTTTTTGAATACAGAGGAACCGTGTTAATAAGGTCATCAATGAGTAAAAAAAAGGCCGTTTTACGGGGACAGGGTCAAATTTCATGACTTAACAGCCGTAAAAACCTGAACCACCCTCTTTCCCAGAAACAACCGGAGATATCGTGTGAAGTAATTGTAAAAACTACCTGAAACTTTCCTTTAGTACATAAAACACTTTAAAATATCGGCTATTAAACCGCCACAAATGGATTTTAAGTGTACTGTAGTCTAAAAACAATATAAGATCATCGAAATAGGGGTGAAGTTATATAAGATTCTCCTGTCAGGGGCGTAGCCAGCTTTTCAACAAGTTGTAGGCCTGCCCGATTTTCATTTCCACATATCCTGAAAATTGCACGTATAATTTATTACAAGCAGTAGAGTGATCAAACCAAAAAAATTGTAGGTCTAAGGGCTGGCTACGCCACTGACTGTTTGGGATTCTAAAATGTGGCCGTTGGCCGTATTAACGGATGACGGCATTTACGTGGTTTTTTTTTATATGAAAATGTATGACCGTGTAGCCGGGCCGAAAAAAAGTGGCCGTAATAACGAAATGACGCGGCCAGATTACCGAGGTGGCCGTAAGGTGGGGTTCCACTGTACGATGGTTTCATACCCATCATATACTACTATCATATACTACTATGCATGTATCGAATGCGATAATCGCACTTTCATCGTTTCAACGTTTTCATGAGGAAGTGATAAAACAATTCAAATGCGCTACGCGTGGACGCATATTTTTTAGAAAACGGAGAACAAAAAATCCGTTTTCAGAAACTATCCGCAATGGATAGTTGTGGTCAGGGTCTGAGATAATTTTTACGTGTTGAACATTTGTAATTAAACTGTATACTGACAATTCTTCCTTTCCCAAAACGGCAAAATAAAAAACCAATGAAACGATAAAAACCTGGACTAGGCAAAAACGCTCGAAGCTAATAACAGTTCGATGAAAGGTACATGGTATACAACACAATCTAAGATTATTCAGAGGAATATCTGCAACCTAAAATCATCAAAAAATAAGAATGTTAAACGTGATGAGCAGTAAAAACAGTATTCTGAAAAATGAAGTGTATAGCAAAAGTCTACATCTCAGCAAACATTCATGTCTATTGTTTATTGTTGCAATTAAACATATTTTGTTGTGTAGAAAACTCAATCGTACCTGGTGGATATCTTTAAATACTGTTTCTTTATTTTAAAATCGATGGTTCCTCTCATTCAAAGGAAAAAAAAAAACGCGGACACACGGTCGAATATCAAGTTCGTTGTCTTTTTTTTCATTACGAGACAATATCCTTGCATTAATGAAGTAATCGAATTTCCGCTTTCCTTGCCTGTTTCCTTTTTTAAATAACATAACAGCATCCAGCGTTCGTCTTGGATTGTTCACTGACTGTTTTTGATCTTTGATTTCCAATTTCTGCAGGAGAATTAACTCTCATAACGGAGGCCGCGGAGATGTTGGTCGAGAGAGACAGCATGAGAGAGGGTTCTTGGAGTTGCCACTTGGTACTTGGTTGATTTTCTTTTGTGTTTAACTTAGAAAACTAATTTCTTAGCTGATATAGTTCCTGAAAATAAGGAAAAGAAAACACTGTTCAAGGTATGAAGGGCAATAGCAACAAGAAATGAACATTAAAAAAAACAAATCGACTGAAGAAAGGCGGTCAAAAGGACTGAAGAAGGTACTGCGATCTCCTGCGCGAAAGGAGTAGCTGTCATTTTGGAATTCTCAAAAGTCAAAGATTACGCGCAAGCAAGCTAAAAAGATGGAGGCCTCCTTTCATCTATAACCCCCAGGCCAACCGCACCTGAGTTGGCTCGCAGGCCAGAATGGACTTACACAACACCACTTAGGTTTGAATTGTAATTCTTGTAGGGACAGCCCTACTTACTCCTGACTGGTGCCAGACCATGCACTACCATTTCATTAAATGGCAGCGGCTTGGACTGACAGCCTTTCTAATGACACAACTAAATAGGCGAAGCTTCGACTTTATTCAGGAACTTTCACACACTGAGTGACTTTTTCCGGCCACTTGATATCCAGTATAGAACTTCTTTAAATGCTTGACGTCGCGACGGTATTTGCCACATAGTGTAGACCTCGCTTCAGTTGGCATATCACTACGAGGCAGTAAAACTTTGCTGCTATACTGAACTTAATCAAGCCTGGGTGATTTACCCTGAGAGAACAGTCGACATTTTGCGACGAGAGGAACGAGATCAGAAATTCCATACTGATGAGGTGTCACCATCCAAATGTGGGTGGTGATACGTCAACAAAATGGAATTTCTGCAGTCATTCGTCAGTCGCCAAATGTCGCCTTCTTTCCCAGGCTAGGGCTGATTTAGGATTTTAATTCGGGGTTTCCCCCTTACAATCAATACTATAGTTCTACAAAAGACAACGTATTACCTGAATCAGGAAAAGAATCGATTATTTTTCTTTTTAGCGAGTTTTCTTCTTGTTTCTTACTCTCAGCAGCACCTGGTAATTTAGGGCGTGGTAGCAAATGACCAGGGGTGGGTACTGGCTTGTTAGAACAGTAAGGCATCTTGAGAGCCTAAAAAAGGTACAGGGAATTAACCAGCATTTCAAAGAAAATCAAGTTTCTTACATTTACAAAAAATGAGCAAATCAGAACTACAGGAGAGTAAATTGTTGATCACGTGTGGCTTAGAAAAGAATTTTCTTCACCTAAAAAATCATAATTGCAACATTATTGCAAACTGCAATAGAAACCGCACACTTTGCTTTCATGAACGCTCCTCTCCTCTGTAATTAAATACACAGGCAGGCAAAAGACACAAGAAGCAGTGGTTCATGGTAAGACGGAGCTGAGGAAAAGCTGGAATAGGCTTTACTGAAACTGATTTTGCCCTTCGCTTGTTCATGTGTTTTGCCTGACCATTTAAAAAGAGATGCCAGCTAGAGGCTGTCTCAGAACTTGCACTATAAATGGTGTCATATAAGAAATAAATTTATGCAGACAATACTCAAAATGTAGTTAACAACAACGACAAAGATATCAGGAACAAGAAGCTTTGGTAAAGCCTAGACTCAGGAGAGGAATGCTGAATGCTTGCATTCTACTGATATAATTTTCCACCATTTTGGGTATTTCTCTTTCCATACTGGTAAACCTTTACCTGAGAGGCATTAACTCGGCCCAGAGGGTTACAATCCAGTAATCTGTCCAGCAGATCCAAAAGATCATCACCAGCAGCCGAGAAAATGTCCTTAAGAGGGATCCCTGGGAATTTTTTAAACTCAACGTAGTCTGGTAAGGATGTTACACCCTAGACAGTAGACATAAAACAAATGTTTTATATCATGAAATTAATTTGGGAACAGAGTATTAATTATGGGCTGGACGGCAGGTTTGGTAGCAGTAAAAAACCTACTGGTACTTCATTTAAGTTTTATTTGTATTTATTGTAAAGATGCTATTGAAGCAGAAGCATCTGAGCCGTACAAAGGATCAGCCATTAGGAAGGTGCAGGCAGTACCTTCATTTCTAAGTTATTTTCATCCATTCACTCCTGAACTGCCCATCACTGCCAGTGCTATCCCTTGTACAGCTTGTAATGCCTCAGTTTTAACGGCCATTTAACTTGTGCAAAGGAAGAGGTCTTTCAAATCATGCTTGAATGAGCATGATTTAATCAAGAAATTATACTGGAGAAAAGACAAAAAACTTTGTTAAGTTGACCCAAAAATTCCAATGAAATCTTGTTCCACTGCCCACCTACTGTACCTACACTTCCTTCCATCTAACCCTAAAAGCTTTCTTTCTCATAAAGTGAAGGGAAACCTCAAAAGCAACTCATCCTTTTGAAGAAGACAATGAATAGAGGACCATATGATAGCCTCAGAGACATTCTCATTTAATGGACGCACACGCCGACAAACTTACAGAGGGAGATTGAAATCATGTTCATTTATCAAAAGGTTTAAGCGTCAAGGTAAAGTGAAGAAAAACCTTAAAAGAAACTGGTCGTACAAAACTGTAGCACTGGATTTTTTCGGCCTGTATTTTAAGATTAAATATTGGGCTAATACCTTCAAACAAGAATAATAGTTTTCATTACAAGTCTGTTTCCGAGATTTTGTTTTGAATTAATGACCCACCCTCCCCCAAAATAAGAGGGTATGGGAAATATGGGGGGAGGCAACAAGCCTGAACTTCAGAAGCTGATATTTTTTGTCTAGAACAGAAGGCTACAAAGTGCTCAAACTATAATATGGTGCTTTGGGCACTTCTGGCTCTACAGCCTGAGGCTGCAAATGGAGAAAATGGCTTGACTAGCTACAACGAAATTGGCCCCAGGAGGACCTCAGGAGGGAATGGGTTAACTAATTAAAGACATTAAGTATTGGTTGGGCCCCCAGGTTTCCAAGCTGCAATGTCCAGTGCTGCAGTAGAGTGCCCCTCCCACTGAGTAAACCATGAGCTGGTTCAAGATATATTCAGTTGGTTGAGCTAAAAACATTGGTATGTTGGGATAGAGCGATTTTCGTATGACCTTGAAATGAAAACTCACAAACAAAACAAAAACAACAAATGAATGGAATTAGAGTGATTTGATTGGTTTATCAAACGGATACAAACGTCGGTGGCGTTTGGTTGGTTTAAGAGAACACTTGGGAGAATAAATCTCATGCCCGAGAACTTTGTAGGAATTAATTAATCGATACTTGGCTTTGACGTCATACTGCAACACGATTGGCCAATTGAACAATGCCTTCTCCATATTAGGGTTTTCTTTGGCAGGAAAATGAAGAGTCCATGTTTTGATCTTTTCATCTATTGGCTAATAAAACAAATAACAAACACTTACCAAAACCATTTTTGAAGGTCACTCGAAAATCGCTCTAATGTACTTGCTATTATGTTATTTGACATTATGATTACTCACTGGCCAAGAGTCTTCTGATGGTGTTCCAAGGGTCTCAAATATTTTACTCAGTTGATCTAAATCAGAGCTCCCAGGCAAGAATGGAACCTTCAATGAAAGCAAGTACCAAAACATTTAAGTCTGGATGCACATAAAAAATATAATAATAGAACTAAGAATTGCTTCTCTTTTTTCGTTGTAATTTCAGTTCTCCACACAGGTAAATGAAGATCTAAGATAAACATCCATATTCTACTCTCTATATGGAAGGAAGGTCGCTGTTTGGAAAAAGAGTCTCTTGAAAGTAAAACTTACAGTTAGAAAACAGAAAGTGAATCTGGAGTGTTCTGAGGTATGTAGTTTAGAGATAACTAAACCAGCCACATTTGCTACACTGTAACTAGTTTTAAAATTATCACATAGCTGCCGCAACACTTTGAAATGATGTTACGAAGTGCATTGGGTTACAGGTTGCAGTGTAGACACATTGATCACCAACCCTTAGAAGAAGTTCAGCCAGTATACAGCCAACAGCCCACATATCAACACCTGTACCATAGATCCTTGCTCCAAATAACAATTCTGGTGATCGGTACCACCTATATCATCATCACAAAGTCATAAGTTACATAAAAATTTTGAGCTATACATATTTCAGTTAGGGCTTACTTAAACTAGCGAATGGCACAAATGCCAAGACAGGGGTAGAGCATGAGATTTTGAAGGTGTACACACTGGAAGAAAAGTTAAAGCACAGATGGTGCTCTAAACAAGGAGGTTTGGGGGTATATTCCCCCAGAAAAGTTTCAAATTTACAGTCTCTGAAATGCTATTTCCTGCATTTCTGCAAGGCATTTTCAGGAAATAAACATAAGGAAAATGCTTCAGGGGTAGGGAGGGGTACATTTTTGTTTCTCACCACACTATTTAAAGTTTCCTAGTGACCATACATTAAACTTTATAGAATAATAAAAGAATAAAGGAAACAATAGCACAAAGACACCAATATAATGCCAAAAAGTTATCACTCATCCCGATTGAATAATAAAAATGCTTTAATCCAGGAAATGAAATATATATATTTTTCTGCACTTCAGCTGTACGGACAGGCGTATGTGGGTATATGGACGCTAGAGTAAAAATTTGGTGAAGGAAACAAACCCTGAAGGACACAAATGGTCATTGTTAAGCATTAGTTTATAAACCGTTAAACAGGTGACAACATATTTTTTATTTAGTGTGAGATTATGTATATTGCACGCATGAAACTTAATAGAATCTCCCATTTTCCCCCCTTTACATTTTCAAGATATCAGAACATATTTTCACCTTGTGACCACCTGATGTGTATAGACCTTGGTTGGACTTCCAAATGATCTTGCAAGTCCAAAATCACCTATTTTCAGCACACCTTTGTCATCAATCAGCAAGTTGTTTGGTTTTAAATCCTAAACAAGTAAAGAACAAACTTTTACAAATGTAAGCATTCAATTTGTAGGCTGTAAATGACTTGAATTCCAAGAAAAAAAAATCATTAATTTTAGTGTCACTGTCGACACTAAGTTATGCACACCTCTCTTGAGCAATTTATGTTAAGTTCTTGCCTGGTCTCAATAAGATAACTTACCCTGTGAAGAATCCAGTTCATGTGCAGATATTCCAGGCCTTGCAGTGTCATGATAATGTAGCTCTTGATGTTTGCAGGAGTCAGAACAATACTTGTGTCTTTAATGACAACCTAATGTCAATATATAGTGTAAGAGACAAATTATTAGTAAAAATAAGAATTGAAATTGATGATGGATTAAAAGGCATTTGATATTTTAATAAGTTAACTGTACAGGATAAATATTAAAGAGATACCTCAAGATCTGTCTCCAAAAAATCAAACACAAGACTGATGTTTGATTTATGACCAAATACATCTAGAAGCTAAAAGAAGAAAAGTAGAAATGAAAACAGTAAATTTGAAGGGGATAATTGCGGAGCATCAGTACGTAGTGCTATACATGGAAATCAAATGCTTACCCCAATGATGTTGGGATGCTTGAGTTCCTGTAGAAGCTTGATTTCACGTAATGCAGTTCTATTGATCCCTACATAAAAGTCACACAGTTTCATTCAATATAAGAATGCTCTCTGTTTTTCACAAATACTCAACTGAGTGCAATAAATAATGTTATACCAAAGACCACTGATGTGAGATCCGCCATAATATTTGCATATAAAAAAAACACTGTTTTAACTGGAGTCTTAAAAATACAATATCTACTTTACACTGAGAATAACCCTGTTAAAATGCAGTCATGATTAATTTGGAAGTCCTATCCTGCATGATTAATTTGATTTCAAGTCTTCTCCTTTAAGTAAAAGGAGCTAGGATCTAGCATTACTGTGGCCTGAAAAATGTAGTTTTCTAAGGCTAAGCTCTTTTAAATGTCTGAGATTTTATTTATTCCTGAAATAAACAATTATTAGGATAGAGACTTGGTGACCACTACTGGTCTAAACTAATACCACGTAGTGAAACCACACTTTATGGACACCTGTTTTATGTGGAAAACTCATTATTACAGACAGTTTTCTTTGTCCCTGAGGAAAGAAAGCTCTTACAATTTCTCTAAATTCAACCCACTGAATACGGACACCCCTTCAATACCTCTTTTACAAGTGAATGAAACTTCAAATATTTTCTCTCCAACTGCAAAAGGCAAACTAATAAATCACCCACTTGAAAAAAGCACAAAGCAGAAATTACAGAAAAAATACCCCTTATGGGTGGGGGTACGCCTTTATATGTGCTGCCCAAAGGGTATGTTGTTTTTGTGCCATTTCGGTATGAAAAGGGGTATAGCCTTTGCCCATTTTGTCTGGAATCAGGTTTGGTTTAATGGAGGGAGTTACAGGAGCATATAAACATATTTGTCATTTCAGTTCCAAAGGAATAAAAAAAGAGTAAAAAACAAATTTAAAATTGCTTTTAAGGAATATTTTTGTTGGTGCTCTAATCCAAGTAATGACGACAAAATTTTTGCCTATGAAAACATGTATGTTGCATTTTATGACCTCCTCCAGGCAGGGCTTCTGATATTTCGCGCCGTCGCGGACCCGCGAAATTCAGGTATTTCCGCGAAATCCCGCAAAATTCCCAAAAAAACACGAAATACCGCGAAATCCGCCAGAAATATTTCCAAATACATGTCGGCGAAACATATTTAATACTTATCTTGGCTATTAGACCTGTTTTATTCACCCCAAACGTCCAAATTTATCTTGAAACTTTGTCACTGCGCGCAACGAGTAAACAACGCCTCAAAACTACAAGGCGTTCTTAGATGAACGTTGCGAAAAACTGGGCACTAACCATAATGTTAACAGCTTTAGCATTCGCTGATTTCTCGAGCGAACTGTTGTTGAAAGAGCAAATGATTATCCCGTTAAACAGTGCTGGTCATATCGACGCAACATTGATCGATTTTAGCGAAATTTGCCAAAAAAATCCAGCGAAATCGGCTGTTTTTTACTGATTGTTTCTTGGCGAAGTTTCCCCCCCAAAATTTCCCGTGAAATCGGCCGATTTTTTTAAGAATTTGCCCCGAAAATCCTTCGAAATTTGACTTTTTTCCACTGAAATCCCGCGAAATCGGCCGATTTTCTGCGAATTTTGACTTTTCTCCCGCGAAATCGGCCGATTTGTGAGCGAATTTTGACTTTTTTCCCGCGAAAATCTCGCGAAATCGGCCGATTTTTCTGCGAATTTGCCCCTGAAAATCCCGCGAAATTTTGTGTTTTTTTCCGCGAAATATCAGAAGCCCTGTCCAGGTCTGAAAAGAGGTATGGATTTTAAAGGTCAGGTATGAAACGAGGGCATGTAAACAACATTTTTTGGTCTGAAACATGGTCAGGACTTGAAGAACAGGGGACACACACAAAAAACTCACTTCACTTGGTGTAAATGGGTATATTTTAACCTAAAGTGAATAAACTGAGTCCAAGTTAACAGTGGTCTACTGATGGAACAATTACTACTCAATTTATCATGTTAAAAACCTAACCATCCTTTGCTTCACTCCTCTGCCCAAGTTTGATCTGAAAAAAAGAACACAAATGATAAAAATTAATCATAATAATAATAATAATAATTAGTTAGGGTGCTAAGGACTCCAGTTTTTAGGTTTTTTTTCCATCAGAAATCCAGAAACACAAGTTTGCTGATGTTTTTACTAAGATTTTTTAGAGTATTAGAGTTTGATATTATTCTAAATAGGCTTTTACTAGAGATAACCATATTATGATGGCCTTGTTTAGGTATATAAGAGGTAATGAGAGCATAAAAACTGAATAATTTTCTAAACAGGCTTCCAGTAGAGATACTTATCTCATCAAGTCTTTGCGTAGGTTTTACAGAGTATAAGAATCAGTTTAATAATATTCTAAATTGGGTTTTTAAGTAGAGAGATTCATACTTAATGAAGATGATATGGTAAACTGCTAGCAGTCCCTCAGGATAATTTTGTCCCATGGGTGAGCATGTTATGTGTGAGCGAGCCAGGCAAATGCATGAGCGAGAAGAGAAAAAGAGGAGGAGGGACTGCATTCTCTTTTTACTAATGCATTCAAATTCTCTGCAGCCCCAGTGTGGGAAAACTGGATGGCTTCATAAGCAATGAAATGCTGTCAACACACTGAGAAATATGCAAGTTTGACCAGTTCTTCTTACTGACTCATGAACTTTAGAAATATGATCAAAATAATGTAACAGAAATCTGCTATCTCCAAGATTAGAATACAAACCAGCCTAGCAACCGAGTAGCGTCGACAGTTTGAAGAAAATTAATAATGATAAAGAAAGGAGAAGAATGTTATGTATCTGCTCAACTTGCTGGTCAGATTTTAAAGGACGAATAGCAGCTGGTGATTAAAGCTCTTGCGTCCATAAATCTCTTGTGTCTCTTGTGCTTTGGCTGTGTTGTGCCCATAATTTACTTAAAGGCTGATCATGGCAGCCCCTCTACAAATTATTTCAGAATAACACTTCAACCTGGTAAACCTACTGTGTGGCATGAAATTTTTGCAGAAGTATATTTTTGCGGATTGGTGATCTTTTGTGTTTTGCAGGAACTAATTTTTGCGATTAGAACAGACTGGTTTTTCTTGCTGGGAATTAATTCTTGCGATTCTCAGAACGTAACCAGTGCCCAGCATTGATAATATAATTTTTTGTTTTTGTTAAGAACGTGCAATAGAAAGATTATTTTTAAACAATACTACGGTATTCGTATGCTATGTTATTTAACAGACACAATTTCTTAGTACTATATTTTTTTGTAGCAAATTTAAGTTAGAGAAAATTTACACTGGAGTAAATTTTTGTGGGAAAAATGTTTGCGGTAATATTTATTTGCGGGAACTTATTTTTGCGGATCACTGGAAAAATCACAAAACTTGCAAAAATTAGAACCCGTGAAAGTTTCATGCCGCTCGGTATACTTGTCAGGTGAGTTAGAATGTATACTAGTGTCCAGCCTCCCTGCTAGGGCTCAGTTATATCATAAAATGAGTGTAGGGGGGGGGGGGGAACAGTATTGTTGTAACAAATATATACTCTAACAGAAACGTGAACTCCTTTTGGTATTACTTTAGAGATTTAAAAATGATCATCTACTACTTGGCTTTAGAGATTTTTAAGAAACTGATGAACAGCAGTAAGATTTTTAATAAAGGCTTCTGTGTTCATATCATTCTGATCCTAAACTAAAACATGTACACAAGACTTTCTATACAACTAGGAAGCAACCTGTTAGGCATCATAAATATTATTCTCGTCGATATTAGGTTTTTAAATTTGTTCAACAAGTAACAAGTAATATATACACTTTGTAATAGAAAGAAGCTGGGAGTAGAAAAAAAGGAGATAGAAATTCACCTTTTTCACTGCAACAATCGTGTGAGTTTCCTGGTCTTCGGCTTTGTATACTGTGGCAAACTATCCAACAAAATGATCAGTATTAGAATACTCAGCTGTTGAATTAAGCACACAACCTTACGTACTGTCTTTATACCTGTCCTTCACCCAAGAAGTCAATCTTCTTGTACCGCTTTGAACGTCCCTCCATTTTGTTTTCATGATTAATGGCAGTGTTAGGACTGGGTTCTAATAATAAATTAGCGCAGCGTCCCTCGCGCGCAGCCGAGCCCAAAGCGGAGCCCCATACCTTAATAAATGGAAACCTATCGATGCCAGAAAATTTGGTTATGACGTCAGCGTACGCCCGACCGACCGCTCGCCCGTACAGACTCTGGGAGTAGGGGTGAAAAACTTAGTAGGGTAGGGAAGGGAGTCCCAGACATGTACATTGGGTTTCGTTTCTAACAGCGCCAAATTATCTATTATAGGGGCAACCAAGCAATGGAGTTGCTCTTGCTCCAATAAACATCTAGATTGAAGTGTCTTGTGCTCGATTTAGAACAAAATTTTCAAAACTGAAATTTCTAAAGCTTTGCTTTGTCACGCTTTTGGTTACACTCCAGGAACAACATACAACCCTTGCGCTTTCTTACCCACTGAACGCCTATCCCGCGGGATTTGGTACCGCTAAGGCCCCTCCCCTTGCCCCACGTTTAGTCGGGATCAGAAATGATCCAGCTGGACTTCAACAGTGTTTTTTTGGGGGAAATGGTAGTATTTGTAGTTGCCAGTGCTTTCAAGAGCGTTATCTTGAAACTGGACGTGGTAAAGTCCATTTTTCGCAACATTTTTGTCCAAGATAGCAGACAGACAAAATTTTGACAGGTGAATTCACGAATGAAAACTCATGCAACATCTAATATATAGAGTTAGCTAGTGCTAAAAGCGAAGCTCTTTTTAATATTTATAATTTACTCAAACAAAATATCAAATCGTGTAATGCTAAGCGGCGACGGCAACGAAAACGGTAAAATATCAGTAGGTCTAATTAGCAAAAAACAACTTGGCACGTGCAGCACACTTTTTTGGTACATTTCTTTGCCGTTGTTTTGCACGACTACAACATGAAACTTCCAGAAACTTCCTAGCGACACGTTTTATAAGTATGTACTAAGTGTGCCTCACTCACTATTTTTTCACTGCCGCTCATTTTCACCTTGGTGGCCGCTAGCATTTCTCTTTTCCTCTCCGCCGCTATAAAATTTTCATGTTTTTCTTCCAACGAAATTGGTCTCTTTTGTTTCTTATCTCTCGCTCTAGCTCTTTCTCCATTATCCAGATCAATGTAGATATAAAAATTTAGTCTTTCGACTAAATTTTTATGCCTTTTTTGTTGTGGTTGTTTCTTTTTTCTCTAAATGTTCTGGTGGCCATGTGATTTACAAAAGGGAAAGGAAACAAATATTACTTCGAGTTAGCGGGAGGTTCGAGTCAGTGCTGTCGAGTTATCAGCGAGGGTTCGAGTTAACGAGGGTAAAATTACAGTCAATGTGTAAAGGAAATCGACTTTCGTTCGAGTTAGCGCGAGGTTCGAGTTATTGGTGTCAACTCAGTGTATCAGTTTTCAAAACATACTTCGATGACTGATACCCCAAGATCAGTGGAAACTGTTGCCTAGACGCTTGCGTTATCGGAAAACGTTCATGTGTTCTACGTCTACATGAGAAACAAATAGGCTCGGTTAGAGGGGTGACCCGGCTTTTTCGTTGGTAGAGTCACCTTCTTAGCCAAGCCAACTTTTCTCCATATTATAAACACTTTGCCTCGCCCAGCCGGTCAACTCGGTCAAGGCGAGACAATCAGAGCAGTCACGAGCACTGTTGGCTCGGTCAAAATGGTCAACTTTGTGACTTGGCTGGGAGGGTGACCCTCTTCATCGAGACAATTTTTCTACAAATCAACGGAGCTTTAGTTTGCTGAAATTGTAAAACAAACGTAGGCAGCTAAATGAGAAAAAAAAACTCTCTCTCACACACCGACTGTCACATAGGGGCTAGTTGTACTGAAATCAAGTAAAAAACAGCCACTTTATTTCTTTTCGTACTTCGAGTGTAAAAGGTTAAAACACGATTTCATCGAGCTTTAAACCAGCAATTTACTTGATACTTGTTCAACTGACTTTCATTGACCTCAACAACGAAATCAATCTCAAGTAGCTGTGAAAATATATTTATCTCCTGTAGCAATACGTGACTTGATGAGACCACTGCCGTAACTTGCTGGCATAAAACTGTGTCCATAAATGGTTGATCTCATGGAGATTCAAGATGACGTTATTCCTCGACTTAACATTTGCTAAATTTCATTCGCTTTCTTATTTTTCGCCCCTCGACACTGCTGTGAAGTTCCCCCTCTGCAAAACAGCCTGATGTTCAAAACATTTTTGTCTTCCTTCGATCTTGCAGTGATCGTCAGCTAACCTGACCTTATCGACTTCGAGAGAAAACTCCACAACCCTACGTGGTTCCCTGAATGATATTCCGTATTCTGTCTGAGTCTCTCCGTAGGTCCGCGTTTTGGGGGTCAAGTTTTAGAGCTGACTCGTAGTCTTCAAGAGCTGTAAAGATATACAAAGGATATTGACACATGCAAATAAACTGATCATCGAAAATGACTGTATGTGACCGGGTGTATCGTGGGTCCCTGAGAGGAAGGTCTACTGTTTCACTGTTAATTTTAGTACACGATGAGTGGGCTAAAGTTGTTGGATAATCACGATCTTGTCTGATGCAAGTGTTCAGCGGAAAGATCTGAGTGTGTAATACTGCGTGGATATTACATGGCCGAGCGGAGATACGAAATTTCTCTTTTTGTGTTAAAAAAATACTTCGTATCTCCGCACGGCCATATAATACTTATCCTGTACTTATTTACAATGAAAGTGTCATATACACAAGAAGGCCGGATAGGAAATACGCTCATTTTTAACATCTGGAACAAACTGTAAACTCGACAATCACTGCACTGCTTGTTTGAACGTTTCCGCAGGCAAAAGTGTTTTCTCATTTTGTCAAAAAATATATTTTTTAGCTAATTACCTAACACATATTCCTCCATCTGCATGAACGCCGTCCCTCTTCTAACATAAGCTTTACACCTGGATGAAGAGTTAGCTTGAACTGGAGGGACCAGGAGCTCTAATGCCTGAAAAAAGTTTATAATAACGATGATGATTCAAATTGAAGTCGTCATAGGCGTACGGGCCGGGGGGCGAGGGGGGCTGCAGCCACCCCAAATTTTTGGGCAACTCAGAATTTTTGGGCAGCAAGAGAAAATTTGGGCAAAGCCAGCTTTTAAAGACGTTTCCATGTTTTTTACTAGTGTTTTGAAGAGATAAATATTTTCTATTTTAACCTGAAGTCGGCGTAATAATCCAGTTACATTCACACGAGACAGTGGTTGCCAAGCACGAGATGAGTTTCTGGTTATAAGGGAAGGGTATCATATGCTGATTTTTTTTTTATCGTTAGGCGCTTCACTGCAATGGGCTATTTCCAATCGTGAATTGATTACAATAAACTTCCGCCTAACTTCATTTCTAGAATCATCTCTGCTCGCAGAACAGAGTGTGGCAGATAGCATCAGCAATGGGTCTGAAAGTGAAGAAGTGGCTGACTAATTCACAGTTTAATACGAGAAGAATCTTAATTTTTTTAAAAAACCTATCAAGCGTTTTAAATTATTCACTAATTTGTTAAAGTAGACCGAAATTTTTACAAAACCGCTAACAAGAGCGCCATGATACATACTAATCAAATCCTTCTTTGTAGCAATTGACCAGAATTAACTCTGAAATAATTCACACACGTTTTTAAAAAGACTGGAACTACTATAAGGTGAAATTGCATGTCAAAAGCGCTTCGTTTTCTACAGATAACGGCTAAACATCAAAATTTTCCTTTTTTTTACTGTATTTCTGACGATAAAAACTTTATCCCAAAATATCCCGATAACGCTCTTACAGATTCCGTTTTAACTTCACGAATATCAAGGCGACTATTGGAGGAAAAAGCTCCCGAGAATGATTTCCCAGTGAGAAATAATGCTACAAGTATAATAGGTAATGGCGTCAGTTCGTTGCTTTGACAACTCCGATGTCATTGCAACCCAGATCACGACATATTTTCATCTTTATCTAATACAACTGTGGTGGCAATGTTTCCAAATGTTTATTTATGGCGACGTAGTTTATGCTCAAACTTAGTAGGTATTGACCCTGAAAAACTGTATCGAGCCACTTTCATATGCCAGTACGGCCTATGTTGTTGCATCGTATAGCCCTCGTTTCTTTTCGACTGTTTTGTAAAAATTTGGGCAACTTGCAAGAATTTTTTGGGCAAATGGTCTACCGCCCCCCCTGGCCGAAAATTGTCCGTACGCCTATGGAAGTCGTAAGAATACAGAAACCACAAGAATGGCCGTTATTGATTATCACAAACAGGAGATGGAATCTTACACTAGTGCAATCTTGTGCACATTCTTTGTATTGTTTTAACTGAAGATGACAAGCCGCCCTGTTTGAGTATAATCTGAGTGAAATTAAGAAAAACACTTCACAGGCAAAAAAACACATTCAGTATCATTTTATAGGGGATGTTACATGGCCGCGCAGAAATTTCTCTTCGAGAGTTGAAAAATATTTCAAAAGTGAGCACAGCGAACGAGTCAGACAGTTTTCAACAAGAGAAAGAAAATTTCATTTGCCCAAGCGGCCATGTAATGTTCTATTTATTACGATAATGATTATGATGATTATGACGACGGCGATGATGATAGTGATGATGAAAGGTAAAGAAAGCGCTCATGGGGCCACAGGCCTACAAGGCTGGAGCCCTTAACCCAGTTTCTGCAGCATGGGGTACCTGGGAGTACATAATTATTACCGCTGTTTCTCCCCTGAAGAGATTCTAGACAATCACAGGATCACCATCCCCAGCTGTACGTCACTGAGACAGCCCATTATAAGTCTGTTCTTGTCCAAGGAGACAATGCAAGGCTTGGTAAGGAAAGGCTTGAACCTGGACCTGCAGATCCAAAGTGGTTTTTTTTATTGCTCAAACAGGGTACTGCTTCGGCATTTTCTCAACAGTGTAATATAAAGGCTTGTACTCAAAGGATACGATGGAATTGAACCATCCAACACAATGGCTGCGGTAAATGCATTGATGGCAGCCACATAATTTCCAACCTTGTAAAATCCACTGTAAAAATTAAATCAGTAAGAAAACTGTATGTATCAGTATTCTTTTACGTAGCTGCAATACAGTGGAAGCTCTTGTGAGAGTACACCCTCGGGACCCTCGGGACGGGAAAAAGGTGTCCGTAACTGGAGCTGGCCGCTTACGGGAATGTAAAAATACAGAGTTTGTTTGGGAGTTGAGGAAAACAGGGGTTTCTAAAGGTAGCTTAAAGGTGGCCGTAAGCAGAGTGTCTGTTAGGAGAGCTTCCACTGTATACACTGTACTAGCCTGCGATCATGCCCTCTCCCTTTGTCTCTATAATCTGTTTTCGAGCCAAAGGAGCAAAGAAGCAAAAAATAATAATAATAATAACGCCTGATCTTAGGTTAACACTGTACAGGAGATTTCTACTCGGTAGAGATGCCATGAGCTTTTCAAAAATGTCCAGGATATTTTCATTATAGTCCAAGCATCACAAGCATATTAAGGTCAAGATGATGGTTGGATATTGGTCAATTTCAAAAAAGACAAAAAAGGATCATACTAACCCCAGTTTATTGAATAAACAACCTTTTCCTAAAAAAGGATTTGTGACATGGCCAAAAGAAAAATTGTTCCTGTTCGAATGAAGTTGGTAATTCCAAGGGTTTGTTTACCTTCCCTGCTTGGAAAGTCAATCAGAACACAGAATTCCTTTCATATATCTGGCTTGCAGGACCAGGCTAGGCGTCCCCTTATGGGAGGTGTTAAGTATGGTAAGCGAACAATGTAGGTGGTGAAATTGCAGTGCCAACCGCTTGCTGTTCATTTTCGGGTGCACATTATGGGGGGTTGTTGTTTAGTGGAGGATTGACTGTATAACCACCATTCTTTTTTAGTGTCTCTTATATATTTTTATGAGAGGGTAAGCTTACATTCCTTTGTCTTTTAGCCATATTGGATTCATTTCTTCCATATCAATAGCATCACTGTTTGTGTAATCCGTTTTGCGACCTGCACTTGCCATTTTTTTAAGCCACTGTTAAAAGCAAAGATATATTTCAGAGCTTTGTAAAACTTACTTAAAGCAAATATTGTTGAGAATAATACAAAAGTAGGAGGATGAGCCTACCCTACATGTCTTCTGATTAAGTCAGAAACATACATGTACGCTATGTTAAAAAACAAAATTGGAATCTTTTCACATCAATATGATCAACAGAAGTGGTTGGCAAAGAGCCTGAAAAAATAGTTCTAACTTTTTAACTCTTTCACTGCCAAAGGTGGCCAAGGTCAAAATTCAGCAAAATTGGTAAATTTCATTTTGTAAAATGTTGAAAAACAAACACCATGTGAAAGCACAGGCAACCCAGGCTCTGTGACAGTACAAATCCTGTAAAATTGTAGTGTTTGTATGGGGTGAATTTACATGTATGATCCTAAAATTTGTAGAAATACTTAAAATAAAAGCCAATGAAACTTACTTTGCAGTTAGTTTTTGTTGTCTTTGATGCTCACACGAAGTTTTGTGATAATATGGTCAGATTCTCCCTTCATTGCCTCACAAGTGGATTTTGTCCACAGACTCAAAAGACAAGATATAACCTTGATTACGAGCTCCATAACTCACTCTGGCAGTGGGTTAATCATTATCACAAATGGTAGGATCATGGACAAGACTTATTAATTTTTTCAAGCTCCCTTTCACCCAGTTGAGTTTACGACGTACGTGAATGCAAAGAGAGTTTTGAGTATCTAAAAAATTGGCTTATAGATGCTTAAAGCAACATCTAGTGAGTGAGCCCAGTAGACTGTCAATGACGACGACATATCAGAAGACATATCAGTTATCACTGTCAAGAGTTATCAACGTAAAATATGGTTGCTTTACCTTTTTACCTTCGTTAGTTTTACTGTCAACTTAAGTAAACTGATCTAAGGTTGTGGCAAGTTGTTCTTTACGAGATTACCAATTACTATTGCTCTTAATTTGTTTATTAGAATGTTATTATTGTCAGCATTGGTTGAAGAAGTTGTAAACCTACCTCTTCCTCCTCTGGTGCTTTAGATTCCCTGGCTGCTGTTTTGAAAACTCTTGGTGTAAAGGATACTGAAATAGAACCACCTGATCTGGGTTCTGGAACTGGTTTGTCAAACATCTCTTTCTTCTTGCCTAAAATGATGATGTCCATCAACTATTAATAGGGAGCCTCAACAACAACAGTGTTCTGGTAGTGCAAGTATGCGAAAAATAAACAAAAAAGCATGACACACATGCAAAGTTTTGTTTTGCTAAATAAAATTCCAAACCTATTAGTTTTTTACTGTTCTTATTGTCGTCACTGCCAATAACTGCATGCTGTCAGCCATATCTAAGTCTAGTCATTTTTTAACTTTCAGTGGAAAGTGCTGTTCCTTACACTGCACTGGACTGAATTCACCCACTGAAGGACACTGTACCTCAAAAGAAATCTTCCGGAGTTGCATAAAATAATGTGGTCAACTTTGAATGAGGATTGCACTAACAATATTATGAAGTAAGTCAAACTATTATTGTTGTTTATGCAACAGAAACTGTAAGTGTTGTAAAAAAAGGTTTTTTGGTGGAAACAAAAGTACACAAATTTACAGGACCTATATATATAGGGCCTGCATGTTAGTGAGGTTTACCACTGAGATTTTAAGTAAGAGGAGAAAGAAAAGGTTTTCTGCTTAATTTATACTACTGGTATCTTATAATGTGCTACGTTACCCACTTACTGATTTACGTTTTAAACTCATGTTTAAAAATGATGGGAAAATCAAGGTGTGTAAAATAATGATTACATACTTTATTTCAACACAAATTAAGTCAACAGACAGAAATGAAGTTGTGATTGGTGCAGAGCTTAAAGTGCAAAAATCTTGAGTTTGCCCAGCATGGTAGGTTTGCCTGTACCCCTTGATTAGACTCTTCATAAAATTTCAGCATGTATATGAAAGCTACTAATCTCAGGTTAGTATGTTAGGTACAGAGTTCACAGTGCAAAAACTGTGAATTTTCCCAGCAAAGCAGTTTTGTAGGGTGCAGAACAAGTGTGCTGTCAGCTGTAATGTGTTGTTGGGCAAACTGGCTGTTTTTTGCATCACATGACTAGAGGGGCTTACATGACATGTTAATCCCATTGTGGGTCAGCATAATTTTACTGTATTATTTAGGAAACATTTTAAAAAATACGTTATTTTAACAGAAAAAACTGACGAGTATTGGTTCGAAACCGCATGTGATGTGAGTGAAATATATTTGTACCATAAATTTTTGCCTATATTACTTAATTTTATATTATTTCAGACATTAAAAAAATCATCTATTTTATGATGGCTCCCGATTGATCTCCAAATTGAATTTAAGATACTTATCGTTACCTACTCTCCATGGACTGGCTCCTGCTTACAACTGTATATTAAAAATCTTCTTCATAGTTACATCCCTGCACAGGATCTTAGGTCTTCAAAGAAGAATCTACTTGCTGTACCAGCTTTTAACATCAATAGTCATGGCCATCATGCTTTTTCTGTTGCTGCACCACTTCTTTGGAACAGTCTTCCTCAGCATATTAGAGATGCTGGATCATGGGACATTTTTAAAAGACAGCTGAAAACTGTTCTTTTTAGATGCGCCCTTTTAATATTATTAATGATGTGACTGTGGTCTTTTATATCTTATATTATTTTTTTTCCTTGTGGTTTTTAAATTTTAAACTTTGATTGCACTTTTTAAATTTTAACTGCATAAAGCACCTTTTGGACCCTTGGGAAAGGGCGCTTTATAAATATTATTAATGTCTTATTATTATTATTATCTGCAGTTTCAACGGTGAAATGGTCACCGTCAATCGACCACCTACTAAATGTTTTCAAATTTTTTGAGTCATATTTTTTTTTCTTGGCACTGGAAGCAGTAACAATCGCTGTTATCAACACTGTCAATAGCCTGAGAAAACAGCCAACATTTGGAGACACTACCACCAGTTTCCCTGCCAAATGACCTCTGAGAAACGAGAGCAGAAATTCGATGTGTCACTACCCAGATCTGAGTAGTGCTTCTGATTGGTTGTGCTGTGGAGAAAACTTGATTTGACCAATCAGAAGCCCTACCCAGACCTGGGTAGTGACACATCATCAGTATGAAATTTCTGCGCTTGTTTCACAGAAGTTATTTGGCAGGGAAACCAGTGGTAGCGTCACCAAATGTCAGCTGTTTTCTCAAGCTATACTGCCAAACATCTTTCATGCATGTGTTACTCTTCTTTAAGTACAACTACGGTTCTATGCAAAATGCCTGTAAGTGCACCTGTAACAGATTAATAATAGGTGTCTTAGTTCAGGTTTTATGTAAAGGATCCCAGGAGAAAGAAGATAATGACAAGAGGGAAAACAAAAAAAAAAGGATCATGTTTTAATAAATGATTTAAATGCACATTCTGGATCTTAATAAAATATTTGAAAACATACCAGTTGTCCTTTTGTTATTATGGGATGGTTGCACTTTTACAGCGGGCTTATAGCTTGTCATCATCTGAGTTTCACCATCACTTTCAACAACTTTTGTCTCCTTAATATCAGGTTTCTCATCTTTGAATTCCAGTTCACTGTCCTTGTTATCATCCATAACTAAATGAACTTCTTTTGAAGTTTCTATTTCTTGAGTAACATGCAATTTTTGATTCTCTTTCCATCTTTCAATTGCCTCTGTTGCTTTCTTACGTTCCTCTTCCTTTATGGCATCAATTTTGGCCCTTTCTTCCTGTTCTATCTGGCAATTAACAATAACATATACATTAAAAGAAATTATAACCTGCAAATATACAAAATACAATAATGGAGGTGTATTTGTACTGAAATATTCACTACAAGTAGATTTTGCTATTTCAGAAAAATCTCATCTGCAGCTTGTTAAGCTGGTCAAAAAAAGAGAGAAAAAAAGAAAAACTCTGTTTTCAACTCTAACTCTGCATGCACCTCTGAATCTTCTCACCTTGCTTTCCCTTCCAGTACAAACATACAGCTTTTTGGGTGTGAGTACATTATTTTATGGAAAGTGAAGGACAAATTCTTGAACTTGATTTGAATGTATTTTGAAATTTTTGGAACTTATTTGAATGTATTTTGAATTTTGTATTTTTGAATATTTATGTTTATAATTTATTTGAATGTATTGAAAGTGAAGGATATGTATTTTTTCAACAGAATGTCCAGGAGGCAAGAGTCTCAGTGAAATTAATTTTGTTAGTTTCTTGGTGTTGCGGACAGCTAGGTGCGATCACCGAAGGACATTACAAAAGACGGAATTTAAGACACCAAACAATACCCACACCCAGAACAATTTAAACCAACAATAGTTTCCACAACACTAAGAAACGCCCTTAATTTGCCAGTTGAAATAACCTGACTTTTTACAATTGTATCTCTGTTGAGTTTGTTGTAATCGCATTTGAGCAAGGGAAGATTCTTTTACAGGTATTATAATTCCAAAGGTCACTGTTTTATCAAAGGCTTAGTATTCCAAACAGTTTTCCCTAGATCTAAGAAAGCACATCAAAAGTAATATCAAGGCAAGGAAACAGTTAATTTCTGTTAAATAAATTCATCTGTAGCACACTGAAGTGTACTCTGAAAGGCCTGCGGAATGTGACCTGGAAAAAAGTCTGTTGCATTTTGAGTATGTTTGCAAAGACTTGTTCATCCTCTACAAGTAATGCCAGCAAGCAGTTCCTGCGGCAACGTGTTAGTGGTTTTCCTCTTCTCATTTGTTTGCATCGCATCCATCTTGTCTGTTGTTTCGTATCGTCAAACCATGAATTGTAAAGGCCAATTTAGACAGTACAATTGTTGCTTATGACTATTGGCATGACTAGCATACGCCACAACTTTCCACCACCCACACATGCACAATTTTCACTTACGACATCCACACGTGTCGTATGGATGTTGTGGGTCTAATTTACAAGACATGATCTGACATGAAGTTGTGGCATATGCTAGTCGTGCATGATAGTCATAAGCAAAAATGGTACCATCTAAATTGGCCTTAATAGAGCTCCAAAGCAGTGGTCCCTCACACAGAATGAAACCATTACTACATTCAAAGCTTGGAGACAGAATCTGCAATATTCCCTTTCTCTCAATGCTAATTTTGCCCCATTTTTAGCTGACAGTTTTACCTGGCTGAAAAAGTCATCCACTGCTCCCAACAGAGGACTTGAGCCTGATGGTGAAGGTATTCCTACCACTCACCGATGAACTGCCCTTCAGAAAAACTTATACCTTGAACTCATGTTGGGCCAGATAGCTAAGTTTTGCTCCGATAGCTAAGTTTTGCTCCACTACGGCTTCCAGTCTACTGGTGCACACTTCCTAGATTTCTCCAACATCAAATTAGAGTTAAAGAACACCCCTAAGATTTGTTTCAGGATTTAATGTCCTTCACTGAAGATAACTTACTTGTTGCCAACAGCCCCATAACTCACCATGGTGCAAACATTACTTCTGACTCCCACCCTTGAAAATATGGTTGTTTTAACTTGGTTAAAACTCATACACATTGACATTCCCGCACTCATAAAACAGCACTGAATTAAGATCCAAGATTATGGCTTCCCTGAAGCCTAAAATTTCCCAGGTTTTTGATTCTATTCTCAAGGAAATTCGCAATACCACCCACACCACAGTGTTGAGGTTCAGACAGCCACTGCCTCACCCTTCGCATGAGTATTCTCCACAGCCATGGGCTCTTACCAAGCGACCAAAGTCCTGCCCACTTTGCCAACAGGCCAGTTGCAATGACCAACCCTTCCTCAGCTCTTACCCTTATTTACCTCCTGAGGATCATACTTATCTGTCTCGGTCTCACTTTATGTCTACTCTTGACAACAAAGATCCTGACTACATGGATTATTCACCTCCTCTCTTCACAGATGAAGATGAGCACCCATCATGTTGGTCTCACGTCACGACCATCAGCACTAAACAGTCACCTCTTTTCAAAGCCTTCTATAGGCATTAACTAACACAGCTCACCCTCAAAACAGGTATAGAGACTAGCATGATCTAGTCTTCTCTAGCCTGTTCCATCGGCGCACCAAACACTAAGTCTTCCCAGCAAGCTTTCAAGCCAATGGTCTGACTCCTGTAGCTGTCATTGGTGAGACTTGCCTTATCTTATCTTGCACTGACAAACAACATGCTCTTGACGCCCTTGTTGTCGATGGCTTAGATGTAGACGTCCTTGCAGGCACACCCATTCTTATCGCCAATGACATCTCTGTTTGCCCTGCTAAGTGCCAAGTGTGTATACATTCAAGACTCCGAGGTCATCCGGTGATTATGTAGAGCTGGACGTCCCCCCTTACTCTTCAACCACACACAGACACCCCAATACCCAAACATACCAAACCTACTTCCACCTGGCCTGAGCCCCAAATCCTGGAAGCTGTCCCCACCAAAAAGAACCTAAACTCATTGGTCACCACAAACACCTCAGTAAGATCCTACCTACAGAAGAGACATCATCCCCTTCCCCCGACCCGTCTCTCCCCAGTGTGTGACAGCCGGTAAAACCCAAGAATTCCCTCCCCTTTTCAACTAGCATGTGAACTGAACCTGACAACATCCTGCCTGAAGATCTCCGCATCAGGTTGTGACAGCTACTGCAGACCTACATATGATAGTGTCCTCAATCTGAACATAACTGGTTACAATGGAGCTGCTGGACCTATTGAAGCATCAGCTATCTCTGTTGATGACATCACAAGTAGTACTTATCATCGCTTCACGAAGGAGTCGAAGATGAAGAATAATATTAATATTTTTCTGTTATTGTTTAAAACCCTGCTATACATTGTATGTAACCCTTGCATTATTTACCTTCATCTGCTCTCTTAGTGCAACTTTCTCCTGTTCCCGTTTTTCTGCGGCTTTTTGTTCCTTTTCTTTCTTGGCTCTGTCATGTGCTTTATTGATAGCTTCTTCTCTTCTTCTTTTCATGAAATCTTTGTCCTCAGACTCTGGAGCTAGTAGGTGATTCCACTGAACTGGACTCCTTTTTACAAGATGAAATGTTATAATCCCATTGCCAAATGTTGCCTTACTCTTGGTGTCTTCTACTTCATCATAAAGGAAGGCTTCAAATAAATATGGAGGATAGCTAACCTGTAGAATATTAGCAAACAATGTTCTTAGCGCATACAAAACACAAAGTCCCATGAGTCTGGAATCCTCTGACAAGAATATTCAAAATCTCTTGGACAAGGGAATTTTGCATACCATTCCTCTATAAAATTATGGGTGTGGATTTTAACCACAAACTCTCTTTCACTGTATAAAAACCTAGCTTTTTAGCTTTTCATTTCACAGTAGGGCTACTTATGTTCACCTTTTGGTATTATGGCTATAAAATTATGAGCTAAGTTGGATGCATTAGGCATTATTATCAACATAATTGATAACATTATTTTGATAGCAATCGATAAAAGCTGATTAACTGGATTAATAGTCAATAAAAGTTGGTAGGGGAAAATAGTGAGACCAACCAATAACAATATTATCAATTTTGGATCATCTTCACTGAATTTTATCAGCGTTATTGATTTTATCAATGCTGAGATTTTTTAACATGTTTCAGAGTTGGGAAACATCAGCAAAGAACAGCTTCAGTTACGCTTATACTTTATTACTACTTCCATAAATGCTTTGACAACATCATTACGTTAATCATCTAAAAAGATAAATTTGTAGTAACAATAACTTATTACCTTTTTAAAGGAAACACCAAAAATTTTAATGACCAGGTGAAATTTTCGAATGGAAAGGGTAGTAAACAGTTAAAAATAAGTGAAGGAAATGCAACATGACCAACTGATTCTCACTTGCACTAGAGACTGTTCACATTGAACACCACTGACACAGTCTACAGTTGTACTTTGTTATTTTGAGTAATGAGGCTTTAATTTTCAACAAAATCTTCAGGGGCAAAAAGGGGAAAATCACTTTTTCACAAAATTCATCAGGGGTAACCCATATTCTTTGGGGGTAGACCCTATATTTTAAGGAAGTCTTGAGGGGTGAATGCAATTTTATGGAATCCTTCAAGGGTGAGGAGAAAAGATATATAAGTCCTCAACCAGGGGTTACAGATATAAATACATCGGTCAAATCTGTCTATGCCCAGCCCCCCGCCCCCAACCCTAAGCCTAACCACTTCACGTCCTTGATAGATGACTCTTCTTGTGTTTCCAGTAAAATCCTTCATGTTTCGTTATATTAGGATAGGAAACCACGCGTGTCAAAAGCTGGGTTGCCCTGGGGTAGGCAACTAGGCCACACAAAATTTGTTAATGCCCCACCCCCCGGACTGACAAGGTAGGCAAATGCCCCGCGTGGGGGTGGGGGGGAGGTCCCAGTTGGATTTGACTGGTACATAACAGCAATAGGCCAATAACATTTGCCACTAGGGGCTGCACTTCAGAAAATATTTCCGATGTGCACGGTTGTGCGAGTTTCACAGTAAACTGACACACGAACTAATGCTTAGTTCCGTTAAACAGTCGAAATCATATACTGTATTGTATGCGTTGCTATTTGTTGTTAAAGATATCTTTAAGGAGTGTTTTACATTAAACCACTGGTTAATTAACATACCTTGATATAGTCATCAACAGAAAATATATCCACTCTTTTAATTGGTACTCCTTTCAAAGGAACAGTTATCAAAACCGTTTCATCTGTTTCTTCCCAAACAAAATCCTTCACCTGAATCGGCATCTTACTGTTTTTCCTCACCTTTTCTCACGTGCAGAAAATCAACTAGGCGCGTTTCCATGTAGTTTTCAGACCTCCTCGTCTCATTTTTGATTTGTCATGTATGCATCACGAACAGTGGACAGATTAAAAAATTGCTCTATTAAAACTAAAAAGGAACATGAATGAATGGGTCAAAACTTTGTGAAGTAATTGGACGTAGGGGGACTCACAGTGAAACAAAAAAATTGTGGTGAACTTAAATTTCGTATTAAACGCAAGATGTTCCTATTAAACTGTCTTATGCCCAGTACTGGACAGACTGTGTATCATACATGACCACCTGACAAAATTTCGCGCCAAAGAAAAAACATGACGGACAAAGCAGCTCGTGGTGTTGGTGTGGGAGTCGGCGTGTTTGTTACCTCTCCTGACCATCCTAATTGTATTATACTAGGCCAGCGGAAAGGATCACACGGAAGTGGGCTGTATGCCCTGCCTGGTGGGCATTTGGAGTTTAGGTATGACGCAAAAATAAAAATAAAACAAACAACAATTTACTAAAGCTTTTTTAAAAATATATATTTATTAAGACACATACTGGCCGGCCCCTCCAGGTCACTGGCTGCTTTTTAAAACAAAATTTTTACCATCTATTGACATTTTATTACTTGGTGCTTTTCGGGGTTATATGCTTCTGAGTATACACATAAATTGAAGCATCAACCAGCCTGCGAAACACGCACCTCGTCACCAGGGATGTTTCACCATGAGGAATGTCTGGACGTCATACCCAGCAACAGAAATTCCATAATGATGACGTATATCAATGTTTACATAATAAATCCAGTAAAATAATGTAGTCTGCTAGACAGCCATTTTTCGTGACGTCACGCAACGCTTCTCCTACACAGCTGTTTTTAGTGTCGTCACGCAACGCTCCTGGGAGGAGCGTCATGTGACAACACTAAAAATGGCTGTGTAGCAGACTAGTGGTCATGGGGTTCCAAATGTAAATTTGTTCTATTTTATGTTTCTCCTGGGCAATTATAACCTGAGATCAGGCTCTATTTTCGTTTCGCTTTGAAAAGTACATTCTGGCGAGCAAGGCGAAATGACAATTTTTAGCGGTAGCCATTAGGGAGAGTGTATGAGAACTGCTAAAATTGGGCCTGATCTCAGGTTAGGGCAATAATATTATGGTTAAGTTTTGTGTTCTTCTGTGAATGAGCTCCAGCAAAAACTCAAATGCTTCTTTTAAAGAGGGAATATATATTCCACAAATATTAACAGTTTTGTAGTGAATTCGTTGGGTTTACAATAACAACTGCTCATGAAGGGGAAGTTGGGTGCCTGAGATGTCCAGGAGCTCTATGGATGGTAAATCCTGGCAACCTAGCCATTAGCCCCCATGCACAAGGGAAGAAAACAGGCACCCATCACACTGAGAAAGTCAGTGGAAATAGGGAAGAGAGGTAGGAGGGAAATGCTGTAAATTGAGTCACCATGATTCTGACACAACAAAGCTGAGTAAATGCTGACTAAAAACTGCCCAAACATGATAAAAACACCAGAACACTAAAAAAATTACAAGTGAGAAGAAAAATGCTCTGGAAACTGCTAAAAACTGGCCAAACATGCCATAATGCCAGAATGCAAAAAAATGCATTAGAACATGCTACAACGCACACAACCACAAGAGCACGTGGGATACTGGGGCAAGCACATCTCACAACACTGCTGGCCAGCAAGATAAGACTAGCACTTCTAATGTTGCATTTAACTGCATACCTTAGTCACCATTTGTCTTTTGTCTGTCATTTGTAAACAATAGCTAAAACAATATAACAACTACGTCAACCAGTCACAGCTCGTGACCAGATTCCAGACAGATTTAACGTCATCTGTATGGAATCTCGGGTGCTGAGGAGCAGACATCTCTCCTGGCTAAACATCCCTGGAGGCGTAGAGTGCGGAGAGATGGCCTTTTCTACAAGCCAAGCTTCAACATTCCCCCAGACAGCCCCATTAATGCTCAAATAGCCCCTTCACCAAGCCAAAAAGCCATTCAAATGCCCCATCCTAGGTTCATTTTGAAATCCAAGCTTCAATATTCACCCAGGCAGCCCCAATAAAGTTCAGATAGCCCCTTCTCTGAGCCTAAAAGCTGTTCAAATGCCCCATCCTAGATCCACTATACCCCACCCCCAGGAAAATCCTGTGAGCCTTGTTATAAGGTGTTATGAGGTAAGGTGCCTGGCTTGCACGTAATACCTCAAGTGAAGTATTTCAAGTACTTTCATATGCACATGGATGAAAGAAGGACATCAGAAACACCTTTGGTTGTTGAACGCAAATAAAGCAAAATAAAAGAAAAAAAAAATTGGCATTAATAAATTATTAAATCACTAAAACTGTACCTTTTCATCTCTTGGGAATGAGCTTATTATTTTGTTTTATTTTGTTGTTAACAGCGAACAGTGGCATGAATGTGCCATAAGAGAAACATTAGAAGAAACTGGACTGAAAATCAAGAACGTTTCCTTTGCAACTGCCGTTAATGCAATTGTTGTGGAGCAAGATTACCACTATATCACAATATTTATGAAAGGCGAGATTGATATGAGCCATGCTAGAGAACCAGAAAACCTAGAACCAGATAAGTGTGAAGGTAATTTAAGGTTAAGATTTTGATTCATAACACGTTAACAACACTACAGAGCTTGGCTACAAGACATTGTCACGCATTCATTTCAAGTTCTGCCTGAAGAGACATAGGTTACTCTTAAAGAGATTTTTATGTACAACAGAGTTAGATCAGTAAAACTGTGGCCTAAGGTTTTTTATTGCAGGGCTGTCCTCTAGCAGAGCCCGCTGGCCCCTGGCGCCCAACTTTTGCCCTCGGGCAAGTAAAAAATTTAGTTTTGGATACAAATCAAATGCTGGGCTCCTTTGTAGAATACAACAACAAGAATCTAGTCTTGACTTCAAAAACCTGCATTTGTGAAGCAGAAGTAGGTCATTATTTTTTACAGTTTATTATTTATAGTCAATCTATTTAGCCTTGATTACAAGTTTGAAGTCAAATAATAATTTATTAGAATACAATCTGCCCTTTGACCCTTACATCCCAAGAGTGACAAACATAAATTTTCTCCTGACCATATCAGTACATAATCAATAGAAAAGGTTATGAGAAGCAACATTTCCTGAAAATTATATTACTAATTTAATAGGTTGGGAATGGTATGACTGGAATTCACAGACCTTTCCAAGCCAATTGTTTGAACCTCTCAGAGTTGCAAGATTACAGGGATACCAGCCTTTTGAAAGCACAGGACATGGACACCACAATTCTAAATTGTTCAGTGTGTTTTAGCTGAACATTGTCAACATCTTTGCAAAAGAAAGTGATTGAATCAGATATTATTTTTACAGATAATCAACAATAATCATAGGGCAGTATAACTTAAACCATTTATTTACTTGTGGATTTGTAGAGAAGGATTACCATTTTGAAGGCGATCAATTAAACTTTCTTTTCACACTCCATTCACAGTTTCATAATCTGCACTTGGCTTTCACAACTTATGGGAAAGTCCAGCCATAAATAAATAATGGTAATAGGACTGAGTGGAGTCTAATTCAGTCTAGCATAAAGCACTTCAATTTCTCTTATAATCTGTGTCATAAACAAAGAGTGTTGCTTCTTTTTCTTGGAAAAGATATGTAAAAGCAATATAAAACTTCTTCTGTGTTTGCATAGCCTGTTATTAACACTCAAGGAGTTGGGAGAATTCTTGAAAGTTGTGCAAACCCTCAAAAGGGTGGAATGATCGTCTCATCTTCTCCCAATACCCTCTTCTATTTATATCAGGTTATGCAAACGTAGAAAATGTTTCCTTATTCTTACATATAAGAAATGGTTTTAACAATCATAGACCTATATAATGTTGTAAACAAAACTAATATTCAGTTAAATTATTCTTTATAACATGGCTAGAATATTTGCCTATTCAAATGCAATAGCATGAGTGTGCTTCATATTCCCATTGAGCATGCTGATGATGTCAATAAACCTTACCTTGAGTTCTTTTGAAATTAGCAATCCTTCTAAGACATCTCTCAAGTGCATGCATAACTCAACAGTATACGGTGATACGTTAACCATGTGTTTTATACCGTAAATTCAAGAGAAAACTTTTGAATTTGCTAACTGATAGTAGGGAAAAGAGGTGACTGTTGTTGTTGTTGTCATCTGTGCGAGCTGTACGGGCTATGGCATGTGCAAATCATTCTTTGCAAAGTTGTTTCTTCCAAAAAAAATTTTTTGGTGAATTAATAGTTTTCTGGCGCCTAAAAATGGATTTTATGATCTTTTTTACCATTATCTTAAGAGACTTGATTAAACTTTCTCTCAGTTTCAAGACAAAAATATAGTTACATAGACATTGATGCATACTGCTTTGAGTGCATGCTTTAATATGGAAAATTTGAGGTAACTGCTGCATTGATAGCTTTGATAATGTTATAAAACAATATTAGCTCATGCTTTAGCTGTGTGTATGTCGAGATATTGAGCACTTGGGAAGTTTAGAGAGCACTCAAGAGGCGAGAGTTGCTCTTGGCTGTACCTGGAGCAACTCTTAAAATCAAATAAGATCTTTGATAGTGAAAACCGACACTCAGTCTGTTAATTTTGACTTGAAATTCTAAACTGTGGTACTAAAAGCTATGCCATATTTTTTCAATTTTTATAAAGTCTGTTGAAGATTTGTTTAGCAGAGCTGTCTGTTACAACTATCAAGACTGATTTTATCTTTCCAGTTTCTTTGAAGTAATGTTATTGTTCTATGCTAGTGGATGACAGATATTGATAGCTTCAAGAGCAACAAAACTTGGATGCTTAAAAATGATCTCAATTTTTCATCATAATTCATCCGCTGCACCATATGTAAGACAAGTAAAGTCAACTTCATGGCCAAGTACACCAGAAATTTCTGATGAAAGCAAACTGTGGAGGCTAACACCATCATGAGCATACATCCAAGTTCCACTTGTGAAGTCATACCTTTTAGGGCCACTAAAATGTCATTGAGAGAGAAATAATGAACAGTTTGAATCAGGTGATAATCAGATCACAATGCAGCAGTAAATGTTTTTACCTGGTAGGAGACGACAGCCATATTTGCTTATTGGGGCTTTGTTTGTTTATTACATATATGCCACGGCCAGCTGCAAAAACAACAAAAATACAAAAAACACTTAGTGAAAACAAATCAAATTTTCCCTGTCCAAGCCCTATAATAGATCCTCTCATAAACAACCACCTCATAAGCCACTAAATCTTGACCACTAAATCTTGGCATTTTGGTTGGTCGCTTACAGGAGGTTCGACTGTATCAGCAAGTGCAAAGTAAGGGAGCACTTAAAATGAAGGTGGGTGAAAAGAGGATAAAAATTTGTCACACTTCTCGCCAACATGAAAGTACTATAGTACTATGTATCGTGTGATTCCAGAAAAAAAAACATGGATGGTCATTGGAAATTCTGAGGGAGAGGGGGTCTTCAAAGCTTAAAGAAAATATTATCATGAAACTAAACAAGCATTTCCAGAGGAGTTTGGGGTGGGGGGACCTACACCCGGGAAGTTCTGAACCAAAACATATTCCATACACACCAAGAAAACCCCTCTGATTGGAAATTTGTAACCATCATCTTCCTCCTCCTAGAGTATATTAAAGGAGGCTTCTTTCGAATTTCTGGGGTATTTCCTTTAAACTATCAATATAATAGGTCTGCCTATGGCCATATACTAACATATTAAGAAGTTTTGATGCACATGTCATCGGCTTACCCCAGGGGTAGACCCCCGTGCCAACCATGGGAATATGTCGGGGAATACAAGGGGATAGATTGGATTCTCTGCCCCTGGGGAGGGGAAAATTCACAGCACTGTTTTAAGTTCAAAGGGAAGAGGGTGGGGGAATTGCAAATTTTGTAAAATTGCGGACGGTAGCCATGGAGATATCACAGGGATTTATCGCTTTCCTCAAACCATTATTATAGGCAACATCCAGAGGTGAAAAGAGGAATACGAGCTTTCACTATCTCTGCACATGTATGTGACTACAGCGAGAGGCCTGGAGAGGCGATGTCTCTCTTGAGGACTAGGAACGTGATTCAATATCATTCAACACAAGACGTCCCAACAACAGCATATATGAAAGTCCATTGATTTTTGAGCATCATGGGGTAGATTATTTCAGGTCATCTTAAGTAGTCTATGGAAAAACTATCAGTCTCTCCTAACCTTAGTGAATCTGTCTTCAGGTGTTCTTTCATTGTAGTGATTTTTGTTCAATAAAGATGTTGTATTACTTCTCCAAGCCTAACACGAATGAGTAAAATTTCATCCTTAAATATCATAAAAACACCCCCTCCCAGTTATATGAGGTGGATATCATGGGGATTTTTTGTTGAGAAGCACTTGACCCAGGGGAATTTGTCTTATTAAATTCCCCCACCACTGGGGGAAATCCCCAACTTTGCTCCACCCATTTTACAATCCCCCTGGTTGGCCCAGGGGTCTACCCCTGGGGCAAGCCGATGACACGTGCATAATTACCTCCTAAGTTAACGGTAAGTACTCCATCCTTCAGAGTGAAAAAATAATAAAAGATAAAAATTAGAATAACGCAATAAAAAAATGGATGACCCATTACAAAACATGAGTTTGCGATCAGGGCAAAGACTCAGCCTTACACTTAACTGAACATCATAGTCTGTAGGACTTGAAGGACTTTCACCAAGGTCTTCAAATAGTTCTGCAATTGCATCAAGTGTTTCATCTGCAATATTGTGGTATGATATATCATCTAAAGTACTGCTGATAAAAAAAAAAAAAAAAAAAAAAAAAACACTTAAGTCAATGACAAACAGCAAAAGAAAGAGAGGAAGAATCATAGGTCATCCTATATATTAAAAACACAAACTGTTTTAACTTTATAACAAGCTGTGACTGGGAAATCTTTGCTTAGACATAGTATTCCATTATGTCCCCTCTTAAATATCTATCAAGCCCTTATCAACCCCTATCTTTATTACGGCATCTGTGCTTGGGGCTCTGCACCTAAAACTTATTTAAATAAGATACTCTTAATTCAAAAACGAGCCCTACGCCTGATTTACTTTACGGATTATAAGCAACATGCTGTACCATTTTTCTTAAAATCAAAAGTCTTTCCCCTATCTTTTATTTACTTTGATTGTCTTTGTAGTATAATGTGGGACGTTGCTAACAATTCTGCACCAGAAAATATCAAGAGAGCCTTTACTAGGATTTCTGAGGTGCACTCATATCCTACCCGATCTTCTCTCAATGATGATTTCTATACCGAACACTCAAGGCTTGAAAAAATGCGAGTTGGACCAAAAATCTGGAATTCTTTACCCTCAGATATGAGAAACTTACCAAAATCTACCTTTCGGAAAAAGACAAGGAATAAGCTCTTTGAAATCTTATCTAAATCTGATGACTATCTTGAAATCACTGAAATCATGCATCAACTTAAATTTAACTAGCTCAGGAACACAACTAAATTTATATTCTCTGTGTAAATCATATTGCAATTAACAAGCTTAATACATACTATAGTTTTTATTTTGCGACAGCTGGTACTGTTTGTAAAATAGTTCTTTTTTTTCTTTCCTTTCTTTAAATTTGTGTGTCTCTTCCCCCGCCTCGATTAGGCTCTCCTATACGCGGGTGGAAGCTATCGTGTAATTGTAAATTGAAAGTGAATGAATAAAGTTGAAGTTGAAGTTGAAGTTGAAGCTTACCTTGCAGTGCAGAATCTTCTCGCTCCTTGCTTGGGCGCAACTTCTGGACGCAACTGAAACGTTACAAGTTACGGTTACATCAACTAAACCGGATAAAAATGAAGCCATTGGTGTAGCTAATAAATCTAATTCTCAAATATGTTATAACCTTAGGTCTTGTATAAGCTCTTGTACCAATAAGAGAAGGGTATAATCTTCTACAGCTTGTTGAGAGTAAGCTTTTGTTATGTAAAATTCTTAAACAAACTCCGAAAGCTTTCAAATAAAATCTCTTTAAAAGGAAAGCCCGTTGCCCGAAAAGTGACATGATGAGAAAGTCGTCCCAGCAAAAAACCGCCAGGCATCAACGATCGTCAGGTAAGGGAGACTGGATCCGATTTATTAGAGCGCCGCCATTTTCGAACTAAGATGAAAGTGAAGGTCAAACGTGAGTACTTTAGAATTTCTTGCTGTAAAATTCACACATTATTGATTATTTATCCCTTTTTTATATGTTATGTATTTAAGAAAAAAATTAATTTTCTCTCTAACGTTAATTTCTCTATTTATTACTCGCAACGTATTGTTGGACCTTACAATGACTACAATCTACTGCTGCATCTACGTACTCCAAAGAGTAAGCACGATCAATTTCTTATTAACCTCATTTGGATACTAAATATTTGGGTAAGATTTCCGTATAACCCAAAACATTCACCATGCATGCAGTAATTTCATACTTTTTCTCACAAATAGTTTAATATGAATAGAGTCGAAACGTGTACATTGTATGTATATTAATGTATGAGGTTATACAGAGATCTTACTAGTACCAGTACTTTGTACTTGACCACTGAGAAGATAGTAGTTAAAGGAAACCCCTTTACTTTAATGATATACTCGTAAAACAGTATACACCACAGTAGGAGAACTAGTTAACATAACTACTTACTTTAAGAATGATGATCTATTTCTCTTGTATAGTTTTGCACCTGTTAATGTTAGGCCCCAGGGTAGGGCAGGGACCTGAGAGGGGCAGGCAGACCCAGGGTGATGTGACATTTTCAGTGAAATCAAGACCTTTCAAAAGTCAAATTCTCACCACATATGACCTCTTCTGCCATAATGTGGGGGCTCTCCAGAAAAATTCTAGTACTTTTTGTTTCCAGTTTGTTCCTGGCTTTGGGGGAGGGGGAGTAGCAGTCCCTTATTTGGCCTTAATAGGGCTGCTGAACAGGTCATGGTTTTCAGGGTTTTGAGTCTTGAATAAGGTGTCTTTTTGGAACAAGAGCCTATCAAAGAGTATAATTTTGTGATCCCATTTTGTAAACCAGAATGCTTTGTATGTACACCTGGCCTAGCTAATCGAACAAAACTGAACCAAAAATCAATTGAGCTTAATCGAACCCAGTCGGTCGGATTGTTGTTTGATTGGTTCAGTAATTGAAAATAATTGAGCTGGAACTTTTCGGTGAGTTCAATCAATCAAACTTGAGTATTTGATTATCGAATGCAATCGAACCAATCAAACTAAATCAACGTGTTCAATGTTGTTCAATATTGGTTGGCAGGATTTCCCTCTCAGGTGGGCATGAAAACATAGACACTTTTCAGTTGACTAAAATCTTTATTGTTAAAGTAATCAAGAAATTCACAGTTAATGCTGAAAGTGCTTTAACAGCACTTCCAGTATTAACTGTATGCCCACTAAAAACAACGGTAGCGGGGATAAGAAACTTACTCTTCCACTTTGACGGTCAATGGCCAATGCACAGGCATCAGTTTATGCTGTGGAGTCCAAGCTGGCGGCCGCCGCTATTGTCAGTTACCTTAAGAGCTGGATCCCTTTCTCCCCTTTTTTTTTCTTATCATCAACACCAATGGGGAAAGAGCACTTGTGGTAGCCTTTAACCATCCTTTATCAGCGTCAAACTGACAATTCTGGAAGAGACTCTTCCAGAATTGTCAGTTTGACGCTGGGTTTTTCTGCTCTCTGATATCTTACCGTATACTCTTGCTTGAAATTGAAGCTAACCCATAACTTAATGTGTAGTTCCAGATAATATCTATACCCTCCACGGAGGGTAATGGAAATGAAGAGGGTAGGGGGTGGGGGGTGGCCTCTCGAGGTTTTTTTTTAAGGGGCTCCGAGTAAAATTGGTGAGTTAGTAAAGACTAACAGCTGTTCTGTTGAGCAAGCTATCAGTTATTTTACTGTCAATCGGTGTTTCAATGATCTTTTATTTGTGGTCAGCTGAGTGCTGTACAGTACCGTAAATGATCCCCATTGTAGACCGCAAGTGATTCCATGAAAAGTAGAGGAATGAAATGGATTTTAGGCATGGAGGGTGAATGTGCTGAGAACTTGAACAATGCGTAGAACAATGAAATGAACTAGACTATAAATAACTGAACTGTTTCTTTTAGCCATTTTTTACTCCTTTCTTTCAAGCATTTGATGTTTCATTGCTGTGATAATTTAGGACAGGAATGACTTTAAGAATGAAACTTATCTTTCATTTCAGTGTCTACGAATAGGGAAATGTGACCACTGTATTTATCACTCTGTAGAGGTTTCTGGTTTATTTTGAAATACACTTAGCCTCCATTGACATCAGTGACTTAATGGAGGCAGTACGAATGTACATGACACAAGTGATGCCACCTCTCAGAGTAATGAACTTAAATTACTCCCTTTCAGTAAAACACATGTTAGAAGGCTTATTAGAACATGACCACATCACAGTAAATACCTCAATGTGTAACAGAGAAACAGATAGATAACCAAGTTTGTTGATGAGCCAACGACAATCGTGTTACATAAACTAATGTGCAAGCCTTGAAAAAAGTGCACTGTAGTAATAATAATTAACCAAGAAAGACCTCTACAAGGCAACATTGAGATTGACACTGCATTAACATACTGGTAATTAAAAAGATGTTTTCTTGCCTAAAAGTATTTTTTTTGGGGGGGGGGGGTGGGTATGACAAGCACCCACATTTGTTAACCACAATGCCCTGTTTGAAACGAGATGAAGCTTGTTGGTGTACTGAAGCTTTCATTTCCAGACGTTCAACTATATTTAATTGCGAAAGTGTCCGACTTCCTAACGCTTGATTGTGGTCAATTGGCAAAAGTTTTGGGTGAGTTCAATTGTTTGATTACTGAACACAATTGAAGTCAATCGAGCAAATTGGAGTTCAGTTGGGTTCGATTGACTACACCGAGATGTACAGCAGTATGCGCTTCCAATTAAAAAAACTTGAAAACTTGTGAAGTTACAATGGGCTTTTTCCAACACATCAAGGACAAGTGATTCATAAAATATTTGGCAACGTTACTTTTAAAAATTTGCTGGTACGCTGAATTCTCAACAATATATATACTGTAGTTAATTTTTTATCTCAGGTAATTTTTTTTCCATTGTTTTTGGTTATGGTATTATATCTGCTAATAAATTCGAAACAAAGGAAAAACAAAATATTAGCAGCAACATGATCCTCCTTTGCATAGTTGGTATACAGTCCTCTCTCTCTTAACAGACACCTAGAGTTGGTACCTTCCTTCTTTACTCCCTTTGACTCTCTATAGGATGGACATATCTCTAAGACGGACACTTAGGGCCCGTCCCAAAGGTGTCCGTCTTACAGAGAGTTGTCTTAGCTGGTTTGAGTGAGAGGTGTTAATTTTTGGCCAGTGGGATTTCCATTACTGCCATCATCTTAAGCTGTTTCTGAATGAAATTTAAATCAGTCATCAAGTTCTTCATATTTGGTCACAGCTGGCCCAAATGGAAAAAAAAAACATTGTTATAGCAAACATATTTTTGCCAGTCCTTTGACCTCATTGTATCGAGTTTCCACAGTATTTAGTCAAGAATTATGTTAGTGGTTACCTTACTTTGCTTGCACGCTTGCACCATTATAGCAATTACAGTTGCTTAATAATTTTTATACTTTTATCATGATTTCATCCCAGGGAAACTTTTTTGTACCCTGCAGAGTATACTTTGTTAATGATATATGAAATGTATATGAAATAAAAGTATACTTTGTTGGTTGATGTTGGGACCCCAATCAAAAGCAGTCATTCCCTGACACTGGTAATGGATGTGACATGCTCAATTTTTATTCCTTGCAATGAGTGTAACCAGTGGAACATTTTCCCCACCCATGTCTTACATACGATGTTCTGATCTTTCAGGTGGATAGGAGTAGCCACATGGCGCTGGGTAGCTAATGATGAAAATTGTGGTATCTGTCGTATGGCATTTGACGGCTGTTGCCCAGACTGTAAAATTCCAGGAGATGACTGCCCTTTAGGTAAATATCTCAACTGCAAAAACTTGTATGAAAGACATACAGTGGAACCTCAGTTTTTTTAACTGCCTTGGAAATAACAAACTCATTCCAATTATCGGGAGGTTTGAAAAATCGGGCTAAAATGACAGTGTTTGACTGGTGAATAGAAGTTACGTGTGGTTTGAATTATCAAGAATTTTGAAAAATGGCGGGTTCAAGACATCAGGATTCTACTGTAATGTATGTAGTTACTGTTGGAAATTCCTTCTGATATTAGGTTATCCTTTGTGGTGCAGAGAAATAAATAAAATAAGTTACACCTACCAAGACAATGTTGGTGCTCTCTTTCAGTTTGGGGACGGTGTTCTCATGTGTTTCATATGCACTGTATTCTCAAGTGGCTCAACTCCCAACTGCACCAACAGCTATGCCCTATGTGCAGGCAAGAGTGGCAATTCAAGGAATAACAACACGAAAAAAGTGGTGTAGTTTTGGAACAAGTGTAACCTCTTGATGTTAACAGAGGATGTACAGACTACAACAAAAAAGATGTTGCTTTCTGGAAATAATGACCCCAAACAAATCAATGCATGTGTGTGCCGTCTTGCAATAGTTTGCTATTCTAGGATTGGTCAAGAAGATGAAGAAAACCTTAATCTGTAATTATTTTTTCCGGCTACTGCAGCAGTACATATCTTTGACAGTTTTCACCCCTTCTATGAGTTAGGTACAGGTGTGCAAGGGGGTAAATCCCCAACCTTCCGTTCTTCCCCAGGGGATCTCTGTCTGGTGGCAAATTTAATAAAGTGTCAGGTATAACTGGCTTGTTGGACAGTGGTTCAATTTCACCACACCTTGGAAAATTCAAGGTGCGTTTTTAAAGTTACACCAAGAATGCACCAGATTGTAGATATAAAGTCAGATATCATTGCTGTGAATAATGTAGAGCAACATGTAGATAATTTATCACCAATTCATTGTAAATTACTCAGGTTTATTTCAAAGATTACAATCTGTAAAATCCTTACAGTGGCTACCTAAGAAAAACATTAAATTATTGCAAAACAGATTTACATGCTTGTTGTAAGTGGGCCTGTACACATCATTTACATCCTAAAAGGTTCTGATATAACATTACTTGAAGCTCACTAGGGAACACATTTCACACAGTAAAGGAGGAATAGACCAGCACCACACTAGGCCAATAATTATTACACGGCACTTTATCCTGGGCGCCGAGTGCATCACATTGAAGCTGCTGCCATTTTAATTTGTCCCGGACCAAAACGGTGATCCTTGGTAACTACCCTGATGCCCTTTATTCTGTCCCTGTTTAGGCCCTTGTCCCTGAGACCCTCTCTGTGATGTGCCTGGCTGTCCAGTCTCCATATGATGAGCCATATGGTGGTGGTAGTGAGACGGTGGAGGGTGCTGCTGCACATGGGTCATCATTGACATAAATGGGTGTCCTGTGGGAGGGTAACTACCCAGAGGGCCATGCTGTCCTGTCATGGATAGATTCAGAGCTGGGCCTGGTGGAGGTGTCCCACCCATAAATGGTTTGTTGTCACTGAACTAAGAACAAGAGAAAGAATAGATTTAAATATTCATTATAATTTAATCGGCTTACACAATCCCTTCCCTAGATCAACAACATTTTCAATAACATAATGGGAGCCATCAAAACAATGGGCTACTTTCACAGTGACATCATTTTACAAAAATAACCTACATCCATTTCATTGTTTTAAAAGCCTTTTGCCAATTGAATACTAAAAAGGGATTTCTCTAAAAGATGAAGGAAAGTTCACCTGCTCATTTTAATTAATGAAATTGGCAATGACCCATGGTGTCTATGGTCTCAAAATTTACTCTGCATACCTTTCCAACTTGTGGCTTATATGAAGGTCCTGAGAGATCTGAAGTGCTACTTACAGATGCACCTGGAAGACAAGCACGTTGCACATCATTAGCAAAGAACAAAATAATAAGCATAACAATGATCCCTGGCAGCAAGGAAAATACTTTCATGGCAACAGTTTGGCTAGGAACATGACTTAAGACCTCTACATTAAGTCCCTGTCCCAGAATATTAAATTTGCAACAGAAATAAACAGTGACTAATACAAACCTGCGCTAGACTTGCTTTGTGATGGGGAAACAGATGTGTGATAACCAGACTTTCCAAAATCATGGGTTTGACCTAAATCATCATATGCTGCAGAAAGAGAGAAACAAAAGATCAAAACTGTGCTTCTAACAAAAAAAAATTATTGACAACAAATTTATGAATAAACAATAAATGAATTTATTGACAATAATTCAGAGTAAATTACCAGAAGCAAAGTTGTGAGATCCATGTTGACCAGACGTGTAAGCTGACTGATATTGTGAAGCATTTCCATGGGTTTTTGTTGGCATCTGAACAATGTGAGATTAAACAAAAGTAAAGTGAAGGTTAAATTGCAAGGGCTTAATCAAGAAGGAACATATAACTTTGGTTCTGTTTATTCCAGAAGTAAACTTGAAATAATTAATTTGCATGAAGTACCTGGTACATAGGTGTAGTATAGGCAGGGAATCCACCCGCCATCATCCCAGCTCCTGGGTAAAAAGCCAGTCCACCATAGTAAGGAGGCATTGTAGTAGCATTAATAAATGCCTGTTGTTGGAGATGAGCTTGCGGAACAGTCACTGCCTGGTTCAGGGATGTTGGCACTGGTGAAGATGCATCTGCTCTACCAAACTTTTGCTCTCCTGTTTCAGTGAATTGAGAAATTATGACACATTTATTTTAGCTCTACTGACATTAATTTTACTGTCACCATTAACACAGTTCCCTTCAACTATGAACATTCTAGTTTAGTCAGGCTGTTGAGAACACAAAGAATTAAACCCTTTCTCTGATGTAATGAGACAATTTAATTTGTATCAAAAAAGAGTTTTCATCCCTGCACTGACAGTGTCTGCATTCCATCCATTCTAAGTACCTCTCTACACACCAAGATGGGATCCAGATTAATTTTTTATTCAAAGATCACTGTAACACAAAACCCAGGCTCCCTGAATAAACAGGTTGATAGATTTTTGACTCCCTCAAATTTTTCTTAGAGCACATTATACTAAGCAAGGTGAAACTCTACAAATTAAGCCTGTAACCTACACAGCACTTGCATGACTTCATACCAATAATATGCAGCTCACACAATTAATTCACACAGTACATTGCATTATCCCAACTTGAACACCTATATTTTATATTTTTATGACCTGCCCCCAATTCCCCTTAAAGCTCATCCTGTTTCAGCTGTGGAGGATCTCATTCAGAAGCCACAAGTTCAATCCTTGCTAGGGTTAAAGACATTTTCTTCAATTCCTGGTTAATCTTACTTTCTTTTAAAGAACTTGCCATTCAGATGGATTTGAAGAGTTTCTCAATCATCAGCACTCACTTATTCATAACACAAATTAAGTGTACATTAGGGTAGACTTACCATGAAATGTTGTGGAAAGCCCATCTCTACCTGCTGCTTGGAAAGGTGGCATGTCATAGTATGGAGACTAAAGCAAAAGTAACGACAAAAAAATTGGTTTACTGCTGGAAATATGATATAAAATTTTGGTTCTCACTTTAAGTTTTACTCTGATTCTACTGTAAACCATACTGTCATTTCAAGTAGCATAATATCCTAATGTAATGCTCTTGTCTTTCCTATCAGTTGCGAGCTCTATAAAGAATGTCATCAAATAACAACAATTACACAATGTAATAAGGCATCACATAACAATTCTTACCATTGGTAGTCTCTGGAGGTCTTCATAGCCATATGGTAATGGCTGCAAAGAAAAAACAAAATAGAAATACAGATATGTGTCAGTTCATTCTCAACCCTGCTCCTGTTGGCCTAGGAACTTAAGCATAAGACATGTACTAATACTAGGGTTTAGTACTTACGTAAGCATGGATAAGTCCTGCTTGTTGCATGCCATATAAGTGGTTTAGTGGTAACACACCAGGCGGTAATGATGGTTTTGCTGTAAACAAGTAACCACAAAATCAACATAATGAACACCAACCTAGAAAAATGGATCATTTCAACAACTAAACACAACATTATTATTTGGATAGGAATTATGGCAAAATTTACTAAAAAGAAATGAAAATTTCTTTTCTATTTACAATATAATTGAGGGCAACAAGAGAAGCCTGCAGTCCTAATCTCTGGGATGTTATTACACATGCGTCGCATGTATGTAGGCAGCATTTGTTTAGACTCCCACTAAGAATGAATGGAATGCACAGAATGCAATTTGATCATGCATGTTCGGACCTTCTATTACATGTAATCTGATCACGTGTTTTGGCTATCTATCACATGGAACTTACGCAAAGCACAGCGATGGTTCAAAGTGTTTTCACCTTTGATCGTTGTTGTCTGCACTCCATAACCTTTGGTTATTACTACTTACTATAGTATTGCTATTAGAGGTCTACCGACTTATGGCGAAGACTTAATATTTGTTCCCCAATTCTTTAAGTACATACTATACTTACGGTGAAGACTTAATTTTTGTTTAGTGTGATACACCAGGAGCAAAAACCATTACTTTTATAAAACCATCCATGGCCCAAACTATTGTGTAATAGACAAGAAATGTTCCTAGAACATGGATTCTCAAACTCTTTGGTGAGTGACAATTATCAAAAAAACTAGAAATTTTAAAAGTAAAAACTTACTGGTATGAGAAAGCGGTTTGCCTGTGCCAGACATTGTTACTGTGGTAAAACCAGAGGATGACGAGCTTGTCACTTGATTCATATTAGCAGGAACAGTGACCCCAGGAGGGGGGTGAAGTGGTTCCACGGAAGACAGACCTTCATTTCTAGATACACCAGAGGCAACACTGGAGCTGCTCAGTGAGTTGGAGCTAAGCTTGTCTTTTGTTGACGGTACCGATGCCTGTGTTACATGTTTCTGTAAGTGAAAACAATACTTGGAAAATAGTAACTTAACAGACACTTGCTTTACTTCACCAGCATTACACTGACTCTTTACTGGTGAGCTTTATCTCACAGCTGAAATGAAAACTATGGGCCTGTTATTTAAATGAAGTCTAAATTAAGCTGTGGTTTAACAAATCTTTGAACCTCCAGATCTCTTCCTCAGTGGGTTATTTTAAGAAGATAAATGCTTTTGTAGTCTACTCTATAACTGCTTTCATAAAACTTTTCACAATAAATGGTATTTAGATTAACCGTTGGTCAAATTGCTGTCTTAGAAAGCAGTTTTGTTAACCCTTTAAGTCCCAATATCAACATACACATTCCCCAAACTGATCTCCATACATTTCCTTTAAGAATTAGTTGGGAGAATTTAATATAAGATCCAGGCATTTTCTCTTTGGTAATTTTTGCTAATTCTCATAACCTTATCTCTTGACAGTGTATGGAGATTGTTAGGAGAAAATTGATGTCGGTCACCATTGGGGCTTAAACGGTTAAACGCTAGCTAAAATACATCTAAATACCTGGCCCTATAAGTTTCCTGCCATACTGTAGTTTATAGGAAAAAATTTACTCAGATTTAGATCGTAAACAATATTTTTTCACTTGAAATTGACAAGCTGGTTTTAGTTCAAGCTGCCAAAGTAAAAAAAAAATACCCCCCATTATGTCCAGCACAGTTTACTTGTAAATATTTGACATCGATATCATTACTTTTAATGTACCTGGTAAGGCCTTGTCTCTAGGCTGATGTCCTTCTGCAAAGATGAAGACAACGTTGACCTCATTGGTGATGAAGAACCTACTTGATTATGGTTTGTTGCAGCACTCAGTGATGGTGAGGAAATGGTCGATGACTGAAGATTGGGAGACGATTTCTGTTGGTCACTAGAGAGAGGTGACTTGCTTGGAACGGAACTCTCCCTTGTGTCAATCTGGGGTGGCAGGGGAATTGGCTCTGGTGTAATTGGCTACAAGAAAATGACACATATCTCAATTAGTTACAGAAAAACAGAAACGAAAGACACCCAATCCATCAGCCATAAGGCTTCTTAAAAAATTCTAGCTAAATTTGCCAAGGAAATACTAACACACAGATAATATATCATGATGGAGCACTTTAAAAAGAGGGAGAAAAATCACTGTGAATAATATTATTACCTTTGTTACTTGTGATATGTTGATTGACTGCTGTTGAGTCCGGGGAGATGGATGCTGGAAATGCCTTGATGAACTCTCTTCTAATGATGTCAGACTTGAACCAGCTGATGTTGAGGTTGCTATGGTAATGGGAGTGGCAATTGGCGAGGATGGAAGACTTGTCGCAGTATGCTGTGATGGCAATGGTGGGCTTGGGGACTCACTGCTACTGGTTGAACTAAAGGTTAAGTCCATAAGTTATTTCCAATAGAAATAGTGTGATGTTGTCATTAACCCTCTTACAGGAAAAAACATTTCTCACCAGAGAAGCATTTGCTTATTCCTAGGATGTAATTACCTGACAATAACATTGAATTACCTTGGTTCCTCAGCTCTTATGTTCTCTGGTTGAGCAGGAGGGAACTCCTGTGTTTAGTGAATAAAACAGAAACTATAAGCCTGCATTGAATTGTCAAACTCTTTAACAGTCTGGGGAGCCAAAGATTCTCCCTTGGTAACACATTTAGTACCTGCGTGTTACACAGACTTTCGTTGCCTACACTTGCTGACACAACAATTTAAAAATTCCATGACTTAATTCCACACCTGATAAATGAAATTCTTAAATTCCATGACTTTCCAGGTTTTCCATGACCCGCACGAACCCTGCCAACCCCTTTGGCATGCCCTAACTCTTCAACTTTTTTAGAATTTAGCATGGCAGTTATGTGAACAGAAATATTCATGCACCAGAAGAAAATACCTGCAGTGCAGGCTAAACTAACTTACTGTTAGTGATATTTGCAGCTGGATGCAAATTATTAATTTCTCATTACCCACCTCCTTTTTCCGTGGACTGCTGACAGAATCACCACCAAATTCCACATTTCCAAACTAAAGAGACAACAAAATAATGTTCAAGACATAAATAGAAGAAAATACTTAAGGGTTGAATCTTTGCCTGAAGGTAAGGAAAAGTGACTGAAACAAGGGATAAGAAACTGTGGAACTGTGGCTTTTTGGAGACAAAACACCATTGGGCAATTCCAGAAAATATCCATACCCAACCACGGACGGCTTCCATGTTTTATACCCCCCTTGCCTTCGGAAATTCCAAAATGTGTTACCCCCCCATGCCCTCAGAATTCCATAATCGTGAACCCCCCCCCTCCCCTTCAGAATTTCCGTTTTTTGGAAGTACATTTTCAACTTAGCAACGCCTATATGAACAAACGAACATGAATTTATGCCTCCTCAAGGCTGTGATCTAGCGGCGCCAGGCGACAAGCTTTCAGACTCTAACCTACCGCTAGTAGACAGGCTGTGCAAACTCCTTTTTAGGTCCGAATTTGGCAATAAAAATAAACACCACTAACGGCAATTTTACTCATCTTTGTTTTCTTGTGCTGTTTTGACGTTTACCAAGCAAAATAGCTCAAATTCAGACTGTTAAAATCTTTTGGTGGTCAAATATACCGTCGAGGCGTGTTGCGTCCTTTTATAGGTCATGTAGTGTGCACGAAAAGTTTTCTAATCTGACAGGCGTTCCTTGGAAGCCAGGAACTGGTGCGACTTTTTTACTGTTCATCGGATGGGAGTAACAAGAAACTTGCAAGCAGTAAGATACATATTCCGTTTTTTTTTTTCATGTGACAAGAAATTCATCAAGGTTAATGTGAAACCCACGTTTTATTGTTCACTTCTATAAGTTATGAACGTAAACACGTGTCTGATCTATCGATGCTTGTCTTCTGCTTCCGCGGTCATACGTTCGTGGTTTATTTACGAACTACAAAAGTCCACAACAATAGCGTTTTCAAGGAACTCACTCTACACTTTCTACTCCAGAAATCCCACCTGTGGAATTCCGCCATGCCTTCGGATTTCCAATCGTAAATACCCCCCATGCACTCAGAATTCCATAATCATGAACCCCCCCTCCCCTTCAGAAATCCTAAAAGCCGTCCATGGTATGGTATGGATATTTTCTGGAATCGCCCATTTCTATGAAATGTAAATAGTCATTACTTCCAACAAACTTTACTAATGTCTAAAAGCAATTATGAAAAAGTGTGCACTGTTAGCACTTAGAGGGAATAGATCGTGGTTGTTTTTCTCAAATGTGCATTTTTAAACACTCACTTGTACATCAAGATTGTCATTCATAGACCCTGGCATCTCCACAGCTTGAACAGGAATCTGAAAACAGAAAACTCTCATAAGCTCAAGCATAATATTTCACTCAATTATATTGCAAGCTAAAATACTGTCTGTACAGTACCTGACTCTTTGGTGTTTTCTTTGTCCTGCTAGGACGTGGCTGTCTCTGTGGCTGAGCTTGAATTGTTGTCAAAGAATCTTTAGGGGACACTCCAACTGATGAGGAAAGAACCACTTTATCCATCAGTTTGCTGATCCAGTCTTGATGGTCGTGTAAAGACTGTCGTTCACCCGGAAGTGGGATACGTGGCATTGGCAAATCGACAGAAGAGAACTGATCTTTACCACCGGCTTGATTTGTATGGCCACATGGTATGGCATGTATTATTGCCATGTCATCACTTGAAATAACAAAAAAATCCAATATTTTCACTTAGAAATTACAGCTTAGAAAAGGAAGTTAACAACATCCTAGATAACATGTGAAACAATCATCATTCACTCAAATTTTTTTGTAGTTTCTGATTAGCTTTAATCATAATCCTCCACCTCACTCTTCATGACCAGCTGGCACTGATCAAATTTGGAAGATGGGAGCAAGATACCATTGATAACATGGTATATTGCCTGCCCCAATATACATGCAACCTCATTTCCAGGCAGCAGTGCTGCAGCCTAGCTCTTTGGCACAAATAAACTCAAGGAAATGACAAAAGAGTTCTTCAAATCACAGCTAACCAGAGATAAAAAGCCATTTTCTGACTTAAACTGGATGGAAGAAATGCAACAATGCACAAAAAATTTTGCAAGATGGAAGTCATCTTTTGAGAAGTATCTGCAAAATGTTTATATTCTGAAACCATGCCAATAGACAGGCAAATGTTTTGAAGAATGTCTACAAGGAGGTGAGGTTGCTAAGAACCATGAAATATAAATTATTGTATGAATTTATTAAAAGAATATTGCATATGGCTTTTCAATGATATGAAGAATTTTGCAGTTCTCAGAGACTGTTGACCACCTCAGCCTTCAGTCTCTCTGGATAACACCCCTCCCCCCTCCTGATACACACAATTTTTTTATATCATACTCAGCGTCATTAATACCTCTCAAGACAGTGCGTTGAGTTATCAGTGGCTTTTTGTCTGGTGTCTGAGGTTGGTGCTGTAGAAGCAGTTGAATCATTGACTGTCTGTGTGTCCCATGACACAACAGTGCTATCAGAACCAACTGGCCAGGAATCTGTACCTGTACTGCCACTGAACAATGCATCATTGGTGCTGGATGACACTGACTGCAAAACAAACAAGTAAAATTTATTTGTTTGAGAAAGTGCTTTTTCATAGTATCTTTTACAATCCACTAGACCTTGGATTCTTGCAGCTTAATGACCATAACGTAAGATCAGAAGCATAATTATAACCACGAAGTGTCTAAATTCCCCTTATCTGTTGAGAACCATGCTGAAGATTTTTAGCTGACGTAGCCATCCACTCAGAAGCACAGAAATTTTTTTGCCCAAATATGGAATCAGAGAATTTAAGGCTAAAGACTTTGAGCTTGTTACACTGTATACATGTACGTCTACGACCAAAAGAAATTGTTTTGGGGCATAGAAGATAAAGTAATTACGCTGCTATAAAATGCAACCCTGGGAAAACATAAAGAGACCCAAAGTTAAGTGGTATGGCTTGAAAGCATCAAACAGTGACAGAGTAAGACAAGGATGTTTACATTTCTTCACAATATTGTGAAGCCTCCTGCTGAAATCAGCCACCAACATGCATCTGCAGCCTGTTTTACTGACAAAGATCATCCTCAAGCTACTACCTGCAAACCTATCTAGTGAATTTTATTTGAAAATATATGTTACTAGTTATTCTAGATAGATAGTAAGTGATTCTTTAAGATTATGTGCACTAATGGTCACCCAAAAACCATTTTTTGAAGTGACAACTTCAAGAAATCACTTCTCTTATGGTGCATGCCATGAGTCGACTTCGTCTTGTTGGGAGGAAGTCAATACTGGTCATATGGGGAATAATATTACGTTTTTCAACAAATATTACGTCATAAAACAGTAATTGCTTTTTGCAGCACATCATTTACATCACATTAAAAGTTTTCCCTAAGCACTCATGCGACATCCTTGCTATCAGTAATTCCATATTAGGGAGTAAGATAAATTTTGATTGGTTCCCTAAAAATCCCCAGCATGGGACAGAGTTATGCTTCAGGGTTATATGCTTCTGGTAAGATCCAATGAGATGCCAGTGAAGGCAGGTTAGACCTTCTGACACATGAAAGAAGTATCGCAATGTTTATTGTAGACCCTGGCAAAGTGTCAGTGATCAGTGTAGTAATTATATCCATCAATGCTGAATTACTTTTGCACCTGACAAGAATGTTATGACACTTTCAGATCACTTCACATTTGATAAGTTTATGTTGATTCTAATTACTTCACAACGAGGATCATTCTTGTAATAAGCATCCTTTAGCTTACACATCTCACTAGGCATGGAAATTTGAACACAAACTTTGTTCTAATGAGATTTAAACTGCACATCCTAACCACACAGACCCAATGACAAGATGTTTTGATGAATAACAATTGAAAGTGAAATGTCTTTTTCCAAGAAGAAAAGGTTGTGGCAGTTGTGAGTGCAATGGCCTCCCACCAAAGTTTGCTGGGGTTTGAATGCCCATTGCAATGCCATGTATGGGATGAGTTATTATTAGTTCTCTCCTTTGCTCCTGGAGGGTTTTCACTGGGTTCTGCAGTTTTCTGCTCTCCTCTAAAGACAATAAATATTCCAATTCAATCTAGAACACACAAACATGTTAACAGGTTCTTGAGAGTTTTTACCTGATTGGTAAACAAATATTTACAATTTTTACATATATCTCAATAGTCTGTTTAGTTTTATATTTTACCTGCTTAACAGGACTCCATTCCTCAGCTCCCCACTCCTCTGTTGTTGGTGCTATAACTTCTGATGTACCTTTTCAATCCAATTTTACAGTGTATTAATATTACAAAAATAATGTCATACTTCGGAAACCAAGGAATGTAAGCAATGCATTCACCACTGACTGCAAACCTGCCATATTCATTGATATTACCTTCCGTCTCGGTCTGTTTGCTTGTACTGTCTTCATCCCCCCACATTTCTTCACCTAATCACAACAAAAAATAACTGCTTAAAGCAGAGGAGTACCATATTTTCATGCTCTATTAACTATCTTAATAATTACACTAATCTTTAAAGAAGATGACTGGTGAACAAAAACTGAAAAAGAAAACCAACAACTTGGCAAATGAGGTGACACCTGGATAAAATCAACGATGAACTTGGCAAAGAATGTGGTGGGGTTGAACAAGCAGGAGTTAATCATGACAGTGAAGCCCTCACACCAAGCAAAACAAAAATCGGTGGAACTTGTGTCTGCCCAATAGACAGTTATTTAAACAAAGTCTAACTTAGGCAGCGGTTTAAGAATCACTGGACCTCCAGATCTCTTACCTAATGTGTTAATTTCAGAAAATAAGTGCTTTCAAAATAAGTCTCGATAAATGGTGTTTAAATAAAAACGTCGGGAAAACTCAAAATAGTTTAGAACACAGTTTTGCTAAACAAGCGCTAAACGCCATTTAAATAACTGGCCCTTAAAGTTTAAATTAAAGTAAAAACTATGGGCAACTTGTGGATACATTGTTTAGAGAATTCATGTGATAAAATATTATATTATCTTAAAAGTTGAAAAGATATACCCACGATAAGGTGCAGCTGCTTTGCAAATACCATTTGAAACATGCTTTGCATTTTCTTACTGAACCCAAGGGCTCAACTTCGGTAACCTAGCTACATACTGTTTCCCCATTTTTATTATTATACAAAAAATGTTGGTGTTGTTTTTGGTATGTTTTTCATTTGTATTATGAAAGATATATAAACAGCCACCCAAAAGCTCAACCAAGGACAATTCTGCCTTCTTTCCCTGGCACCTTCTCCTTCTTTGACCTCCTTCCAGCTTTCACATGGCTGAATCTCTTTACTTTACAAACTACAAAAGAAAAACACACCAAAAAAATTGCCTGCCATGCAGGCTACTAGATCTACTGGAGCAGCAATCGTCTTTTGCTCTACATTTTTAGATAAATTTGATTTTTTAACCATCTTCATAAAATGGTAGACTCTTTACAAGGCCTATTTAGCAACTAAGGTTTCTTACATTTTTCTGCTTCATTTTTCTTTATGCATACTTTTGAAATGCCTGACACATAACTGTATCATATTCCATAATAATAAACCTAGCGTGAAAAGGCTTTCTCAGGCACCGTGTGATGTAAAGAGAGGCACTGAACAAGTATGACATTGTCAGCTGCAGAGGGAACATTGGAACTTCTGACCTCACCAGTTCACATAGTATCAGGTCTTTCTTACACTTTTGCCTACCCAACAACCTTTTCAGACTTCTACACTATGTTAAACAGGAAACCTACCATTTACTGCTGGTCCATTGACTGCTGTGGAATTCGAAGCATTTCTGTTACCTCCACCAAATCTGTTAGGTCTATCACGGCCACGGGATTGGAATGACCGCCTAAAATTATTATGGCCCACAAAAATGAGCAAGTTTAAAGTTGCAATGGTTCCTATATATAATGACCACCCTGGGGAGTTAAAAAACTGGCTTCTTAATACAGGATCACTTCATATCATACAACCACAGTTTATTCCAGCAAACATTAAGACAGTACAGTTAATGCTTTCAGGCAATTCAATACGCTTTCAACAGAGCTGCTAAATGGTAAATGCAGCATTGCAAGAACCACAACTTTACGTGCTGGGATAAATTTTCCTCTACTTATGGTATACAGTATACAGTGTTCCTGTAAGACTTGTAAGAGTTGCTGTGACCTGAGTAAGATAATAATTCAGTATTGCACCCTACATGATGAGCTGTGACATTCACCATTTCAGATCTCACTGGTATCTGTGACACAAGCCAATTATTAGCATATTCCGGATTTCTTCAGAAAGCAATCTTGCATGAACTCTTCTACATGCAAATTTATTTCTTTCGCTAGTTGTACACGTGTAAATAAAAATCGTTATGGCATCAATACATTGCCATGGTGACTCCGATTGCAATAAAACCCAAATCATAAGAAATTTTCATCTTTATATAACAATGAATGAATGACTGAAGAGTCATGGATGAGAGGACAACAGACGTGCCCTCTTAGAATACATTTTAACATGTGAACAGTAAGTTCGGACGTCAGCCTTCAAAGGCACCACTGGCAGCCACTCTCAGTCCATTTGTGAGCTTACAGTACCCACCCACCCCACGATGTGAATGATGTGATGAGTGAAGGTTGACCATAACACCAGGGTCTACATCCCCTACTCTTTTTAAACAATGGTATGGGTTCTTTTACATCGCACAATAACCAGATAAGTGTAAGTGCTCTGAGACGGGAAATACGGTTTTTCATCCTTATCTGAGAAGACTAGAAAGTCTAACAGGGTGCAAAGAAAGTCAGTTTTACAGCCTGCCATCCGGGCAAACTGTACTAGCATGTACTAGCCCACAAATCATTTCAACTAGCCTCAAAACCCTTTTTGATTGCCAGGGTTGATTACAATCCTTCTGTAATTTGAATTTCCTCAAAAAACAGCACTTGCCCATAGGGCGAGTTAAGAAACAAAAATCACTAGCCCGGTAGCAAAAATCCACTAGCCCCAGGCTATTGGACACGACTTTCTTTGCATGCTGTTACAGTTCTGCATTTGTCATTAAAGGCTGTTTAAGTCCAAGACACTCTAAATTATGCAATTAAGAAGACAATGACCAAAGACTGATGTTACTAAAAAATCACTACTTTAACGACAAGTTGTCTTAAAAAAGGGTGGCTACAGGTTGTAATGTGTAGTTTCTACTGTAACAGTACTGCCAGCAAATTCTTCCAGTATTTCATTTTACAAATTCCACCATACAAAAAACACAATATAAAACAGCCAAGTACCACAAGTGCCACACTATGAGGACACTGCAAAATTGCACTAAATAATTTAGAAGTATTAATACTGACCCTGGTCTTCCCCCTCCTCTTCCACTGCGCCTTGGAGGTCCACCTAAAATTAAAACACACCATCTATATCAATTCTTTAATGAGAACGCAAATGAAACAAAATCATTGAATACCTCACTGCAAAAAGAAAAATAATAGAAAGTAGATTTAAAAACGTAAAACATTACCAGACAGCCATAAAAATCATTTTGCATGCACAAACAAATTTCAAACCTCTGCCACCAGGTTTCCGATCATTCCATCTGTCTTCACGAGATCCTCTTCCCCGTCCACTTTCACCAGCATTTCTCTCATTGTTATTTACTATTCCTTCATTCTTCTGATCTTTCTCAGAGCTGTTATTGCGATCCCCTGACTGTCGATTTTTTCCTAAGTGAAGCAAAACAAAACAACAAATGTTAGCGACAAATTAAAAAAAAACAAAAAAAAGAACAATTACCGCAAATGATCTTATAAACGCCCCCTCCCAAATAAACACCCCCTCTACACTGTTAAAATTTATTGTATTAGATACCTCTCTCTAATTAACGAGATGCCCCCTATGAGAATTACTCCAAAAATAGGAATTAGCAAACAGGGGCAAAATCATTCAACTCATTCAGCTTCTTGCTTGATTAACAAGGCTTTGAGTATTTCATCTTGTTCAATACCAAGTTTAAAGTAAGGTAAAACGAATGATGGTAACACAATAACCCTGAGTGATGATTCTGACATCGATGTTGGGATTTGCGGGGTGTTAATAAGGCATTGGAGATTGGACAATTCACCATTTACTACACATGATTCTCCTGCAAACATTCCGTAGAGTATGACTATTTTATATTCAGACATGGAGCCTCTTTCAAAATATTCTCGTGTAATGCAACACCTTTCTCCAGCTCCTAGAATTCTTAATGAAAACCCTGGATTTGAAAGAGCGATATGTATCTCTAGATGGCCAAGATGGAGAGGATACTCCACTATTATTTTTAAACACTCTTGATACTATTGCCAAAACCATCTTAGTTTTGTTGAGCTTGTTACAGTTATGAGAATAAACACCTCCCTCTTCTAAATGCCTCCTATCTACTACATGCCCCCACTTGGACCCCTAAAATTGAATAGACACCCCGGGCATTTAATAGATCATTTACAGTAATGTATATGCCCAGGATGAAAAACCCTCAACAGCTTTTTTTTGGAAATTGGAAAAACAGGTTGGCAAGTGACTAAGGAGTCTAGAAATTTGTACGATTCATATGTAATTCAAAACTAATTGCACACCATATAGGATTGGAAGAGGGAAGTACTTGGCTATGCTGGGTAATTATTTCAAATTTAAGATAGGGAGTTGAGCATTAATTTTAAAGGATGTGTTAATTGAAGTAGGGAACACTTTCCAGACTTATGTATGAAAGCAGATGTAGAATACTAAGAAACAGAGGACTAGTCTGGCTGAAAAATTGTATTTCAGTAGCCAAAATTTAAAGAACCTTTTCCTCTGTTTTGCCGTTGTCCTCCTGGTTTAGACGATGGTGCTGTAGTTGTCTGTGATGGAGCCGTTTCTGATGTGGGAATGATTGAATCAATGGCCTGTGTGACTGGCGTTTGATGTTTCTTCTTTTTATTTGTTCTCATGACCCATTCACTCTAGCAAATGTTAACACAAAGCAATAATATCATAACTTGTACAAGGAAATGAACCTTCAACGTAAAAAAAGTGAAGGATTTCACATAAGTAGCCATGCAGTTCTTTGGAAATACTCAGTGTTCTCAAGCGGTAAATGGTAAAATTTACCGTTCGAAGCAACACTTCATACTATCTAAGGGTTGAAAATAAAATAACACCTTTTAGCCTGAATCTCTAGGCTGTTTTTGTCAAGGCTTATTTTTTTCCTGGCTGTCAATAATGAATAAGTTTGCTTTGTACATTTTTCAGCAATGGCTGATGATTTAAAATTCTTGGAACCAGGAGTGAACACATTTGTTCCCTGCAATTTTGCTAGCCACTTCTTGCAAATAACCCGGCATGTTATGATCATATTTAAAGAATCAATCAGGAGATATTTGTTTGTCTTTTTCCAGCTTTCAAATGTAGATGTCGCTGATTCATGTGTGATGAAAATGGCACATTCTAGACACTTTTTTTCACTTTCCACGATCTGCGTGTGTGTACTGTTACACTACTGAACAGAATCTGCCAAGAACCATTTGCCCAGCATGTGACCAAAATCTTTTTGAATTTAAATTTCACTTTCTTCCTTGAGAAAACTTGAAAATATAAAGTGATTTTAAAACGATGTTGCACATAACTTGCATGTTTCACACTTGAACAAATGTGTAAAAGAATTAGTAGTTCACAGTAAAAAAGAATAATATTATCCTTTTTAACTTTTGCAGAATGCTTTAAATTTCCAAACCTTTTCTTTCTCTTTCTATTCATTTTAAAATGTTTCCAGAAAGTTTTAAAACATTTCTTGGCTTCTTTACTGTCTGATATGAAATGTTTACTACAACATTACAGCAACTTCGATTTCAGTGGGCTGCTCAAAGCATGACATTTTCTATTTCTTTGGTGAAAAGTCGCCAACAAGTTTGGTCAAAGTGCTGCCATTTCCCTCACTCCATTACCCCCTTCCCCCTAGGGAAGTGGGCCTCTGGCACATATTTCTTGCCTTACTCATATACTACAGAAGTAGCTCTAGCAAAACGTAAGAAATCCAGGGTAGTGAAAAAAGCAACCAGTAATTGCACAAAGGAAAATCTTTACTTTGTTTTCATTTACACTTAAATTTTGCCCAATTTGCAAACATGTGTACAGAAAAAAAAGCTAAAGATGGCCTGATAGATTAGCAGGGTTTGAAGAAAGTCCTGCCTGGTAGTTAGGGACAACAGAAGTGGACAAGGACCCACACAAGCTCTAAGGAGAAACTGCCCACCTACCCTCCCTAAGCCAACATTTTGCCCTAAGTGAGAAGTAAGTGTTGATGTTAGCAAAGGACAAGGACAATTGAAATTCAAGTCTTTTTGAGCTTTGATTAGACTGAGACCTTGATATATAAGGAGCCCCTATATAACAAACACTAAGATAAAATGACTGACATTCTTCACACCAGATAAAAAATGTTTAAAAAATGGCAGTTCTTGCTATTATGACCCCCATTACATTAGAGACATTATCCCAGTCTCTTCAATGGCACTTCCTTAAGACAAGGATTTACTGCAGATTCACTAGTACTATATCAGTTATTTGTGACACATATGAAACTACCAAATAACCAACCTGGTCTTGACGTCCTTCCAGCAAGGCATTAATTGTCGCTTCCGTGTCAAAATCGTTATCATGCAGGGCGACACATACATCATCATAACCGTATCCCGTGACATCACAAACCTAAAAAACAAACAGCTGAAGTATTGAATGTTCTTTGCATTAAAGTTGGAAAAGGTAAATGAAACTGTACTAAGAGTCTGTAATCAAACAGAGATAAACTCCAACAAAATTTTAATACAACTATTTATAGGGCTTGGAAAGGTAAGAGAAAATAATTATATCAGTAGTTCAATGACTGACTGTGATATGATTAAGGACAGAACTGTCACTTTTTAAATCAATCTTCAATGATTTTTCTTGCAGTTAAGCAAAGAACTAAATATAAACAACCATACAATTTCTAAAATCGAATACTGCAAAAAAGGGTAAATATCTGTCACATATTCTATCAATTTAGCATTTTCATATAAAATACATAACTACCAAAGTTGCTTTTAGAATCACTTATATAACCCTGTGCTTTTCAAAGTACATTATATTATTTTATAACTGGTTCAAAGTAAAAAATGGCACCTGTTTGATCTTGTCTTTCATGGCTTTGGAATCTTCTGTGTTTAAAAGTTGGGCATATCTTATCTGTTCCGCAGTAGGCTGAAAAATTACAAGAACCTATTAACATATAATTTCCTTACTTAGATGCAAAGTTAGTCCTGCCATTTTGCATTTTGCTTGTTGTTTTTGTCTTTTATGCATTATCAAAAATAAACATAATAGTTTTGTTTACCTAATAACTTGCAGGGCTCAAAATTGTGACTCACTAGCTCACCAATGCAACCAAGAATTGAGTGCTAGTGACTCACCATGATAATAATAATAATGAGACATTTATAACACACCCTTTCCCAGGGTCCAAAGGCACTATTTACAAGTTTAAAAAATTTAAAAAATACGGTAAAATTTAAACCACAATAAAAAACTACAAAAACTAAAGACAAAATAATTTAAGATCTAAAAACACGAAAGTCAAGTCATCAAGTCAGGAAGATTGTTCCAAAGAAGAGGCGCAGCAACAGAAAAAGCACAACGGCCATAACTGTTTATGTTAAAAGCAGGTATGGCAAGCAGATTTTTCATTGAAGACCTAAGATCCCGGGTTGGTCTCTCTTCACCCAGGGGTATAAATGGATAGCAGTGACATACTGCTGGGGGATAATCCTGCGGTGGACTAGCATCCCATCCAGGGGGGAGTAGCAACACTCCTGGGCATGCTTCATGCTAAGGAAACCAGGATAAGCTCTGGTCGTTTCGGCCTTTGGCTTGTATAGGCGTCTACCTTTTTTTTCTTGCAAGGAAAGTAACACTTAAAAGCACTTTTTGAGCTATAATATTAAATAAACTGGCGACCAAATTTTTCCCATTAGTAGCTGGCAAAGACTGAACTAAAAAAGCTGATTTTGAGCCCTGGCTCTACTAAGAAGTCATTACTAAGATATTTCAAAACCAATCATAGCTATTTGGGATCAGACTCATTTTAGAAAATTTCGAAAACTATATTGCAATGTCTTCCCCATCCATTCCTTGTTGTGTTGTCCTCCTTGTCGAGGTTAACCTTGGTGCCCAGTTATTTTAAGTAGAAATTGAAGAACCATAAAAATCATTATTTTTTTAAATAAAACTGAAAATTATTCTGTTAACATTTGTTGATTGAGCAATCTATTAACTTAGCCAACAGGTTGCAACTTAACTGGGAATAAAAAAATGCGCGTACATATGCCATCCAATGGCCAATAAAATTAATAACTGACTTAAAAGATGATTAAAATTTATGTAAATTTGCCAGCGACATCTAAGGAGAATTAAGTACAATTAGGCTACACAAAACAGGTATTTGCCTTTTTGGAAGTCAAGCCATCTGTGTGTTTGGTCTGTGGCGTTGGAGTTCCTCCTTTCATATTCCTAGTTCCCTATCTGTACAGTATATACAAAGTATGTACAACCCTCCTGCGAAAGAAAAGCATTAAATAAGCATACACGCTCAAGAAACCGTTAATTTCATGAATATATGGAACAAGTAGAATTCAAAAGTGAGATTGCAAAGTAAGGAAAGTTAAAACGGAAGTACTTGCATGCGTCAAAGCTCTCGTTCACAAATCCACCGAACTAACTTAAGCTTATGTTATTTAAAGCTGGACAGTCTTATAAACGCCTTTGCTAAGGTCTTAAACAACATAATTTTTACCTTTAAACAAAGAGGATCCCTTAAACAAAAATTTCAGGCTTGTGGACAACGGAAGATGACAACGAACTACGAATGAGTCACGAATCAAAAATGGTGGATGACTGCTAAAATAAGCAGACTCCACCAAAACTACGAAACACTTTACTTTGACCTTCCAGGCGTTTTAAATTCTTTCCTTTAACTAGAGCGAAGCCGTGTATGACTTGATAACTTTCTTGAAAGCATAAATATCGTCCAAACCATCCAAGAAAACCTCCGTTGGTTTTGCATTGGTATTTAGTCGTACATGTGGCGATCGCTAAATCGCTGTAAGAAAGCTTTCGCTTTGTTGTCCCAAACTGAAGATCTCGAAATATATACAATGCACAAAATTTACCAGATGATAACTCCTTATACCATAACACGGTAAAATAATTCGCAAACGAAGAGTTCTTGACTGCGTTTCCTGCGTAGAATTAAACCCAGGGTGTAAGACAAAAATGCAACAATATTTCCCTTCCTCGAGGTCGCAAAACTGTGGATCGTTGTCATTTCCTTAGCCTTGACGTTATATTACTTGGTTAATACTTTAAAATCCACGGACAGGATAACATACTTACGTAAAATGTGGCTCTAAATTACAAACCAACAGTTTTGCCGCTGCACCAGACATGCAGGACACAATACATGCGTTTGGCGATGTGAGATGGTCACGTGTTAAATGATTTTGGCGCGCTCTCGCGGGACACTGGGACAAGTTTGAATCGAACGCTGTACAGACCAAGTAGAGAGAGAGACTCTTCCAATCGAGGAGTTATTTTAGGGAGGCGGCTTCTTAACAGATCTTAGCACGCAAGCAATTCCCGAACCAAGTTAAAGAGCTCAGTCGTGTTAGAAATTGCGTAAAAACAGGAGCCCATTTCTCCTGGTAAAGGATTAACACCAAATATCGGTGCTTGGTTTTCTTCAGATATTTTGTTTACAAATAGACCTTACCTAGTTGATCTGAAGCGAGTCTGAATTGGAAAAATATTGCACCACAAAACAAAAGAAAAAAGAAGAAGAAAAAGAAAAAGAAAAAAAGCGAGACTCTTTGACCAGAATTTATGGGAGTTAATTTGGAATTTCTTTTAAACTCTCTTGATATTTTCGACAAAAGTAAATTAGTTTTGTTGAGCTGGTTACAGATATTAGAATAAACGCCTCTTTTATATTAAACGTCCTCTTTTGAACCTTCAGAATTGAATAAAGGCAATAAACGTTCCGGGCGTCTATTAAATCATTTCAGTAAAGCTGCACCTGTCTAAACCCTTATTTCACAGGCCCCCTGTAATCTGCACTTCCATTGTTTTCAGGGATAGAGGCATTGTTACGTGACAATCCCTATTGTTTTCCCAGCTAATCACAAACAATCTTTGAAGTCGGTACGGGATCAATCATTTACGTTATTTTGTCACCCTGCGAATTGCAATGCAGCCTTTTCTCCTCGCTCCTCACTGCAGGGGACGTCGTTTCGCGAAATGTCCCAAGCGGCGAGGAGGGAAGAGAAACGGCTGCTTTCGCAGGTTATTACTTTGTTTATCCTCATACAATTTCAGTTATAAGATACAAATTCCAACGGGCTCCCATAGAGGGTGGGCGGCCTCCGGGACGACAAGAATCCCCTTCTCAAGCTTATATCGGAGTCCAGAATAGACCTCATCACGGTTTTGGAAGAGGCAACCCGTCAGATAACTCTTGTTGTTTTTTGCAACTTATTGGTTTCCCTGATCTCAAAGCATGTCAATTTTGTGCATATACCACGAGAGGGAGTGCGTTTTCATATGACAAAAGATGCGGTCTTGGTGAGCGTATTCACTGGTTTCAAAAATATTTGGGTTGGTATGGACAGGGTCCAAGGGTACGTTCGATTGGGCACTCAGGAATTATAAGAATAAGCAGAAATTAGCGACAAATTTGTTATACCGGCTGCGAAATTTTAAATTAATCTTAATTATTTAAGAATTTCTACCAGATTTCTAAATTTTACCATGTAATAAGCTGAGATCAGGACTATTTTTGGAGAAGAGAGAAAGACATATTAGAGATATAGGGAGGGGTGCACGGTGTTGGCAAGCTTAGCGTGCAATCAGGGCTCCTGGTGCAGTGTAAGCTGCATCAAGTGAATTTTTTAGTTTACACATGAATTCGTTTCTTAGAATACGGTCAGTCGGACGCGCGTTAAGTATGCCTAGCTCTGCGTGTGAATTGTGTTGATCATAGATTACAACAAACTTCAAACGCTTCTTGATCTTTTCGTCGTTAAAAGTGGGTGTCCTGTGGTTCACAGTTAAACTGATTTAAAAAGGGATGGAGCCGGGGAAAGGTTTGAAACGATACATACCGGTATCTCCAAGACAGGGCTTGTTTACCATCAAAAAGTTTCCGGAAAACGTCTTGGAAAACCCGGTTGAAAAGTAAATGGAACATGACTTTTGGGTCGTTCCAGCAAAACCGAAGTCACAGAAAAAAATAAATTATCGATTATTATCGATTAACAAAATCGATAACAATCGATAAGAATCGATAGCTACTGATAGCAATCGATTAAAATCATCATCGATTGCTATCGGAAAATCATCGATATTAATCGAAGTCACAACTTTTTTTCTTTATCGATTTCTATCGATCCATATTGGAAATCGATATTCATCGATGATTGATATCGATTTCTAACGATTATTATCGATTATCGGTTTATCAATTAACTACGTTTGGAATATTCCAAACGGACATTCGTCTTCCATTTCTTCAAGGCCATCTTTGGTACCAGTTTCACGTCTTAGCGGTCGTTTTTCGGGAAATGGAAATGATTTATGTTGTAGAAATGGTATTAAAACGCGGTCCCGGAACGAATCTTACCAGTCATGAATTTTGCGTACCATTTACCCAAACCGTCGACCCACCGGTTTGCCCATGTAACTGGTAAACAACCAGGGTTTCATTTTCTGGCCAACGATCAAAGAAGTAAAACTACAAATACGGAACTCTAAAACTCCAATCGCGTCTAGCGTTTAGCGTCTAGGATCATACACAACGTAATAACAGAACCCGAGTAAAACAGGAATTAAAGTTAACGCGATGCTTTTATGAACACCACTGTGAAAACTCCAGTTTATCATTTTGCAACTTTAGCATCGTGTTGTGTTTTACTTGTATAAAGGAAACAGGGGCATGGTATTTTCAAAAGGTATATTTCGTTTTTCCCGCGTTTCAAATTTGGCCTGACTGGACGCGGCGTTCGTTTGGGTTTAATTTTTCACAATTATATTGTTTTTTATTTTACTTGTTTTTGTTTATCTTTTTTCTTTCTTAAGATTTAATAATATGAAGTCTGGCGCATATATGTTGCGCAAAGTTTTATGCCAATGTATATTTTATGTATGATAAAAAGTGTATATATGTAAGAAAATTATCTCTGTACAGTCTGGCTTGTCGCTATTAGCTCTGCGCTCCTGGCAAGTCAGCCTAACAATGTTTTTCTTGACTTTTTTTATTGCGTGAGAGAGAACAAGCCACGCTAAGCAGCGAAAAAGGGTCGCGAAGTTGCATGAAAGTTAGCCTGTTCCAGGCTCTCAGATAGTGGGGGAAGACGCGAAAGAAAAAGGCACGCCAAAGTTGGCGGGGCGGGCTCTCCCCAGTTTCCTCCCGTTTTATTTTCGTGTTTGCGCTTTCTCAATTCAGCGGACCCGACTATCTCGGAGCCTGGAACAGGCTACACGAAAGTGAGATTAAAGTCCACGGAAACCAAAGGTTTTTCTCTTCCTCGCCGCTTCGCAACTCGTTTTCGTCGCTTCGTTTCGAGTACTGGAAACTTATCACAATTTCATCTCAGACCCAAAAAACGAACTGAGCTTTCTTGAGACAGAAGGCCAAGACTTGATCATACCATCCCACCACCAACCAATTAAAGGCCAAAACACACTACACCACAGATATTTAGTCAACTTTATTTGAGTTGATCGCAAACTAAATATGTAAGACACTGAGAAAACGCAAAACGCCATTGTCATATCTAATAAAAAGAAAGATACAATACAAAAAAATCCTCTAAAAACGCCTTTAACAATCACTTGACTATTTTACACATGATCTTTTATCCTACGCTTAAGTTACAGAATGCTAAATAAAACTGCGTTTTGGGTAATTTTGTGGGTGCTATTACAACTTCATACCAATATAAAGCATTACGAAGTAGGAGCATTTACTAAGTGGCTGCTGTGACGGATCATCATCTTATGATTACAAAGACAGAAACATCTTCAGGGAGGATTTAACAGGTCTGAAGTTAACAGAGAGTGTAAACTGATATCTCCATAAAAAGAACAAATTGACCAGTATATTAAACGAACACCGTGCACTGGTCCAGCTTCAGAAATTCTTGCCCGAGTACTGCCTTACACTAGAAAAAAAGAAAGCAATAAGCAACACTACAGTTTAGTCAAAATAATTGTTACTCTTTTCCTGTTTATTTTAACAATCAAAGCAACAGCACTGAGAACCTAAGAATAAGCACAAGGGTAGCTCTTAGCACTGCATGCACAGTCGCACTGCTAAACATACAGCAGAAGAGGTGAACGGCATCCCCGAAAAACTGTCGGCCGACAGTTGGCCAACATTCAGCTTTCAGTACCTAGCCTGGGACAAGGATCCGTAGTTGGGGAAGGAAGAAAGGCAAAAAAAGGGGGTGAGACAGCGAAAAAATCAGCGCCACACGAGTTATTGGGACTTAAGAGAAACAAACCGCTAAATATGATGTATTTAGGTTGGCTCCTTACCTTTGTTGAAGGAGAAACTGGCCAAAGTTGATCTGGGATTGATTGCCTGAGATAGTAATGATCCTGTCATTGGAGCCAGGAAGAGGATCGTCAATCTTTATGGTGGCACCAGAGCGCTCTCTAGAAAACAACAGTTCAATAAGATGACAATAAAAAACCAATGTTTGGATAAGGTTAAGCAAAATAATAATAATTGTGATTTGTAAAGGTCAGTCAGTGGTAAGCAGATTAATAGACCCTTCAATGTTTTTTTTTCAACTCTTAACTAGGACCCGTTAGCGAAAATCAGTTAACACGGCGCTTGAAAAAACGCCTTCAAATCAGTAAAGTTGCCAAGTTTAAAACTGATTTGTTAAGCAAATTCGCGAAATTTTTCAGACGCTTGTAAAGTTTAACGACTTTCTGGAGCAAAATCTTCGCTATCTTTGGACGTATCACCTTTAAGCATAGTAAGTAACCTTATTTTAATTGTCTTTCATTTTTCAGCATTTTACAAAATGGAATATCGGATTTTTCTTAACTTAAATACACCTCTAAACCATGTATTGTTTTCCCAATGCGGGTCATCAGATAACACTAAAGAGAACTGTTTCTTTTAAATTTTACCCTTTCCACATGCATATGTACACATAGCCTGTTCCAGGCTCAAAGATAGTAGTGCAGTGCCATCATGCAGTAAAAAAAGATGCAAAAACACGTGGTGGCTGGAGAAAGAGAGGGCGCTGACCCCTTCACTGGATCGCGCGCATCTTATTTTCACTTGGCTTGTTGTATTTTCACGACATCCCTGCTATCTGAGAGCCTGGCAGAGGCTAATGTATGCATAATTTATGAAAAGACAAAGAGGCAAATTCCACTGAGGACTTCATTGAGAAAACAAACCGTGCAAGCTAATGAGGTCTATTGTAGGAATGGGTTTAAGTACATGTGCTTACCTTATCTCTTTAATTCTCTGTCCTCCTCTTCCAATGATGGATCCAGCCAGCTAAATTATCAAAACAAATGTCAGCTTCAATCTTTTAGCTAGCCCGAATTTCATCCGATTACCGTATTTATTTGAATAAGCGCCCAACCTCGAATTAGCGCCCACCTCGAATAAGCGCTCATACTAAAGGCAGAAAAAGTTAATAAGCGCCCAGCCTCGAATAAGCGCCCACCCCCTCCTCCTCCCAAGCAAACTCAAATAAGCGCTCACCCCCACCCCACCCACTTGAGTGAATAAATTCTAATAAGAGACTTCCCTGAGGACGGAGTTTTCTTCAAAGTATTTTACAGAAATCTTGCTTTGTTATGTCTTCGCGTTTTCTTATTAGCATTTATTGTTTTGTTGCAAAATAAACATACTTCACTTGCTGAAAATGGTGAAAATTTAATAAGCGCCCAGCCTCGAATAAGCGCCCACCCTCAAGGTCCAAAAATTTAATAAGCGCCCAGGGCGGTTAATTGAATAAATACGGTACTTCAAGTCGTTATTTTATTACCGAGGGAGTAATAACGACTCGAAGTAATCGGATGAAATTCAGGCTAATCTTTTAGCTAACTCTTCAATAAATATTTTGTGCTCAAATGAAAGTTATGGAGAAAATCTTTCAACACAAAGTACAGTACCACTTACATCTTTTGGAATAGTAACTTGAGTTGTTGTGTATTCTCCTCCGCTCACAGGCCCTTCCTGATTCCATTGTCCTTTATTTAAATAAAAGCAAATTTATTACAAATGAGCCATTTCCAAGTTTCAAAAATCTTCATTTTCACCTTTCTTATGAAAACAAGAATTCTTTTGAAAGCGTTTAGGAGGCCATTGATTCTACACAAAACAGGATTCTAAAGCAAGGTCAACAAATCAGTTTGACTTCTTGGAAAATAACAAATCAAGTTCATATGAAAGGCTTTGCATTCAGCCTTGAAAGGGAGCCTTTGAGAAACTGGGAATAGCCTATTACAGTCTTCGTTTCCTCCTCCTCTTCTTCTTTTTTTTTTTTTTGTTTTATTATTTTAAAAAAATTCCACTCTAAAAAAACCTAAGTACCATTGCAGGGTTGTGTCCGGGACAATACAGTACTAGTCTTCTAAATTTAGGTGTTGATGGTTCCTTTTAAAAACTTCCCACATTTAATTGAATAATCAGTGATTTTGTTTAGCTTGCATCCATCATGCCTGACACATTAACTCCTCCTGCCCCCGCAAAAAAAGTAACATCACATGTACTGTATGATGTAACAATTGATCTCTGAAAAGGCTCTACATACATAAGTAACAACAGAACAGATTTCCATGCTAATACTCCAACACAATCATTGGTTTTTGGACTCATGATTTTTCACAATATGAGTCACAGGACTCTCCACAGCAATTTGTAACAAAATCACTGAATAATATCAAAATGTAACCAACCCTGTCATGAGCAGTCTACAAAGAATTAATGACAGCTATAGAAAAATGTTGTTTTGAAAACAGCCTTTACCTTCCATGTCTCCACCACCCATGTTTCCTCCACCTCCCTGTGACAATAGAAAACACAATGTGCCTAAATAATGGTTTACTCACAAGTTACTTCTTTCTTCTAAGAGAAGTCCTTTCTTTATAAACATACAACAACTTTCAACTGAGCTACAGGTCAACTCTAAAGTTGCAAAAAATGATAACCTTTGCAGTAAAAGATAAGACCTAGTGTAAATACCAAGAAAAAAAAGCAACTGAAACTTTAAAAATAATACAGAGAAGGTCCAGATGACTTATGCATCAAGGGTGCAAAATGCAAAAGGAAAAATAATACTCAAGGAGAGGATCAAGAAAAAAATTAAAATTCACTGGCAGACTAAAATGTAGCGAAAACTCAAAATGGTAGAAAAATGTTATAACCTAACAATGTAACATGAGAAAATGCCGGACCAATGGCCTATGAATGTACCTTCATATGGAGGAACAATAGAAAGATAAGACTACCACCTTGCGAACGCACTATAGTACAGATACGTGTAAACATTGACAAACCATTAAGAACTAAAACTAAAAGTAATTTTGTCAAGAATTGTGTGATTAGAATCCTTAAGAAGCTCTTTTAAAAAATGAGCTTTAATAAAACGACAGCAGCTTATCAAAAAATAGGTACCATTTTTCCACATACAGACAGAAAATAGCATTGGCAAAATAGCAAAAATGGTGATGCAATCTTCCATGGCTGTGGAAATATCCCAGCTCTAGGGTTTAAGAAGCTGGACATGTTAGCAGGTAGAGAAGCATTGAGCATAAAAACTTACAAAGTCCTGGTTGAAGTTTCCTCCAAATCCCATGTCGCCTCCCCCACCAAAGCTGCCTCCACCTCTACCACCTCCTCGACCACCACGTCCCCTGCCACCTCTACCCCGCCCACCACCATCTCTACCACCTCTTCCTCCACCTCCGCGTGGGCCACCTCCAAAGCCACCTCCATAATCCCAATTGTTCCCTCTGGATGGGTCATACAATGACACTTGCCCTTTTAATGGCGTCTGCAGTGAAAATGAAAGAAATACATGTAATGAGTATGGTAAAGGCAACTCACTGATAACGTAAATGAGAACAAACAAACAGAGCCATTCTTCTCTCATCATGCATACCTCATTTAAGGTGTCAATCACATTTCGAACACAGGCCAAAATAACATCATCAGAACCTAAAAAAATTTAAACCGTTAGAAGTGTTTATATTTTCCATTAGCAGCAATCAATATTACTGGCAAAAGAAAATAAATTAAAAGTAATAACAATAAAAACTCCAGTTGAGACAATACCACATATGGAGACAACTCTTTCAGTTGAATCAGGCAAACAATCAGCAAAGACCTGGAAGAATATTTAGGAACAAAGAAAAGTTACCTACTGTGAAAAATGACAACGGCAAAAAGATACAAGTGGGACAAATCATGGAAAATACCTTGATTTGGGCACCAGTTTGCTATAAAAAAACAAGTCAAATAGTTAAAAATTAGTTTGCAGCCATTAAAAAGTACTATGAATATCATGTGTATAATTTACAAAAACATTTTCTACTCTTTTTCTTTAATACCTCTCTGGTCTCCTTGATTTTATAACCACCTCTCCCAATGACACTTCCTACTTGACTCCGTTGCACAAGCATCTGGATTTCTTTACCATTACGATCTGATGGCTGACGCTGTAAAAAGAGAGTAAGTGTGAGAGTGTAACAAGCTAAATATCTTATCATCAGGTCACAGGATTGACTAGAGTGTTACTTCAACCTTGGTAGTGAAACACTATGCACAGAGCTGAGTTAGAGGTATGCCTAATCCTAGCTGTAGGAGATGGGATACTCGACTTACGTAGAAGAGTCCTGACAACCAGGTTGTTATGCAATACTTTGTGCTTAGTGCTCAGTCTTACTAAGAGGAAAAGAAGCTTGGCAGCCTTGCAGGGCTTGGAGTTTCAGTAACAGTCCATGCTTATGAGGAGAAAAGGGAGTACTGCAGGCTGCTAATTGGTACCCTTGTTAAAGGGTCACGCTAAATTTTGCTATCTTTCAAAAAACACTTTTTTTGAATCCCAAAAATAATGGTCCAGTTATGTTATTTAAGATTACATATAGGCAGTGAAACTGTTTCCTGTCCTCTGATACCACGGATGGCAAGGATGGGCTTGGATTGAAACTTGAAATAGCTGGGCCAACTTTTTCAAGTTTTAATGCTATGCCTGCAAAAACTAACAAAAAAGCATTAACCCATTCGCTCCTGGAGATTTTGCCGAAAACGTGTTTTGAAGCTAGTTGAGTAGTTTTCTGGTTACCTTTGTGCTATAAAGAGCTAAAACTTACCACAAAACCGTTTACAGGTCGTGCCTTCTGATCCAGATGCAAACTGTTAGCTTGCGAAGTTCATGCGCAGAAAGCAAAATTTTGAGATTTTGGGTTTAAAAGTGACACAGCAGTCTTGGCTTTTACTTTTCGCTGTCTATACTCCCCTCTTTTTTCGCTTTTCTTGCCTCATTTAGTAGGCTTCATTTTGGTGGGTAGAGTATTTAGGAAAGCTTTTAGGATCTTAGGATTAGGTGAAAGGAAAGGTAGGTGGGCAATGGAACAAGATTTTCATGGAGATTTTCAGGTCAATGTTAAATGGTTTTTGTCCTTTTTCTCCGCTGTCCTTGACTGAATTGTGCTCATTCTGGTATGGTTTGAAAGATCTCTTCACTCTGCACAAGTTAGCAGACAAAGTTGCACTTGACGGTTAAAACTGATGACATCACAAGCAGTAGAAAGGACATGGATCTGCACAGGCGGTTACGTGCAGCTTAGTGGCGAATGGGTTAAGGTTAGTGCTCCCTGATGAAATATGTTTGATATCTTGTTCATAACGCTACAAGAACATTCTGTGTATGGGTGAAGGTGCTAAGTAATGACTTGAGCACAGAATTGACTTAAAATGGCAATATCCACGTGACATAGGTTCTTTAACAATGCTTCCTTTAGTTTGAAAGATGAGCAAAACTATTCAATATGTTGTCCTTACCTCTCCAATTTTGGGCAAGCACTCTGAAAAAATTTGTATAGCACTTTCCTGGGCAGCTGTTATTGTCAAGACACTAGAAGTAAAAGGGTGTCCATGTAAGTATGGGCACAAGATCATGCTATAAAGTGTACATAATGTTGCTGGCACTATTAACATTGTAAATTTCAGCGCAACTGCAATGTACTGTATCGTGAATTTGGGCAAAATGATGCGTGGTATTTACATGCAAGTTAGGCTATCTTGAAAGTGCTTTGGCTAACAATCTGTGCAAATTTATCAAGACCCTTGCAAAAATGTAAGCAGTATTTGAAGAAGAATACTAGATCTGAAGCCTTACATTACCAGAGGGTCTAGAGTGCAACAAACTTTCACTGGGAGTTCTTGGGCAATGAACAACAATGTCATGTCAGCATGAGCTTCATTATTTAATGATGTTTACACTTTCTGTTTATGCAAAATCTTATCGAGTACAATGAAGCCAAATACAGTACTAAAGGCCTACTTTCAAAAGTTAGGGTGGTTTTGTGGCCCATCATCTCCATAATTACTCTCTATTTTGGGGGGAGTTTGGACACAAAACATCAATGTAAGAAGGTTCTTACATGAACATCCTTAGACACAGAGTACCACTCAAAAGTAAGTTGACAGTCACTCGCATGTCAATCCTTGACACTTCAGACTCAATTCTACTGAGAAAAAAAACTACTGAGAATTGAGTCTCAAGTTTGAGAATCGAGTCAAGAAATATAATGAGCATGTCACCTGATGGATCTCTTCAGGAACAAATTCATCAAACAGACGGCACTCTGATTTTAAGGAATGTTACGTACTCAATGTGGACTGTGACAAAAAGCTTGCTTGGCTTTTGCTATTTTTCTTGAAATCCTTTCAAGTGATGAATTTTCAAACATGTAGGTTTTTTGTAACTCAAAACTTGATTCTGGCATGTAAAGTCAAGACTGTCTATGTACTTTTGGGTGGTACTGTATGCACATCCTTCACATAAAAGATCCTTTACAAACTAAATAATAAATTTGGGATTGTTCAGTTCTTTAATTCCTCTAAAAATGTTTTGTGACAGAAAGCAAAAAAACTAGAGTAATTGGGTCAAATTGGCAGCTAGGGCACTCGAAAACCTAATGGTATTGAATGTACAGAACACAGAAGACATCACTGGCTAGCAAGTGATGTAGCTGTGCCACCAGCACACCTTAAGCGGGCTGATCACAATGATTTAAGGATAAACATTTCACTTGCAAAAAATTAATCTAAATTTCTATATTGTAATGGTAAGTACAGAGCACCAATGGGCTGGACAAACATTTAAAGTGAACCACGGGACATACCGCTCAGGGGAATTGGTGTCCGGGACATTGACCACAGCTTTGTACTTGGGTGAGTTCAGGACAGGGACCAACGCGGGCAGGGCAGGCAGATGGGTGCAGAGACGGACACAGTTGGGCATTTGGGAACGGGAGGCAAGGGATGGGAAGAAGGAGGGAAAATAACAAGAGAGAGAAAAAAACAACAACAACTTAGCAGGGATAAACTATATTCCAAGAGGCAGAACAGAGCATCTCACAACTACAAAGGATCTTGATTAGCTGGATAAACTACAAGGGAAAGGAATGAGTTTAGATAACAGCACACATCTCAAAATCAAAGCTTGAGACAGCTGCAGAAATAATACATAAGACAGTGTGGTAACTTGAACCACAAGCAATCAACAACACTATTATATCACTAGGAATCTGATGTAGGTGTATCAATATAGACAACACCCACAGGGCTTTTAATAATTGACCATAAACTTAAAACAAGACATTATAATAATTATGGTTAGGCCATCTATAGTATTCATTCTGTTAATGGAAGTCATTTAAATTTTACCCACATTAATCAATAAAATAAATAAATAGAGAATAATATCGTAACTGAGCTCTTAAACCACAAAAACCTCCCTAGACAAGCTATGTGTTGCATCAAAACATTGACCAAGTATAGCTGGACAAGTATTAGTGAGTAAAAATTTAAAAGTGATGTAGCTGTGCTTCCGAACAACATCATACAGTGTCAAGACATAAAATTCTTTCCCTACCTCACTTCTCAATCTTTTCACATTTGACCCCGCCTGAATAAAAAGAAAAATACAGTTTTTAATGTTTTATTTTTTATGTGCTACTAAATCTATGAAATAAGATGCTAAAACTGATAACAATATTCCTCTTATCTGAGTTTTTATTGAATTGCAAAGGATAAACAGAGACCCACTCTCTTGCATGAAGTTTTTATGACCATTTAAATGTGTGGATTAATAATTTCTGGGATTTCCAATTTATTGAAGATGAAACAACAACAACATGATATTAATTTGAGGAGGACTCGGAAAAAAAAATCCGAGTCCCAGATGGGATTTGAACCCACGACCCTCCGTCACGGAGGGTCGTGGGTTCAAATCCCATCTGGGACTCGGATTTTTTTTCCGAGTCCTCCTCAAATTAATATCATGTTGTTGTTGTTTCATCTTCAATATACTCACTTTGGAGGTTGGTTGGCCGCATCTTGGATATGCTTTAAGGTGACAGCGCGATGCTGTTAGTGAGTTCTTCACTTCTTGTGTGCCTATCATTACTTGGCTGTGTAGCCGCGTGATGCGGTTCCAGTCGAGACCCACAAATTGGCCCTTGCTCACCATAGAGTCTCCAGTAGCTCAAGTGGTTAGAGCATCCGACTAGATCACGGAGGGTCGTGGGTTCAAATCCCATCTGGGACTCGGATTTTTTTTTTCCGAGTCCTCCTCAAATTGATTTCCAATTTGACAGGGCAATTTTACTTGAATACGGATTTCAGATTTGTCCAGAGAAAACTGCAGGTCACTAGGTATTGTATTATGTTTTACATGACGCATAATTTTATAATAATTACCTTGCCAATAATACCACCAGCATCCTAGAAAAAAAATGATGAAAAATATTTAGGAATTGCAACCTTACATGTTTTTATAAACAAGCAAATAATTGCTTTCTTTTCACAAGACAAACAAGCAGGAAACATGAAGAAAAATATATTTACTTTTGCAACTTTTCCAACATAAGTACTAACATGGGGCAAACATCAAACCTGACCTTGCTTTGTAACAAGAAACGTAATGTTAACTGTGGCCCTCCATCACCATTCTCATCCCTTGATCTTTTGGCATGAACATTGCTATTATAGTCCTCCTCTGCTGGCCTCTTCATCCCCATCCCTTGCTCTAAAAACAGAACACAAAATATCAAGAAAAGTTGCTGCTTCATGGTTGCCCATATTAATAACAAATTTATTATTGGAAGGGGGGGGGGCAAAGACAGGTTGAGTCAGCTCTCTTTAAATAGACACCAAACATCAAAGCAACTCTAGACTGATGGTTTGAGACAGGTACTGATCCTTAAGAGGACCATCTTTGAAAGAAAAGAAGAGTGTACTAAAGGCTACTGTTTAATGTTACTCTAGTGAAAGCGTAAGACTTAGTTTTGTGTCCTTAATTCACAATAACTTTAAAAATCAAAAGTACATGTACAGTACTGTTACAGTTAAACCTCGATTATCTGGACTCGATGGGTCTTGAGAAAATAGTCCAGGGCTGAGTTGTTCAAAGTTGGGTTAAGATAACCCAGGGTTAGTTCGAAATTTGAATTCAGACATGAAAGCTTAAAAAGCAAATTCAGTTTAGTTCTTTTTGTCAACAATTTGGTGATTGGCTACTCTAAAAAGAACAGAGAAAATTGTCCAAGAAAATGCTTTTGATTAAAAGAAAAAGACACCCGCGTTAAAGTTAGCACTAATCGGCCTTCAGACAACTGGGCCCTGATAATAATATTAGTGGAATATTAGTGGAACAAAAATGTAAACATAGGGAATAAACAAAACAACATTTACTTGTGAATTAGCTCTTGCTTGAATTTATGTACGGACTGTTAGTATTTATGTATTTTCAATCCTTCACTCGTCTTGACACTGTCAGTGAATTTCAGGATCTTCTCTTTTTTTTGCAAATATCTCAGATATGCTGTTTGCAGATTTTAAACTCGTGTGCTAAATTTGGTCCTTTTTCGACTTTCTCCAAACATGAAATAATTGTTTGCCTATCCTTTATTGAACGAACAGACTAGTTTCGTTGGGTAGACATGGCTGTGATTTGAGTTTACAATAGATTGGTCTTGTGTTTACATAACCAATGCGGAATCAAGCAAGACATTCCCTTAGCAACATAACAATTTTTTATTGATCCAATCACAATTCAGCTGAATGCATCAGAATGAATGTTCATCTCGTGCCGCTCATGCTTTTTCAAAGCAAAACAGATTAAAACAGTGTTTTAAAAGCACTTTTGGAAGGATTAATGAACTTTTAATCGTTTCAATTTTTCAAGATCACATCTTATTAATACTGATGAAAAAAATGGGACCAAGGAAACAAGTCCAGATAATCAAGGTTGGGATAATCGAGAATTGACTGTACACTCATTTTATTCCAAATATTGAAAGGCAGAACTCCATAGAAATTGTTAAGGTGACTACCTTTTTATCACAGGCACAGTGATGACATACTATGAACCTTGTCTAACTCATAACATTTTCCATTTAAATGCAACAGGCATGAATTTTGAGAAAAGCCACAACTGTCATTCAGCAATAACATGAAAAATTTGATTTAACTGGTTATGAATTTTTTTTCATTACCAAACTAGCTTGTGCCTACTTTTGTGTTACCCACATTTGGGTTTTCATCCTACTTCACTGTAATCAGGACAAGCAAGTGGTTATACCACAAGCTAATGCAATAATAATAATCTTGTTTTAGAAAAGATGCTTAAAAAGAAAAAGTATTCAACCTAAGTAAAAAACACAGCAATCTCTGCACCTAAGCCAGGAGTTTGTGACAGCTATTTTTTCCTGTTAGCTTTAAACCAGTTGTAAATTTAGTGAAAAAAGGATCCTGAAAGGATCCTGTACGCCTCCAGGAAAACCCTTATAACACAGCATAGCATTAGCTGAAAAGTGATCTGCCCTGCAATTCACAACTCAAAAGAAACCTTATAGTTCATATTTACCATGTTCTCCACCAGGCTGTTCCATGGCAAATGGTGTTTAAAACCTTCTCTTGTATGGTTTGGTCACTGATAATAAAAGAATAGTTCATTTAACATGACTCATTCTCAATAACATTTACTGTACCTGCTCCTTTGCAAGCACACGAGGACTGATGTGGATGAAAATAATCCCAAGTAATCTCTTAAAGAGAGGACACCAACTCAACTACTATTTTTGTTATGTTTGTTTGTCTTTTGGTGAGGGAGAATCCATTTTGTCTGTGCGAGCGCTCGACCAAACTAACTTGTCTTTTGCTAAGAAGCTCCCCACTTTAGCCTTGCATTCATTCATGCTAATATGAGTCTCAATGGGGGTCATTGGAAAAAATCAATAAGACTAATTTCATTGATAAACACAAAACATTGGTGAAGATGAGATATTTTATTGTTTACAATAGACAAACTTGCTGTTAATACTGTTATTGGGAAGTTCACTTCATCCAGGTCACCATCACTGCACAGGTCACTTTAGGTTTCAATTATCAGAAGTTCCAAAAAACATCAGGGTTTAAAAAGTCAGCATTCTACAGTATAGAGTGGTTTTATTAGCTGAGAGGCTACCAGACACAATTTTCAACTGATTATCCTGTCCTTTAATATTGTTTCAAGAGGTGGTATTATGGAATCAGCTGAAGGTAGAAAGTAATAGGGAACATCCACTGAATTCTAGCCAGTGCTTGAAATTAACTTTTTGATCTGGTCTTCCACATGACCAGGAGGATGAAAATATACTGGTCACTAAAATCCTTTTTGGCTTGTATATCATTTGTGTATGTATGCAAGTATGACCCCTGGAATTCCAAGTTTTTTTTGACGGAGCAGTGCCATTTTTGCAGAATATATTGGGCTTATTTCTTGATCATTTATAATGGTTTTGTCTTAAAACAGTTGGTGTTTTCATTTGGCCATTTAATATTTCAACAATTGGCACATCAAAGAAAAATGGATACTTTCACGATCGCTAAAACAACAAGCTGCCATATTGCATCCCACAATGCATTTGATTTCAAGATGAATCCAGACTTTTTACTTTGCATTTTTCTGCCTTTTTTTATTTTGGCACTTTTGGTTCCTCTTAGTAAGATACAAAAATAATAGTTTGTTGGAGCAGAATATGTTTAAAAGAGGAAAAGTAGAGACACATGGTCTGATCCCTATGTTTTTTGGATATTTTATCCTTGGTTCAAATTTTATTTCTTTTGTTTCAAACTTATTATCATATATTACCGAACCCAAAAACAAAGGATATAAAATTTACACCAAGGCAGTGCTCGAACTTAACAGTCGTCTACTCATCCAAAACGAGTAAAAAATTCCAAAAACTAGTAGTTTTCTTTGTTCCAACTCATTATTGCCTAAAGAACAAGATATATTGCATACACTCTTTACTAAGATCTTTATTAACATGCATATTACTCAGAATTCAGACAACTAAGATGGCTCGTCTGGATGTTTTAGGGGGGATACCTCCCAAGTGTGAACAATAACTTCATCGGCATGAGCAAAGATATGGCAAAAAGGTTACCACAACTGTATTATATAAAGATGACTTATATGGCGACTCCAATTGCAAAAAAACCCAGATCATCAGAAATTTTCATCTTTATATGATACAGTGGTGGTAACCTTTTTCCCATAACTTTACTCATGCCGATGTAGTTAGTGCTAAAAATTGGGAGGTATCCCCCCTAAAAAATCCAGTCGAGCTACCTTAACGAAAAATTTCGGGCAACTCGACTCTCTGGTTCTGGGCAACATATCTTTGGCACAAATGACTTTCATGCAACTTGACCGGATACTACTGACTGTACATGCAATAAGGACTGGTTTGTGCTTCAAAAGATCCCAAATGATAACACAGAATCCTTCTAAAGCAGGCTACATGATGAACGTTTCCTTCTTTGTAAAACAATCACGATGGCTCTTGCATATTTCATTATGTCACCGAGTTATATCGAAGACCAGTTCCTTTAAATTTCTGGGTCGCTCTAGTATTGCATTTCAAACAGAGACAATTCCAATAAGTATACAGAATTGGGTAAAACGCTGAGCTGGAAATAGAAGCAGATAGATAGCTCAGAATGTTTCCATTGCGGCATGGCCGATCAGCCAACAAATACGAAATTCAAATATTAATGTTCTCAATTTTTCCCCAGCAGCCGCGGTTTAAATCAATTGATCGAGAAAGGTTTCATACACCAACGCCCTCGCATCTAATGAAGACAATTATACTGGCCGAAGCAAGGAGATATTATTTTAACGACAGTTTTGACAACCGTACGGGAATATAATTTTCACATTGTGCATGGACGCCGCTGTGTCACTAAAATGTGGAAGCGATTTTCATGCGCATTCAATGCAGCCCAGCCGTTACATCTTTTGCATTCAAACAGATAAGTAGAAACTAGTTAACATCAACAATTCATTTTAACACAGACTGAGTCGTAAAAACTGAAAATAACAAGGTTTTACTCACCGAAATGGGCTTTTTCCCTCCGATCGCACAAAAAAAAACACCTGGAGCACGCGTTCCGGATGCTTGCTAAGAATTATGGGAGAGAATGTAGCCCATAATTCGGGCGAATCACGTGTCTTTGTTGATTCGAGGAAACACGCGTGTCCCGTCGCGTCGCTTGCATACCGGTAAAACGCGTATGCAAACCCAACAATACCTTACATATTATTCCTGAGTAATCCGGAAAAGAATTCAAAATAGTAAATAAAAACCAAGTGTATAAAAGGGACTGAAGCATATCGAAATCCCACAGCACAGCACTCGCATTACCATTGCGTCACACTAACTTGGTAACCTGCCACGGTTTCCGCCTGCCACATAAAACGCGAATCGAAGAAGGAGAAGCAGCTCTTTACTCTGTCATTACTCTATGTGTTGCGAAATTTGTCATGTCCCAGACAGGTTTTTGTAGTCTCTTTTATATCCATGGGAAGCTATGTTCTTATCACCCTGTAGAAGTGTTGTTAGTTTGTATCACTGGAACAGTTTGCTTGTTAACCTTAAACATCTATGATGCCACACACCACTTCGCAAGTCAGCAAAGTGAAAGTTACCAGCAAAAGGTTAGTTTGAAAAAACTTGAGGCTACTTTCAAGAACCGTTGCATTTTTATATTGTCTAAAGCTTTGTTGATGACAAGTGCAGAAGCTTTTTGTCAGCTATTCACCTTAATTGTTTACAGAGTCAGGGTCTCGGCATATATGAAACAAATGTAAGGCTTACATAAGCTCACTGAAGAATTTTGATCTTTTTGCTAGTGAGTGGATGGAGATAAGGCCGATTGAAGTTAAGCGGTTTACTTTAATGATAGGACGAAGAAATGTCACCAACCATACCTAAAGCCTCGTCGGAAATATCTAGAACAGTGTGTTAAAATATTCTTGACAGTCTTAAGCGTGTGCCTTTTATTCTTAATCCATTGTACAGATTTGCAACGGAAGCAGTTTTTAAATTTCTTGAAACCTCGCACCCCCTGACTGAAACAAAAAAACCACACTATTCACTAATTAATAACCTCTTCCTCTCGAATATTTTCTATTGAACCACGTTTCCAAGTTATTAATTTACTTTGGAGGGTAGGCTCTTTCAACAAATGACATCACACAAACTTTCTAACAATGTTAACTTCCAGCCAAAATCCATAGGTGTTCATATATCGTTGTTTATTAGTTTATGTTATCAACATGAAATCCATATATAATGGTAATTACAAACTGTCAAGAGTGTAAAAATGCAGCACGCAGTTCACCTGTGACGATGGTTTATGTCTAAAACGATGTCAAACCTCAGTGCTAAATACAAAATTATAGTCAAAACAAAAGAGTTAATTAACTTAATTCATAAGGACTAACTTATAGGGGATAGATCAAGACTTTCCAAACACATTTGGGTCTTCTCCTTTTCTACTTTCACTGATATCTTAGTTTTCAACTTAGGATTCTCTATACAGTGAATAATGAAATGCTTACTGTTTTCCCTAATACTTAGCCACTAAATAGGGATTTATCTGGTGGATACGTTATTGGTAAAATGCATTATCAGGATAAACCAGAATGTCCTTTGTCTCCTATATATTAATAATATTAGACCCAGGAAACAATGGAATTCTGAATCAAACTTGGTTAAAAAGTGGTTTAACTTAAAAACAGATTTTGCTTTTTACTGATATTTAATTTTAATTTTTACTGCTATCCAACTTGTGAGCAACTTGGTCTTGAGCAGTTTAATCATTGGCCAATACAGTCATGTTCTTAAAAGTACCTTTTCTTAATGTAATCATGTCAGCACAGTAATGATCATCATGATCAATCTGTTCTGATCAAATAGGCCTCATGGAGCATGTTTTGGTCATCACAATTTGGTAGTATTTTTCCATGTGTGGATGCATTTCCTTTTTCCTGTTAATTGAGAAAAAGATGTTAGATTTGTTTTATGGTCCTGTAGAGAGAAGGATTTTCCTCATGTGAAGTAATATTTGATTCCTACTGCTTCAGCAAATACTTCCTTAATAGAGATGTGCCTTTAATTGTGGACAAGGGTTTATTTTTTAACATCAGTAAAACAACCTTTATTCTCTCAAAAAAACTCCCTATAATCTGCTGTGTTAAAAGTTGTAAAACTTCGTTTCATCATCTTTATCCATTTATTTTCTGTCATTTACACTATTAAAATTATTTCTGTTATTTTAATTTACATTGTTCTATTAAAGAAGTCTGCTATTGCCAAAGCTTAATGCTTTTTAATTAGATTTCCTTTAAATCTCCTTGTGTAATGATTTCAGAAGAAAATAGTTCTTAAGAAAGAGTGAAACACATTAAATTTTCATCATTGTTCTATGATTATGTGTTAATTAAATTAATTTTCCTTTTTCATCTTTGGTATTCAAAGAAGACAAAAGTAGCACAGTTGGTTATAGCTTCATGATTTTGTTCTCTTTGTCAGGTTTCTTTGCCGGTTGGCTTGCATGTTGGTCCAACAAGTTATTTCTTTGCACTAGTGTGCATTTATCTCCAATGCAAGAAACTCATTCAACAAGGATCTTCATATGTGCTAGGTAGGAGATGACCTACTTAATGAAATAGCTCTCTTTGAAAGGGTTCCCAGTTTATTTAAATGTGGTGTACAACATCAGCTTAAAATCCTTGGCTCAAATTGTATTTTCCTTTATTTCAACACAGTAGTCATGCATACCATACCAAACACAGGAACAGACTAACTTATGAACAAAAGATCAAACAGACGTATTGTCAATAATGTTTGGGTTTTAGTCATTGCTTATTACTGGTAAATGTATCGTCAGTGTAATATTATTATTTTACTGTTAGCAATTTTAAATCCAAAACACACTGTATTTGCTGCTCAGATCATTGACTTTCTATTATAGTTCCAAGCAGATCTTTCGTAGTGTAGTTTGATTTTGTTGTGAGTCTCCACAGCTCTTAGATCATTCTTGTCTCAGGATAACACTGAACATTTTCATTTCTTTAACTTGTAGGTTTTGTCTCTGTGTTTGCAGTCTTCTCATGCGTAGTTTTCAGTTCAATAGTTGCTAACTTGTATGGCCGAGATTTTTGGGTTGTCAGGTAAGAAGGTAACATAACTCGCTGCTTTTGAATTAGTGACCTTGAATCTTGTAACAACTTGACATGGCATGTGCATTGTGTACATGATAAAACAGATGTGACCCTTGACATGTGGTTTTACCTCTGCAAACCAGCTGTACAGTGTATATGTGGCTAACCAAGTGACTTCTTATTAAATATCTCCCATAAACAAAATTTTTGACATTCAGGATATGTCCACTATAAAATTTCCATTTTTTTATTAATGTGTATTTATTCCAGGCTCATCAGGAACCTAATTGCATAGTGTGTTTTCAAGTTGACTAATAAAATAAAATTCTCTTTGTCTTGTAGTGTATAGTTGGGATATCTTTTCCTTTTTAGTGTTCATTTGACGTTTATTCTTGTTGCCTGATACTGGCCATGAACTGTCACTTCCGTTAGAAGTTAATTGTTGATTACTTTAAGCATGATAAGGTGACTGCAAGAAATTTTTCTCTTAGGGAAGCTTTACCATACTTCTTTCTTCTGAGTGACTTCAATGCTGCCAGCTCATTAGTCAAACACACTCTCCAGTCAGCTACATATGTGAGTTACATTATGTTGCTTAAAATTTTGTGTGTAAGACTGTTTCCTTTACTTTTCTCTTTCTTTCGAATTCACCATAGTAAATAGTCCATTCAAAATTGTGATTTATGGGACATGTTTCCTTTACTTTTTTTCTTTCTTTTACCATAGTAAATAGTCCATTCAACCTTGTGTTTTATAGGACGTGGTGCATAGTAGAATAGCTGAGAGCATTGCCTCCTTAGGACCAACCCTTACTCTTAATACTCTTGTTGGTGCTTTGGTTATTGGTACTGGAACACTTTCAGGTTTGTACATTTTTAAATATTTAAGTTTATTGAAATTAGATACCATGAGTTAAGAATTGGCTTTTTGTTTCTGTTCTAATATTGACTAATGATATGTAATTTAACTCTTTATCGTGTTAAAATAGAAAACATATCTACAGCTCAGGCTAGTTTGTTTAATGGCCAGAGTTAATGCAAACAGAAGAAATCCTCAAACCCTCAGTCTGGTTCTAATAAGAGAGTAATACATGTTATACATGTACTGTGAACATGTAGTAGAACTGACAATAAATATTTGCACCAAGTCTTGCCAATCACTGTCTCAATTCTTTGTTTCCTTCATTTTTTTTGTAGGAGTTGCAGAGTTGGAAACCATTTGTCAATTTGGATGTTTATCTCTTGTAACTCACTATGTTATATTTATGACATTCTTCCCAGCCTGTCTGTCTTTATTTCTAGAGGTAGGTTTTTTTGCACAGAAAATACTGGACTCAAAGCAATTTTTTAGTTCAAACATAAAATATTGGTAAGGCTGTGATTACAATGTACTTATTGGTTGTACTATTATCGTCAGCTGTGTTGTGGAAGCGGCCAAGGTTGTCTGAGATGGCAGTTTGAAACCACAGGCATCCCAGTAGAGGAACTGGAACCTAACCCAGTTGTACAAGGAGTGAAGCTTATCATGGTAATTTTTGCATTCCTTACAAGTAAACAATTTTGGCTTGTATATTGCAGTATACGTAGTAGGTCAACATTTCACTTTCATCAAAAAGCAATGCTTTTTCAGAATTTCTATGTGCTCCACAACTTAATTTTTGGTTGTTGTCATTTAGTCAACAGGATTGACACTTTTTCATCTGCATCGATGGGTTATGCTGAAGGGTGATGATTATGAGAATTCTCAGGGGATGTCAAGACAATCAGAAGATAAAAATGGGTTTACAAGGTATGGAAAACATGATCATTAATCTCTAATTGATCACTCAGAGACAATGTTAGTCAACCACAATAAGTTGAAAAGTATGAATGTAACAAGAGTAAACTCTGTTTCATATTGTTTGTGAAAAAAAGTATGCTTTTTAATTCTCCCCAGGTGAGAAAACTATTGAAAGGAAAAAGATACTTGTATTTTGTTCTCAACCAGTGTCTTTATGGAATGCAAAATATTGATAATCTGAGACTGAAATATTTTTGAAGTGTGACAAAATGTCTTATGTGACAAAATGTCTGCAAAAGCGACAACAGGACAGATCAAAATAATATGATTATGTCTTGAAATTAAAATAAATGTTGTTTTTGTCATGTCTCTGGGACAAATTGTCATGAATTGGCTGATTGATTGCAGCAGGATTGTAAGGGTACAATTTATTCATCCAATAATAATTAGTTACATTTCCTCTAAATCTCTAATTTGGCATCTGTTCACCAAGTGCAAATTGATATTTCTCTCAAGATATTGTTCTTAAATATTTCAGGACCATTTCGTTTTAATCTAAATCCTTGAATATTAAGTGTTGAGTTGCATTATTCTATTGATGATCACCAGTGAGTGCACTAAAAACTTGCTTTGTGTCTGTCATTGTTTAATAGTATTTTGCAGCCTGGTTGTCTCACCTGAAGTTCGCAGACAATGCAATCTTCTTTGATCTTTTTGCTTTCATTTTTTTCAAGTATTATTGGCAAATCTGATTAAGGAAATTCTATTGTAGTTAAAAACTTAAGCATGTGATAACTTACAGACAATTGGATCAGTCTGATTTATACAAATACCAGTTTGGAGCTATTATCATAATACTATCACAGTCACCATTATTGGTAAAAGCCAGGCATGAAACATGATCTCAACATGTTGCATTTTTTGTCAGCTTTGTTCAACTGTACATCCATTTAAAAACTGCACATGTACATGTAGCCTGCTGCACTTACAAACATAGACTCAAACATATAGGAATCATCATTTTACATAATAATGGTACATGTTGATACGCTTTGCAACTAGAAAAAAAAGTTTTGTGTTCCAAGATTTTTAAATTCAGATGCAGTGTAACAAATTGTAATAATAATTCTTCGCAACAGTGGTCGTGAAGACCAGATCTGTTAAATGATAGGTTGTGGAGATTCAGAAACTGGTGCATTTTGCCAATAGTTGGCCGTTGTTAACATGTTACTGACCACTTCCTGTTTGTTTTAGTTTTTTGGCAGGAAATACGGAACAGGTAAGAATAAGATTTATAACAATTATTATTTCACCCCTTCTCCCAACCTCCAACCCCCCTGTAAATTACCTGGGGAATAGGCTTATACATAAGTGACTTTCTCCCAAAAAGCAAGCAAAAAATAGCGATTCAATCATGAGCTGATGAAGAAACACTTACCATATGTACCGCTGCTGTCTTTGCCGTCAGAAAACATCTGTATCCAAAAATTAGAAAAACTTTATGAGTGGAATAACAAACATTGTGGTAGTAACATATTGCTCAGTAGCTATTTGTAGAATCATCACACTTGAGGGGTTTCCGTGAAGGATAGAAGCACTTTTTTTGCCACCAGAAGTTGTTTTTCTTGAGTTTAAAACTGAATCAAGATGTTTGACCCATTCGCCCCTGAGCCGCCTGTAACCGCTCGTGCAGATCCACATCCCTTCTACCACTTGTGATGTAATTAGTTTTAGTTGTCAAAGACCACTCTCCGCTAAGTTGTGCAAGGTGAAGAGACCGTTCAAACCATACTAGAATGAGCATAATTCAGTGAGGACACCGAAGAAAAAAAGCAAAAAAACCATGTGACATTGCCCTGAACATTTCTGTGAAAATGTTGTTCCATTACCCACCTACCTTTCATTTCATCTAATTCTAAGATCCTAAAACCCTTCCTAAAAACTTTTCCCACCAAAGTGAAGTCTACTAAAAGAAAAAAAAGAAAAGAATAAAAAATGGGGCAAGAAAAGCAAAAAAAAGGGGAACGAGAGAAAGTGAAAAGTAAAAGTCAAGACTGTTGTGTCACTTTTAAACCCAAAAACTATCTTGAAGTTTTGCTTTCTGCACATTCCCCCTCTTCACAAGCTAATATTTTGCATCTGGATCACAAGGCCGCGAGACCTTTCAAACCACACTAGAATGAGGTTAATTCAGTGGAGGACACCGAAGAAAAAAAGCAAAAAAACCATGTGACAATGCCCTAAACATTTCCGTGAAAATGTTGTTCCACTACTCACCTACCTTTCATTTCATCTAATTCTAAGATCGTAAAAGCTTTCCTAAAAACTTTTCCCACCAAAATGAAGTCTACTAAAAGAAAAAAACAAGAATAAAAAATGGGGCTAGAAAAGCAACAAAAGTTTTAGCTCTTTGGAGCACGATAGTGACCAGAAAAACGTTCAACTAGCTTCAAAACGCTTTTTTCGGCAAAATTTCAAGGGCCAAATGGTTTAAGGTTATGATAGAACAGTTGTGAATTAGGGCCGTATTAATTACTCCTAAATGTCCATTTATGAATTTTAAGTCTTAGTCAGTCATAATAAGTCTTTTTATATCCTTAGTGAAAAAACTCTTTTTAGGTTAAGACAAAGAAAACTTAGTTAACATTTGAATAGAACATTTTTCCCTTAATTTAAATAGTGTGTAACATATTTAGGATCTCTTTCAGATTGTAGCTGCTGTGTTCGCTATTGGTCTTGCACTAAGATACCTGGTAGCATACAAAGATGAAGGAACATATGACCAAGTTGAGAAGAAAAAAGTTATACTGGTATCAGAGGACAAAACCTCCTCTTTAGCAACTGCATCTCATTTTGATGGTGGTCAAAAGGATGAATCGAGCCAAATAGAGACTGAACCATCAGAAACGGAGCATGCACATGAAAAAAGTATTGCATCAGTACAGGCTAAGGAAGTTACAGATAATTATTTATTATCAAGAACAAAAGAATTTAGTGAAGTAACTTGGAAAGATTCCAGCGTTCATGGCTTGAGAACCAAGGTGTTAAGGAGAAGAACAGTAAGTGAAGGCCATGGTTGTAATGAATCAAGTGATGATAATCTGCAGAGTGAGGAGGTGTCAATTTCTAGAACCAGTCCTTCAAGGAGGGAATACAAAGAACGTAGTTTGGAAGAGTGCAAGACAATTTTCAAACAGTCGGTATGCATTAATAAGAATTATTCAATTGATTTATTATTATTATTAATTATTAATTATTTTGATTTAGTTTATTATCTATTGTAATAAAATACATGCTGTATGCAAAAATTATGTATTATTAGAGTTATGTCATTTTCAAGCAACTAAGTTTATAGTTCTTGCATGTTGTGGTTATAACAGTAAATAAAGCCATGGAAGCCATGGCTTTGATGGTAATCATTACACTGAAATAGCAAACAACAATCTTCTGCTTATTAGTAAAAGTACAGACCACTAAACAGGAAAAAATAGACATAATTGAAGCTGTTGTATTAACTGAAGTTACAACATCTTGTAACAACATTTTCAACATTATCTCTTCACAACAGACTGTAACACCATTTTTGCTGTAACTCTTTGCGAGCAGCAACACTATTCCAGATCATTGATGTTTGTCTGTGTGTAGCCTGGGCACTTCACTTTTGGATTGTTCTCTCGATTCTTTCATCGTGAGTTTTTTTCAAGATGGAAGGTTTTTGTCTGTATGGGGCCTGGGCACCTCAAAATTTGAGGTGCCCAGGCCCTGATAAGGACTGATCTCTTAATTCTTTCATCATGATTTTTTTCGAGGTGGAATGGCCCCTGAAGTAAATATGTAAGCTCGATTAAGCATTTCAAAACAATTTCTTTTTGGCAAGACAGAAACAAAACTAAAACTTAATTTGCTTTGTTTTAAAAACATAGAACAACAATAATTCTTGGAAAATCCTGTGAGATGAAACATTGTTTAGAAATTAGTCACTTTATGCTGTCATGTTATATGTTTTTTTAGGCCAAGTTATTGGGGAGATGGGGTTGCATTGTGACATGGAAATGATTCCAATTAAAACTTATGTGTTTTTATTTTATGCAAAAGTGTAACTTGCTTATTTAGACATTATAATGGTTGAAATTACAACCTTTACTTAAAAATGGAATTCTTTCTTGTTGTTTCTATAACAGATGATATATTACACAGACTGTATTTACTGTATAAACTCTACTTCCTTTAAACTCTTCTTAAGATTTATGAATGTTATGCCCTAATTTCACAGGATGGAGTGTATACCTTAAGTGATAAAGAAATTCAGATGTTAGTAGAATCGAAAACAATTCCTGGACATCAGCTTGAAAAGGTGTTAAATAATCCTTCAAGAGCTGTAAAGATCAGGTAGACGCTACCTCTATTGAAGATGATTATTTGATTTTCAGTTGGTTATTTTCTTGCCAGCGCATATCCTCGTGGATTGCTAGTTTGATTCAAGTAGTAGTTAAGCTTTCTCAGAGTTAAACTCAGGAACTGATGCATTGTTGCCATGTACTATTCAATAGGCCATTTTTGAGCTACTTCAAGCCTCTGTTTCAAAGGGAGGCTAAGTGCAAAGCCATTGATCAATATGAAAATTATTTTTTGTTCTCGTGCAAATAAAACTCATTTTCACAAGAAAGGTGAAGCCTTGTTTTAAAAGTGAGAGTTTTTGGGAATCAGAAATGGCCTACATTGAAGTTTGGTAGGTTTGAGAACAGTGATATAGTGGGTACTCCTTCTTACTTAAAACATGCAGATAATTCAAAAGAGAATCTCTCATTTTTCCTGAATGTTGTCAATTTGTGAGCTGATCATGCATCTGGGATATTAAAAGAAAGTGAAATAATACTTGAGCTTTTTGTTTGAATACTTAGAAGTTTACAGTAGAATCTTTAACAATAATAATGTTATTGTTAATTTTGCAGACGTGAAGTAGTGTCAAAGAAGCTGCCAGCTGAAACAGATTTGGAGGAACTTCCTTGTAACCATTATGACTATGGCAGTGTATGTATATCAGCTTTCCTGCTACACTTGATTTATGACAGAGTTCCCAAATCCCAACAAAACATTGTGGGCCCATAAAAATAAAAAATGTGGTGCTTGAATATGACCTCAACAGAGTGAGATTCACGATCGTTACACTCATCATGACCCTGCCGGTATAGAAACTTTTATTGACACTGTGATCTGTTCATTTTCAGTATTGTTGTTTCTTGGAAATATGACATCTACACACTTGCTATTGTTGTATCATTTTAGAGCCAGTTCTGCCTTTCATAGATGTTTCTTTCCCTCAGGTTGTTGGAGCATGTTGTGAAAATGTCATTGGTTACATGCCTCTTCCTGTTGGCGTGGCTGGACCACTGTTACTTGATGGAAAGAACTATTATGTTCCCATGGCAACCACAGAAGGATGTCTTGTGGCAAGCACTAATCGGGGTTGCCGTGCACTTTTGGTAAGTACTCAAACATTTGAATTTTCACTTGAAAACCTTCAACTATCCTCAGCTTTTGAGATTGTTCTTTTGATTATAGAATTGGCCTGCATTGTATTTACCTAGTAGCCTTAAATTGCTTTGTTTAATTCCAGCTAAGTGGAGGTGTTAGAAGTTCTGTGTTTGCTGATGGCATGACACGAGGGCCAGTCATTAGATTTCCTTCAGCATTAATTGCAAGGTAATGCGACTTTACTGGTCATGACACAAAACTAGAAACAAAAATCATGCACAACATGAAACACTTGACTTCAGGAACTTAAGAATCATTGTCTAGTTAATTGATTATTGTTTTAATTTCTTTTATTGTTCTTTTATTTAAATTACCTTGTTTGCAGTGATGTCAAAATGTGGCTGGAAAAGGACACCAATTTTAGGGAAATCAAGCATGTTTTTGACAGTACAAGCAGGTGTGTATCATGTGGACTATCTGACTGTAGCTGTTGAAAGGTGCAATGTAATAATGTTTGTTACATTTTTGGCTAACTATACACCTTTGTTGTAGATATGCCAGACTGCAGTCAGTGAAGGGAGTTGTTGCTGGTCGCTTGTTATTTGTCAGATTTGTTGCCTCAACTGGAGATGCAATGGGAATGAATATGGTGTCAAAGGTATTCAATTTCTTCTGGTTTTAAGTGGACAGTGCTTTCTATGGGAACTTAAAATTTTATATGAAAGTAACTCCTCCTGGTGCTCTGATGCCCAGCAAAACCAAACTAACCTCCAATCTGAGTCTTTGTAAGCACAGTCTTTAATTCATTACTAATATATTCATGCTAGTGTTTTATCCAATACCTACATGTATGCGGTAGGTACCTCAGGGTTAATATAAAACCCTACTTCTTTGTCATTTGGGTTAAATATAACAGCTTTTCAAATACTATCGCAATATTTCAGGGAACAGAGAAAGCACTTCATTGCTTGCAAGGACATTTCCCAACAATGGAAGTGTTGAGTTTAAGTGGCAACTTTTGTTCAGATAAGAAAGCAACTGGTGTGAACTGGATTGAAGGGAGAGGGAAGTCTGTTGTGTGTGAAGCTATTGTGCCTGGGCATGTTGTAAATAAGGTAAAATAATCTAGATCATAATTGAGTATATAATGCCTATATCAGTTTACATTATACATAAACTGTATATGTACACTTGTCCTGACTTGTACATATGTACACCAGAAGCAAAAGGCAGAGCAGTTTGTAGACCTGTGTAGTACAGTTTTCTGATTTGTTGTTTTGTTTACATCAGGTTTTAAAGACAACAGTGCCAGCACTTACAGAACTCAATGTCAGTAAAAATTTGGTTGGTTCAGCCATGGCTGGAGCCATTGGAGGATTTAATGCGCATGCAGCTAACATAGTCACAGCAGTATTTATAGCAACAGGACAGGTAATAACTTTGCTGCTTCACAAAGCTACCCTGGCCATTGTTAAGACTTGCATGTTATTTAGAAATCTTGGAACCTGTCAAATTTTGGAATAAAAGATGAGGTGAACTGCAGTCATACAACTGCAAATCACTGTTGTAATAGCAATTCAAGCGATCATAAATTAACCCAAAAAAACAGATCATCTTTCATCCCATATTTCATTCCTTTTATGGGTTAAAATGAACTCAATAAATTGGCCAGTTCACAATGTGTGGGTCTTCATAGCTCAGTGGGTAGAGCACAGCAGTGTTAACAAAAATTTATTTAACCTCATTTAAGTTGCAGTTGTTTAAATTGTTATTATAACTGTGAGATTCATACATTGGAATTGAAAGTATCTTAAATTTGAGAATTATTTAATGGTCATTTGTGACAACAGGACTTAGTCAAAACATTGCAATCTTCATAAAACTGAAGGTCATTTCTCTGTGATTGCATTTTCTTGTCAGTGATAAATCTTAATATTTAATGTTGATATGCTAAATGTTTTTATTTTTCCCTAGGATCCAGCACAGTGTGTTTCCAGCAGCAACTGTATAACATTACTTGAACCATGTGGTCCAAACAAAGAAGACCTGTACATCAGGTAGCTTAATTTTTTCCACATGTTTATGTTCCCTGTTTGTGTGCTTGTAGAGTCTTTTTGTTTTATCAACGTTTTATGGAAATTACAAAGAAAAAAACACTCTACTGTTAGGATTTGTATACATAATAACTGATTGATCTCATGTCATGTAGTTTGTCATCACTTTAGCTTGAAAGCAGTTTATCCCTGACTTGATTTGTTTTCCTGTTGTGATACCTGTCTTTTTCACTTCATTCAGCTGTACAATGCCATCATTAGAGGTTGGCACAGTTGGTGGAGGAACAGTTCTTAGTCCACAGTCAGCCTGTCTCAAGGTTTGTTAAAACATCGTTTCCTTTTACTTTTAGTTTTAAAGAGGAGAAATAAAACAACAGATTCCTTCTCTGAGATAATCCGTGGGCCAGAAGATAGATTATCAAAAATGATTCCCTTACTTTGGTTGGTTCTTGAACCTCTCCCAAGGATAAACCTTTTGAAATTCAAATAACGTATCATTAACTGGAACCGCAACGTCTTTAAGAATTTGGGTGTGGGCTTGTTTGAAAGTAGCCTGTTCCAGGCGTTCAGATCGTGGGGACAGCGCAAAGAGATGTGAGCCGCACTCCACTATCTGAACGCTTGCAACAGGCTACCCTGAAAGCCTGGGAAACACTGTTAATTTTGGTGATGTTAACCCATACTTTCACTGAATTTGTGTTTCATTATTTTGTGTTGCAGATGCTTGGTATTCAAGGAGCGAATAAATCAGAGCCTGGTAAGAATGCTACAAAGTTAGCACAAATAGTGTGCAGCACAGTGCTTGCTGGAGAATTGTCTTTACTTTCCGCTCTTGCTGCTGGCCATCTGGTTAAAAGTCACTTAACACTAAACAGGTATTGTCTTTAAGTGAGATAAACTCATAAGGACGCTATATGATGCTTAACAGATAAATAAATGAATAAATAAATAAATAAATAATGATTTGGAGGTAGCACATCCACAAAAAAGTGGTTCTTCGTCTACCTGATTCCTGGTGAGGAAAAGGGAAAACCGGAGTACCCGGAGAAAAACCAACAACAAACTAAGATCTAAATTTTGATCTCAGTAAGTGGGTACCATTCAGATCTTTCACGCAGTCAGGTCTGTATAATATAACAGGCCCTTAATGTTATATGGAGATGGTACTTTTGGTAACAGTTTATACTGAACATATTGTATTAGATTAATTTGGTTGTTGTTGTTGTTCTCTGTCTTGCTGTTAATACCGTCGTATGTTATTTCTTTCTTTAGATCAACAGTGAATCTAGCGGAAGATGCAAGCAAGAACTGTGCTGTATTATAGCTGAACCTAATAGTATCAGTCCACTCGTGGGTCAAGCTGGAGAAGAACAGAATTTTTTGGTCTAGACAGTTTTTCTGACGGACATTTCTTTGTGAAATTCGCTTGTTTAGAAATTTTCAAACGAACAGGAACGGTTGATCCATGCGGTATCAAAAGATGGGGATCACTTAGGAAAACAAAAGAATTAAATAACTCCTACTAGGAAAATGGAAAAGCAAGTTTCAAAAGAGAAAGTTTACTATAGTTTCTTTAACTAAAACTAGTAATAACCAAAGGTTAGAGAGTGCGGGCGACAACGATCGAAGGTGCTTTGCGTAAGTTTCACAAGACAGATGTTCAAAACACGCTTGATCAGATTGCGAGTGATAGAAGGTCCAAACGACTGCTGGCCATATACATGTGACGCATGCGTAATAACAACCAGGAGATTAGGATTGCAGGCTCCTCTTGTCGCCCGCAAATAGAGAAATGGAAAAATCCTTTCATTAGATAAGAAATTAGGTCTTTTCAAGTATTATTTATTAAAAAAAAAACAGTTCATCGTTAATAAACAAAAGAATAGATATTTTATTTTATATTGTACAGTAAATATAACTCTTAATTCTACAAGTACGAATAAATTCTTGTGGATGATTTCCATTCAGAAAAGGGTGTCCGCTATTTTACTCTACTCTGTCTTTGTTTCTCAACGCCTAGTCTCCCGCTCGCTTGCCATTTTAGCATCTGTCATGCAGGCTATTGCAGGTCTGTAAAAACAGTAATTCGGTAAAGCCCCATCAAAGAACAGTAGCCTGGACGTCGATAAAAACCTCTGATTGGGTGAACTGATTTTAAATCAGCCAATGAGAAGCACCACTTAGCATGTGTTTAGAGTCTCTCCTGGAATGATGACGAGAAGTGTTTGTTAAAGTCAATCCTAAGTAGTAGCTGAGCTAAATGGGGACTGGCTTGATGACTGCGCACACTTGACAGGATTTGAAACAAAAGAACAGTCTGTCTTTCATAAGTCTGCAAAATCAAGAAGACAAAAGAGAAATTTAGGCGCGTTCGATTGACCGTATTCCGCAATAAGAGTACAAGGAGTTTCGGCTTACATTGCATTGTAAAATCTAGAAATCTGGTGGACATCAATAACGACCCAAAATTTGAGGTTAAAAATTTTTGTCACAAATTTGCGTAACCTTGTTCCGAAGTACGATCAATCGAACACACCCTTAAATATACCATCAGTTACAGACGAGAAAAGAAAAAACAAAAGAAATTAATGTTTAACGAGTGTCTTTATATCTGATAAAGACCAAATAACCCCGAATCTAAATATTAGTATAAGAATGAGTTGATCTTTATCAGAGATTTTGAAGCCGTTCAAAAAAACTCGCAGTCGTGTATTATTAGTGTTAAAAACTAGAGGCGAAGCCGAGAATTTTTAAACCTAATAATATACTCCTTCTCGTTTTTGAAACAAAGACACCCTGAGTTGTACTGTACCTTAGTGATGTTTTCAATTTGCGCCAGTTCTCTCTCTGACAGTCCAGTGTTTCCCGTCTGAAGCAGGAGCGAGCTGAATGATTGACATAAGTTCAGGATTTCATCAAGGCAGTGCGACACCTGTCAATCAAGCGAAAGTCGGTACTATTTCTTTAAATGTAGCCTGCGTAGCAGGCGTCGAAAGGGGTAGGCTACTTTAAATGTGACTCGCCATTTCTATTTCTTATCCAACCTGCGATCAGCCGTTCGTTAGTTAGCGCGAAAGTCAGCGGCAAAGAAAACAAGGGGAAACGACCGCCTGATTGCAGGTTATTCCTTATCATGAATCCCGGTCATTTCTCAACAGAAACTTAAAGGAATGTGCCAAAACAAGCGCATGGCAGTCCCGGGATGGCAGTGCTAGCCTTAGCCTGCGAAAACATCCGTTTCTCCTCGCTCTTCGTCGCGAAACGTCCCCAGCGGCGAAGAGCGAGGAGAAACGGATGTTTTTGCAGGCTATGCTAGCCTGTATATAGTGGCAAAAGGAATAAAAAAAAAACTCCAGACCTTTTACCAGTCTTGCAGACTTTATCTCTGTTTTCCAGACTTTTTCCTGGTCTGGAAATTGTTCTACAAATTTCAAGACTTTTTCAAGAATTCAAGACTCTGCACGATCCCTGTTGCCCGTTTGTTGCGATGCCAGTTTCCAGTGCTAATCATCAGCCGAAGCCCTAACTTTTAGCCACTTAAAGGTGATAGTTTATTACTTATATGGAAAGCTATTTGTGATAGCGCGGTCAGTAATCTTCAGTGGATATCTGAACTAAAATTACTTAAACCAATTTGAATTCAGCAGTGAATAAACAATCGAGTTAAATGTTGCACGCGACCACTCCAAACCTACGTTGAACGCGACCACTTGCTGCGACGATGTTATGTCGAATGGCATCTAGTCTAATTTATTTTACATTGCTTTTCTTTGCGTCGCTACGCTGTGTGTTTTCCACACTTTCTAGTTTATAACAAAATGTGCACGCGTTGTAACATGGCGGCGATTTTCGTCACAAAAAGTGACAAAAATGCCTTGCAGAATTGCCGGATTTCCGCAGTTTCACAGCTACTTCGTTCACTCTTCAAGTGGAGCGCAAAAAATTTGCCTTTAAATACAGCTGTTAACCACGAAATAAGTAAACGATACTTTGGGGTTTGTCGAGAGAAAAATATTGAACAAGAGTTTCGTTGATGACAAATAAGACATAGGAAATTCGTGAAAATTTGTGTTGTTAGTTGAAAGTTTTAGATGTCCGATCTGAATGTTTTTGTACGTGGAAATAAGTTAATGTGTTCTTAAACATTAAAAGATGGCCTTCTAAAGTTGGAATAACGAAGCTGTTTCTCTTACAATGAATATGAACTTTAAAAATGTAGTGTAAAAATAGCTAAGTGGTCTGGTGATAAAGCTACATGGAAGTGTCGACGACGAGTCTTTGCCGACGTAAGTGTCGTTTCCTGTTGCTTTAATCCTTGGTATGTCAGTGAACTTCTTATTTAATAATAGAGGATTTGCTTTCCTACATGTAATTATCTTAGGAATTAACCAAAGTATTTTGGTTCAGTAACCCTGACGCCTGATGATCTCTCACTGGTTTCCGTTTGCATGCCTGTCTGACGTCTGTGGAAGTTTGTCAGAACAAAATTAAATCGGCACCCAAATAAAGACGTCTTAAGACTAGCATTTTCACGATAGGGTTTGTATGTAAAAGGATTGTAAAATTAAAGCATTGTCACTTCGATGTTATGCAAAATGCGTTTTTACGAAGCTCTACTCATTAACTTTGGCATTCTTCACCTGCAAACCTGCAGAATAAAATATTTATTTGTTTACAAGTTTTTGAAAAAAGAAAGCCAAATCTTTTTAATTCAGATTCTTTACCGGTTTCATGAGCAGAAATGACTGCGCCATGAGCGTAGTAACAAACTGATCATGCGCCAGACGGATTGATTCAAAGTCTCTTGTGCTGTTTATTTTCTCCACGAGTTGGGTGTACTGTGCTTCTAAAACGTCCACCTACAAATGAAAATAAGAGGCCTGTTAATTTTTAACGCTTGTTTCGGAACATCAAATGAATTACAATAATAGTCAGGGTTATGCCAAGAAAGGTCATTGCATGGTAAAATCTGAGATGTAGTGAATAAAACGGATACCGTACAATTCCGAGAATAAGCCCCTCCATGTATAAGCCCCTCCAAATATAAGCCCCCCAAACCGGTAACCCAAAAAACCCTCCGTTAAATCGTCCCTCCAAATATAAGCCCCCTGGGGGCTTGTACTAGGAAAATTGCCCTCAAATACAAAGTAAAACAAAGCAAAAACGGTAAATTTCCTTCCAACTATAGGCTAGCCTAATCGATGTTGAAACGCAAATTTCCCTCCGTAGATAAGCCCCTCCGAATATAAGCCCCTCAAAAAATAAGCCCCTCAAAAAGAGCCTTTGAAAAATATAAGCCGCGGGGCTTATTTTCGGAATTTTACGGTATTTTAAAAGTACACTGACGAGAGCAGTAGTCCAATTTTGCATTTGATACAGCGCTCCAAGCTGCGGTGCCAAAGCGATGTCTTTTATTAATTAGTCTTTTTGGTCTTTTTAAAGTTCAAGTACGATATATGAACATTTGCATGAAATAATTTAGGCTCTGTTGTTTTTTTTATTATTTGCTCTTTTCACGTTGGGTCTAACCTTGACATATTGAATGCACCCCAAAATTTTGTTGCGATAGTTGGACACTTTGAATATTTCAAACTTTACATGTAATAAGAGTCCTTTTTTCTGGCGACCAATGTTTTATGCCTGTCAACCATTTATGAATTTTGGTCACCAAAATGGCGACTTAAAAATGGTTGAACTTGGAATACTGTGATATATGATTGCTTGACTCCTTTACCTGAAGATAATATTGTAAATTATCCACTAGGAAGGCCATGTGCATCCTTGAAAGCCATATCTTTGTCATATTTGATATCTGTGCGTTGGATAAATGTTTAGTGCCCATGTAAGCTGCCCACACTTGTTGAAGGTCCAACTGAGTACGCTTTACTTTCAACAAGAATCTAAACAGACTGTTGTACCTAAACATTAAATAAATTCACTGTAATTTACTCTATGACAAAATAGTATAATATAGATGGAGGACAAGGGGGTGGCAGCTCTGAAGAATAGAAGGCGGGAGGAGTACGGGAGGTGAGAGAGAGTGTCCCAGAGTGTCTACAAGGTTGTGTGCCCAATAAGAGAATTGATTGCATCTGTCTATGCAACTGGATGGAACTCCTGGGGTTTCTCATGTACATGTATGGGCATGTGTGGCTTTGGTTTTCAAGCAGCTTAGGTAGTTTAGATTATGACAGGGTAGAGAAGTCCCAGGGTTTTGGTCTAGGATAGCATACTATCTTTGGTGAAGAATTGATGACACACATATACAAGAACTGAAACTGAAGTACAGGGTACAGTACACATAGAGCTAGTATCCTACATCACCATCACTTTGGCTACAATAGAGGTTGCATAGGACACTATAAACACTTTTGGTCTTTCGTCTTAAATAGGCTGGCAAATTTCAATGGGTGTATGAGACAAAACAAAGCCTTTATAACAGTAACTTACTTTTCTAGAATAGCAGGCTGGAAAAGAATGTGCAATGGCCACTGTACATCATACTGGAGCTTAACACAATCCCAGCCTGATATGACTACAGCTGATGAGTCTGTAGATAACAAAAACCGTCAACTTGAAACATCAAAAGAAGGTAATGGGAACAAAACTTAAAAAACGAACCGTAAATACCTGTAGCTGTAGCAGTTCTCTTCTTCTTCTCCCGCTGAGTAATCTCTTTGTCGATCACAATAGTAAACAATGACGCAGCTTCATCATCATCTGGAAGAAACTGAGAAATATTCCAATCAAAAACAGACTTTCCTGACTTCTGAATACTAAGAGTAATTGTTTGCTATTTTCACTCTTTAAACTCATCGCCAATAGATGAGCTTGGGAACTGGTGCTTTCAAGGTTGGACCGGAACCTGAATGCCTTAGGCATAGCAAGGAGGTATCCATGGCAACCCTGCAAGTGGGAAACATCCCCGAATGCAGCCGCCAACTGGCACTGTCACACTGACAGAATTCAGTGGAAAATACTCTCCTGACCCCATACTTATCAATGCATAGAAGGGAAGGGATGGGCTGGGAGCCAGAATACGCAAAGATCAGCTCAAAAATGCCAGCGTGAGATGCAATGTAAGTCACAAGATAAGCAAAAGGCCGCTGCGGTAACCCCACAGATCATGTACGCTTGAGAAGCAGACCGCTGACCGCATTGGCTTGCAATTTAACTGCCTAAATTACATTTAGCCACATTTAGAATTGGTAAATTTGATTGCTTTTAACACCACATAATTCCTAACAAACACATTTTGAATAAATAAAAGTTTTCTGCAACACACCTTGCTAAGAACTTGCAGAAAAGCAGCATGGGCATCTTTAAGAGATCAAAATGTTAGAAATAATTATGTGATGTTAAGAAACATAACTAAGAACAGGGAAACAAACATGTTATTTATACATCCCCCATTAACCAGTTTATCTACTTCGCAAGAGGATTTCACAAGTAGAACTGTAACAGGGTAACCAAAGGTATAGGAGGAGGGAGGGGTGGAGGATGGCTAGGGTGGATGATGGGTACTGAATTGAGCGTTCAATAAAAATACTACTGGACAGGTATACCATGAAACAGAAGAAAGTAATATATCAAGCATGAGATGCAGTGTTTCATCTGGTGAAGAGAGTTGAAAATACGACACGCAGCGGAGTATTTTTGATGAACTTTGAGGTGTTTCATCTGGTGAAAACACTGTCGAATGCTTGATATTACTTCTCAAACAAAATGATTTTAGAAGGACAAATTCAGGATGCAAAAATGACCAGTTTTTCATCTGATTTCCATACACTCATTAAACATTAATTTCCTTAGTATTTTCTACATGAATTATTAATGAGTTTGAGGAGTTTAATAGAGTGTTCTTTTCTACACTCATTTCCTCTACCAGAGTTAAAGAATTAAGACTTTCTAATAAGTGCATAAGGGATACATCATGTGACCAGCTTACCATGAGAGGTGTTGTCTGATGGAGGTAGTTTTAGTAAACTTCTTGCATGTTCTATAAATGCTGAGAATAGCTCTCCTCTTCCCAATAAGAAAAACTCCTTCAAAATCTGAAACAGAGGTTAGCGAAGAAAGTTAAGATTAAGATAATAACAAATCTCTAAATAAAAACAGTTACCAGTACTTTAACGAAACAATAATAATAACTCCAGCCAGGTTACGTGACACATATACCTTTAGATGCTTCAATAAATTCACATCTTCAACAACAAGTTTCCAAAGATGCTGAAATTTGAATTAACAAAGTGGATTAATTTTGTATTAATGGTGGTTACTTTTAAACCAGTCTTAGACCTAGGGAGTGTTCAGTGTTTGCAGGGAGGAGTGCAGATTTATACGAATGTTTGACTGATAGACCACAGTGTTCTCAGATTGGAAGAACTGAGGTTATTGGATGTCAAACATGCACTACTCCACTGTAAGGTTGTGAGGGTGGACAACACCTTATCATCATGAAAACACACTCATGGGGGAGTCCCCCAAGGTACTCTATTGGGGTTAACATTGTTTTCAATCATGATATACCGTACATGTATTTGGAACCTGAGGGGTGAAATGTGTGGATGAGACAACAAAGCTAGTATTTATCACTGAGAACTCTCACTGGACAACTGTTCGTGAAGTGCATTCAGTCCTAATTTTTAACCCAAAATATGCAACAAGAGCCAAATATGTTAACTGGTGCACAAGAAGTTGAGAAAGTGTTCGTGGCTATACATTGCAAGGTGTTATCATTACAGCAAACTTTTGGAATGATCAAGTAGATTATATATCTATGGCTTCTAAGAAGTTAAGAGGTTGAAGGAAATTTCCCTTATCGCATGACCAGTGAGATGCAATAGCCTGATGAGGGTTGTAACGTGTTATCAGTAACAAATTTTTGCAGTTGTTCCTCAGAAGTCATTTTGCAGGGAAACCAGTGGTGGCCTTGCAAAATGTCAGGTGTTCCCTTAGCCTAATTGACAACCATTACAATGATGATGACAATAATGATTATTTTGATAGCAAATATGACAGCGATTTCAATTGGGCAGTTTGAATTTTAAACCTTTCAAGCCCCTTACCATTATTTAGCAATAATGACTTTTCTGGCATTTCGTCCAACACTACAGTCATCTTTGCCGATCAGTATGTTAATTCTCATGACCTTACTGCTTGATTAGTTATACATTGTCTAAAGAAAGAAAAAGTTGCATAACTTAATACATACCTCAGCAACACATAACCTGATCTTGTCAATTTCATTCTCAAACAACATCAAATTGAACTTAGGCTGCTGCTGTAGGCCATATAAAGATTTGGTGAATTCCTCTTCTTTCTCCTGGATAACAGAACCTACACAAATTTTGTCAAATTCCTTGACATTAGCATTTATCAACTCACATACAAGTTAAATTGAAGTTCCAGGAGTACCTTACTTACTTCTCTGAAGAGAATTTTTTGTTTGCTTGGATCCTTTAAACATCCCAACTGATTCTCCTATAAACAAAACCTACAAAACAGATGGTCAGTAGAATTAAATGGCATTGAACTATTCACTGTTTTAAAGGACAAGCTACCCACTAGATAAATCGCTATCCAGCCGATAAGTATTACGGACATCAATTACGCTAGATCCGCTGGATAGAGATTTATCCGATGGATAGTGCTATCCAACGTTTGAACAACCAGGGCCAGAACTTGAGGAGTTACAAACCTTATCAGCAACCCTGGTTGGAATGTAAGATGGCAGCATTTCTGCGTTGATTCTAAACTTCCACTGTGCCGGAGCATCCTTTTTCACTTCACCCTCCTACAACAAAAGATATTGCTCACAGTAATTTAAGGAATAATAACACTGTTTCAATTCTTTCATCTCCCACTAAAGACCACCACAGATCAACCTTACCTGACTGAGTGGGAGGGATAAGTACCAAGCACAGCTCTGAAGCTGTACCCAGCTGCCATTTGCGCAGCTGTACCCCATTTTTCTTTAGATACATGTACCTATGCCTGGCTTTAATTTTTCTAGTGCAAAATCCTAACAATGAAACATATTTAATAGAGGTATTCTCCCCTTTTTGCCCTCTTCTTGGTAGGTGGTACATATAAAGGTCAGTACATTGGACCTAGTGTATAATCTGGTCACCTATGCCTCACGCACACCCTAGTGATTACCTCTAAGACAAACACATTGTGCCACATTAGACTCCCTCCTCCAAAACCTAATACACTCTAGCAACCCATCCATGCCAGGTGTGGTGAACACATCCTATTTTCTTTGGTCATAATGTATGAGTATTCCTTTCTCCCATAATATTATTATTTTCCCACCCCCTCAAAATGACAGACTGTTCTACTATCAAATGGGTGTAGCTTAGCTGATGCTCTCACCAATATTTCAGTAAGCTGCCTTCCAGTGATTCCACGTATCCCTAGGTCAGTGCTGCTAGTCCCTGCTCCGTCAGTTGTTTTATCAACTGTTTGATCATCAGCAAAAGTTACTTCTTTGATGAAGAACTCACCATGTTTATCAATGAGAATACCATGTAGCAACCATGCACTAAGTTGGTGATACATCACACCATGACACACAAACAGGATTCTAAAGTGAATTTAAACAAACACCAAGGTATAAATTGAAACTCAAATAAGATCATTGCAGTACATTATAGTTGGTGGTGATCATTAAGAGTTTTGTTTTCCTCTAGGTAAAGGCTTAGACATCTTCCCACATAAAACATTTTATATTTTAGGTTCAGACAGGAATTTCTCTCCATAACTTTTTTAACATTAAAATGGCGCTTTTTTTACTTGCCTTTACTCACTGGTATTAAAAATAACTCGTAAGTCATTGCAAAGTTCATTGGAACTAAACGCGTATTTTAGTGTTCATCTTACAAAGTAGACAGCACAAAAGAATGTCCTCCTCAACAGTACCTCTCTAAGGCATATCTCACATCAGGGATCCCACAGACACAGCTTTGTTGTAAAACATCCAGAATTTGACATCCTAAGGCCTAATCACCAAAAGATACAAAGATACAAATTACTGGTTAGAAATAATTACGGCTCCCAGACCAATTAATAAGCTCTTGTACAACAACTTCAATAAACAAAACTTTAACATTCCTCCATGTAACTTAATTTCTATAACTGCCCATAACTATAGAATGTACAAAGACTGCATAAATTTATTTATTAGCATTTATTTAGCATAATTTAGAAATGTAAGGACATTGATTTGTGTACCTTACTAACTTGGATTTTCTCAATGACTGACCACAGCGAAGGGAACAATACTTGATACTAAAACATACAAAAATCAACTTAATACTTTATTTAAAGTATCAATCCACAAGATCATCTCAATAGAGCTAGCCACTCAACATTCACTGTTTTATGTCCCTGTTCTAAATCACTTTTAATAAGCACAAAGAAAAGAGACATCATACAGTTAACTATCACCACATCATTTGTATAGAAAACTTTGATATTTGATGCATTTTCTTCAAAAAGCAAATTTAAAACCCAGGGGTGAATGGAATGGGCTCCAATTCTTTTAGAGCCATTTCAAAGGACCAATAAATGGAGGGAGAATAATTAGCAATTAATGAATGAGGCTGAGTAGGATATGAAGAATTAAGTAGGTTGAGGAGGGTGTTATCCTCAGAGGCCAAAGGCCAAGGTGGATTAAACACCCTCCGAGATCTGCTTACTTCTTCATATCCTAGGAAAGCCGAATTCATTAATTGCTTTATTATTCATTCAAAATAATTCCTAGTTTAAAACATAGCTAAAACATGCTTTTGATAGTGTATCTTTAGGTTTGTCCTGCTCCGCAAATATTCTCCAAATAGCAGATGTTGCCCTCCGAGTTGTCTTCTTGCTGTTTTTGCCATGTTTTTAGCCATTATTTTGCCTAGTTCCAGCTGTAGTTCTTACTCTTGAAATGAGTTGAAAAGTCTGCCGTTTTTTTTTTTTCACAACCAAAACAACTCAACCTCATCCCCAGGTCTTCTCGGTAACAGTGCCTTAACCTGTAGCGGGCTGCATTTTTGACGTCATTTCCTCGTTAAACACAAAATTCTTTCAAATTTGGTCATCAGTAACTGGTTATGGTGAATTGTGCATGTGCTTTTAGCCAATCAGAATTGGGGAAATATTTTTAATGAATAATAAATACACCTTGCTCGATGGTTTAGCATATAATACGTGCGGATATTTTGCGAGTTGCGTAATATTTTTCCAAGCCCCGCAGGGATGAGGAAAAATATGAGCAATGAGCAAAATGTCCACTTGTATTATATGCTAAACCATCGAATAAGAGGTTCATTATTCCACTACAAAAAAAAATTATCTGGCAATTGGCTTCTATTTTTTGGTAAGAGTATTCAGAGACATCCTGATTCTGTCTGTGAGAATGACGTCAACAATTAGCAAAATGCTCGCCCATATTATATGCCAAACCATTGAATGAGAGCTTAATTATTTTACTGCAAAAGAAAAATGGTATTTTGGCTTCTATTTACTAATGAGAGTATCCAAAACATCCTGATTCTGTCAGCCACAGTTGCTCCTTTTGCATCCGCCGGTATTCGCCCTGTTGTAAACCGGTTAAACCAGGACACCACGGTGTATTACGGCCTCATATTTTGCTTGTTCTCTTGACCTTATATGGTAAAATGACATAATAGTGGAATAATAAAGTATATTATTGAAGGCTGGGGTGCCTGTGATAAAGTCCCACGTGACTTTTGATACATTGACAGTTTTTCCTCTAACAAAGCAGTTTCAAAATCATCAAAATTTATATTTGGTATTGAGGCTGAAGGGAATAAAACAAAACAAATGAATTATTCATCTCTTAATCTCAATGCAATTCTGTTTCATTCCCCTTAACCTCAGAGTCAAGTATGAATTTAAAGATTTTGAAACTGGCCTATTTGCCTGGTTGCATTTTAAGCATTAAATATATTCTGCTCAAATTTGAGTCACGCACAGCCTTATTCCGCACACTTTAGCAAAATGTAATTATTAAGTTTCAAAAATTTAACCAACCTGTTCTAAACTGTGTTCAATGTAGGTCAGAGGAAGTTTGGGATCTCTTAGAATCTGTGTAGTTTTAAAAAAATACATTAGTCACAGTGACCTCAGTGAAATGCTTACTAGAATGTTTAACTCAGACTTGTACATAATTTAAATTAAAGTACCTGTTTCTCTAAATCAATCAGGTCTTTCCTGTAGGAGTCAAGTACTTGATCCAACCCAGTACAGAAGGCTTGAATATATAAACCAAATGGTTCCCCTAGATTGGTTCCTGACGAGAAATGTGTTCAGTCACAACTTGTTTATTGGTGAGTACTAGTTCTAAGATCACCTACATCTGCTTGAAATGATAGACAAATCTGTAAATTGATTTGGAAGTTAAAAATCAGAGAGGTAATTAAAGAAAGGTATGATAAAAAGTGACTGGCAACACCAGAGGAGAGAAGAAATAAAAAAAACTAGAGAAATAAGATATAATGATGATTTGGCACCAAATTTGGAAAAAAAGCTTTTAATAATACATGTGCTCACCATCTCCTGAATCTTCCCTGATAAAAGGAGATACTTCTGTAAACTTCTTACAAAATGTCTGAAACTTTTGAAAGTACGAGCCAAGTCTGCAGATTCTGTTAAGAAGATCTACCTCACTCTCATGAATAAAGGGCAAATCAGCAGCAACCTAAAAATGAAACAATACATCTAAATACAGCTATAATATGTCCTTTCTCATTTTATTTCACAAAGTGAAACTAATTTAGCTTTGCCACTGGCTTGAAAGTCCCTTGGTACTGTCAGGGTTGTCAGAAAGGTTTGAAGTAGATGGCTGAGTTGTCAAAGTAAATGGCTAGTCCAGGGATATTTTATTTAAAAAACGCCATCCGTAAAGAAATGCTAAGCAGAGTAGCTGGCCGATACTACCCAAGTAGGCAACGATTTTCGCCAGTAGCTGGCTACTTTTAACAACCCTGTACTATACATTCACCTTTCTTTGTAGTGAATTTGTATTAGTTAATAATGATTTTTATTATTAAAAATTGCTGTAAACTGGTAATGAATTGAAACAGAAACCCTTCTTAATCTTGACATCTTAAAATCACTATAGCTCAGTAATGTTGTTTTCAAATTCCTTTTTTGTCAGAGAACATTTTTCTATAGTTGAACTTATGGAACTCCTTAGACAACTTTAAACTTTCACCGATTGATGGAATATTGCCACAAAATGCAAGAATTGAGATTTATATATATTTTAAAACATTTTTTTAATTTAAATAGGTCATGTATTGTCTTTGGCCCCTTGGGAAATAAAGAGTTAAATGTTACCAAAAAGCTATTTACAAAGGTCAATGAGACAGTTTGCTTTCTGGGCCTCCTGATCTACCAAAAAGATACAAAAGGTTATATTTTAGCCTCCTGATCTAGATGAAATTGAAAAGCAAGCATAGAAAGCAAAATTTTCAAGTCTCGATTTTTATTTTCACTTTTACTCCTCTCCGTCTTCTTTCATTTATCTTGCCTTGTTTTTTAGTTCCTTTTGGCTGGGCATTTAGTAGGCTACACTTCAGCTGGAAATGTTTTTGGGAAAGTTTTTCGAATCTTAGGATTTGATTCAAGGAAAGGAAGGTGGGTAGTGGAACAAGATTTTCATGGCGATTTTCGGGTCAGCATTACTTTTCTTTTTCTTTTGCCTTTTTCTTGGGCCTCCTTGACTGAATATGGTACAGTTTGAAAGATCTCTTCACTCTGCACAAGGTAAATGACCAAGTTTTCCTTGACCATCTAAACCAATGACTTCACAAGCAGTACAAGGACCATGGATCTGCACAGGCAGTTACCTGCACTTCTGGGGTGAATAGGTTAATGCCCTGTTGTTTTTGGTAACACAACTTGACACCTGGCCCATCAAAAGAGGAGGTTAACTCTATCCACTGAATAAATCCATATCAAGTGGATAAATTTCCCTAATACTTATCCACTGAATATTGATGTATCCAGTGAATAGCACTTACCAAGTTTGAGTTTAGGACCTGACAAATGCAGGTGCCACAGTTTAAACACACAAGATTCATGGGTGTTGTTAATATTAGGGATAGGGTAAAAGTTCAGCCTTCATGCTACTAGGGACCTTAAGCAACGACGGCAACGACGCAAGTTTTAAAAAACATCGCTAAAAAAAGAATTTGCGTTCTTTCAAACTTAATCACATATATTTGGACCTGCTCAACATGTTAAATGCCGTGACTTTTCCTGGAGTTGAATTCCTAAGGATTTTACTCAAGTTTGAAAAAAGAGAAAGGAAAATTTGTCGTCATATGTCCATGTCCTCCATAAAACATCAAATTAGGAGGTTTCACCTTGTAGCCGTGCAGTGGACATCAAAGAAATGTACTAAAAAGTGTGATGCACAGTACGTGCGGAGCTGTTGTTTTGATCATTAAACCTATTGTTTTTTTAAGTTTCCGTCATCGTCATCGTCATAGTTGCTTCAGGTCCCTACTATCCTTCACAGCACTGTATGTTAGGCAATCCTAGTAAGGTAACATGGCCAACCTCATTCTAGAGCCACCCCCTCCCCCTATAGATGACATTTTCTGAGGTGGGCTTCATGAGTTATTCTGAGGGGTTGCTGGGTTGGCACTAGCCTCCCACGCAGGCGTTTTTAGGGGAGCTCGTATTTCTTCCCTCCCCACAAACGCCTGCTCAACGGAAAACAACATTCCTTTCTCATTGTTTTATTTGCGTGGTAAGTGACCAATCAACAATTGTGCAATAAAGTGTTGACAGGCTAAACACGACTGAACGTGACTCTAGAGTTACCGTTTTCCTTCTTTTCTTTCCTTCGCTAAGGTTATGCAGTGCACGGAGTATTCTGAATTTTGACTAAATCTTATTTTTGCCGCTCTGAATCTAACATTTATTGCAGGTCAGAAAGCTTTCGCAGTGTTTAATGCAGATCGAGTAATTATCAGATTACCTTGCGGTCAAGGTCAACTTTCCAGAATTTGGAAAGTACAATGTGATTGGCTAAGCCTGGGAAAGGAATGTTGTTTTCCGTTGAGCAGGCGTTTGTGGGGAGGGAAGAAATACGAGCTCCCCTAAAAATGCCTGCGTGGGAGGCTAGGTTGGCACCTTCAATCTCTGGAATACATCAGAAGGATCGATATGGGAAAAGATTCCCTTTTCTGAGGAGGGGGTGGGAAATGAGCAACTTCTTAGGGAGGGACCGCCTCGTTGCTTTTGATCTTTTGTTCTTAGGAGATAAAAGTCAATTTACTTCATCGATGGAGGCAGAGTGGCTATTTGATGGGTGCCCAGCCACTAAGACTTATATATTAGACATGTTTTCGATGGCATGGGTGCAAACAGAAATACCATAATTTTTCATTTTTCCGATGTAAAAGTTGCATGAGGTCTTGATGTCTTCATATTTGTACTTCATATAGCCTGAAAATAGCCTAAAAAGTCTACTAAAATATATATAGTTACATATAATTCGCAATGCACTGTCTGTTGACTCACACCTGAAGTCCAGCAAATTTCTTATGAATGAATATTCCTCCAGATACCCCGGATAATGCCAAGAGAAGTTCGTGTAACATATTTTACCTTCAGAACATGTAATTAACTTCAAAATAATAACGCAAAAGTTCGACCGCCATCTTTGCTTTCAAACATCACCGCGCATAGGTAGTTCCAGTCTCTCTCAGCTGAGAGCCCATAATGCCGCTGCGGGCACTCGCTCATTCTCTTTCCGTGGCTTCTTCATATTCTTCTCACCGAAGAGAAGACGAACTATGAAGGTAGAAAAGTAAAAATTATTTCATCATTGAACAAAACTTTATACAGAAACTAGAAGAGTGGCTATCCCTCTTTCTATTTGTGATGTGTTCGTACTTAGATGGCTCACCGTAACTCCAGATTTACTGGATTGAATATCTTTACATTCGTGTTTTGAGCAGCTAACTTTCTCATGAGGTCCTCTTTCATTTGAAATAATAATTTCAAATTTTAAACTTTAGAAAGAGATTGAAGGCTTTTAAAGAGTGCTTTAATTTGATTTATTGGTTTTACACGTTCAGTAAAGGTAGGTAGGTAGGTAGGTAGGTAGGTAGGTAGATTATTTATTTAAAACTCGGTAAAATCTTCAGTAATAATAGAGTAAAAATCTAATCACAATTAATTAGACTAAAAACTATCGACATACTGTTTTACAAGACGGCCGAGTGAGAGTCCGACGACTCAAATACATGTTTGATTTGCTCTTTAAATTTCCTGACTGATTTAGTTTCTCTCACATTTTCGGGTAAAGAGTTCCACAACAAAGCACCGCTGTAACTGAAACTTCGTTTCAAGTAGTTAGTACGCGGCCTGGGCAACGTCAATTTATGAAAGGAATTGCGCAAATCATAGTCTGTGCTTCGTTCGTGAAATAGGTTCTGCAAGTACACTGGAGCTTGTGCATTTAGAGATTTAAACATCATTATTGCTTTATGCTTCTTTCTCCTTATAACTAATTTGTCCCATTTGAGTATATCAAGAAGCAGGCTCGAGCTAGTCCCATAGTTGGCCTTTAAAATTACTCTAGCTGCACGGTTCTGTAACTTTTGTAATTTGTCACTCAGTTGATCACTTAAGCCATCCCAAACAAGGCTACAGTAATCAAAGTGAGGTTGAATTAAGGAGTTATAGACTAGTACCGCAGTAGATTGGGAGATAAGGGGCCTAATACGTCTAAGGGCACCTATAGGCGAAGTTACCTTCTTACACAATTCGTTAACATGATTAGACCAGGAAAGCCGATTGTCAATAATGAGACCTAATGATTTTTGCGTGATCAACATTGCTGATAACTTGGTCTTCTAATTTGATGTTTATTTCGTTATGGCTTTCATGAGAAGCTTCTGGCGAGAGCCAATAACCATAAACTCGGTTTTCGCAACATTAAGACTAAGCTTATTGGCTTTTAGCCAACAGTGAAGGTTCAGTAGTTCTAAGTTAGTCTCTTGTTCAAGGTCAGCTAGAGAGGAACCAGAAATGGTAATAGTTGTATCATCTGCGAACATTTTAGCGCATGCTGAATTAAGGCAGTTTGGAAGATCGTTTATATAGATTAAGAAGAACAAAGGACCGAGAATACTACCCTGTGGGACTCCGCATCTTAGTTCGCTTGCACTGGACAGTACGCCATTAACATAACATTTCTGGCTCCTGTTACCTAGGTAGGAGGCAAAGAATCGTAGGGAACCCAGATCAAGTCCATAGTTTGCAAGTTTATGTAACAAGTAAAAGACTAGGGTTGCTGCATGTGGACAATAATTTCTAAGAATCGTAGTTAGTGTAAGAAGGAATGACCAAAGATGAGCTACAGCGGTATCTAGAATAAATATAAATGCCTCAAATAACCTAAAATTACCTAAGGCAGACAAAATGGTAGAAATAATTTCACTGACCTCCCATGTGTTTCGAAAAGATTGAATGTACTTAACTTCGTGCTAATTGTGGACAGTTGTCTTACACACTCCTTAATTTTACCGTTAAATGTTTTCAAAACAATTCAGATCAATAATTTTTCTCCACGGTGCGGCATGGAAAAATCAGTTCACCCAGCAACACAGTTTTGATTGGAGTAGAGCTGATGGTGCCAGACAGGCAAACCACGTACAGTTGTGACTGGTGCAGAGCTTGCCAAGCAAGTTTGCTTTCTCAGGTTCGACTGTAACCTGGGATTAGTCTCTAAGGCCCAGTTCAAACATCGAAGATGTTTGAACCAGGCCTAAATAAGATTTTGTATATGTAAGCTGCTAAAATTGAGCTTGATCTTAGGTTAGTATGTTTGGTACAGAGTTTGCAGCCCACAAATTGTGAATTTGCCCGGCAAAGCAGTTTTGATTGGCGCAGAACAAGTGCGCTGTCAACTCTAATGACAACTGTGTTGTTCGACAAACTGGGTGTTCTTTGCACTGTCAACTCCATGCAGGCTGACTAGAGGGCTTATGTGACATGCTAATCCCGCTGTGTTGTGTGCCAACATAACTTTGTTGCATTATTCAGGAAACATGTTACAAACATGTTTTAACAGAAAAAGTAATAATAAGTCTATTCAGTTGTTTCAAAACTAGCCTTCATAGCAGGTGCCAGTTTTTTTTGTTGTCGTTGTCGTTGTTTTTTTTGCATGGTGAAGGAAGAAATCTTAAGGATGCACATGAGGGGAGAAAAGAAGAGGGGGCTCCTGCTGCAGAGACCATTGTTTTTCATTTATGCCCCCAATAGGAAATAGAAAAGTAGGCACTTTACTGCGGGGGCCTTCTCTCCCCTTCCCGTGTTCCCCTCGCACAGCCTGTTGAAAAGATGACCAGCACCTGCTATGCAGGCTATTTCAAAACCACATGTAATGTCAGTGAAATTATATTTCAACCATTTTGTCTGTTTCAGTTAATTGTAGGTTATTTGAGACATTTATATTTACTTAAGATAATGGTTCAGCTAATTTTAGGTCGTTTCAGATACCGTTATAGCTTATTTTAGTCATTTTAGGTACTGTTATAGCTCTCGTCAGGTTATTTTAGATTATTTTAGGGCATTCCTTCCTTTTGTAACTATATCTTGAATAGTCCATTTATTTGATTTTGAAGGGCAGAGGAAACTTTGTAAGATTGTTATTTAAAGCATGCCTCAAAAATATTTTACCGTAATATTAGGGATTGAGGTGTCCCACATTGATCGTAGGTTGTTATTCTGTAGAAGGCTGATGGATGATTTATAAGATTTCCACTCAGGAAGTTATTTCTTGTTGCAGCTCAATATCTCCTACCCAGCCAGTGGGTGCCAAAAGCTCATTGAAGTAGATGATGAACGAAAAATGTAAGTGCTATCCTTATTGGGTTACCATGAGTACAACTTGTTGGTAAGAACAGGCAGAAAAAATGCTCTGAAAATGACTCGAAATGTATCAGTGTCTTTTAGTGGTACAGTAAAAGAGTTCATGGTACGGCAGGTTTCTGTGCAGTTTACTCAATATTTGTATTTTTTAGATAATGTAAATAGTCATTGTGTAGAAGTGGGTCTTGTATATTCAGCAGATGTGCGCAACACATGCCCAACTGGGCAAAACATCCAGCAAGCTCACAGGAACAAATTTGAAACTGAGGGGCACAAAGGTGTTAGTAGTGCTGGTGATGTACTCAAATGTAACAGACCAGGGGCCTATTCCTGCTTGGGGCTTCATGAATTCTGTATCCTCCCCCGCAAATAAAGTCTCTTTTAAGCGAAATTTTCTAAGAAGTTGGTTGACCATGGGCCTCTCTCCCATCCATTCATTACAGTCATGTCTAGAATTAAATGAGTAAGTACCTTAGTCTATTGTATTCTAAATATTGTATTGTAAGCAGTGTAAGTATCGTAGTGTTTGTAAGTATTTTTGATTGTTGATTGTTGATTGAATAAATGCTATTAAAGATGAAAAAACAAAACAAAACAAAACAAAACAAACAAAAAAAAAAATAGAATTAAATGGCCAATCCCTTCTCTTTTCCCACCAGCATGGGCTTAAACATACATGTAGTTAAATCAAGTAAGAGATAGAATGATGTAAACACGATTATATGCACTTGGAAATCCTTATTGAATTTCTTTTGTTTGTGATTGCAGCCGTAATTTTTATGAGAAGCGTATTTCTGCTGAGTGCAGTGCTGAATGCCTTGGTGAGGAATGGAAGGTCAGTGGACTACAAACCCTCTTGGGGTGGTTTTCTTTATTTTTAATTGTACAGTGGTATTTAATGGTCCAGTCAGGGCTCATAGTAAAAAATATTACTTCACTTGTTTCAGAAGTCATCACAAAGGTCCTTGAATGTTTACAGTCAAACCGGGAAAACTGTGAACATCAGAAATATTTCTGGAATGTTATTGTCTCGCAAGAGAAAAGCCAATCAGGCATAAGAAAACTAAACTGCAAGCAAGAACGTTAATTAGTTTGTGGTTTTGTGGCCAGTTCGCGTGTCCTGATCTTTGCTGCGGTTGGTCATAACACAATAAACAATCCTGAGACATTTCAAGTGTTCATGCTTTTTCAAAATCTGTGGAAGATCAAGACTTGCTTGAATCAGATTACATCTTCAAGTAACAGTGATGCTAACAGGAACATTTTTTAAGACACTGCTTGTTTATCTGGTTGTGTATTAAATTCATGTATGTGACTATTGAAAATGACCAGGAAATTGAAAGTTTGTGTAAACAAATAGTTGTTGTCGGTAAAAGGTTAAATGCCATCCATTTTTTAAAGCTTATTGTTAAGAATGAGCGAGTATTCTTGTGTCTTTGATAGGGATATGTGGTGAGAATCTCTGGAGGAAATGACAAGCAGGGATTTCCAATGAAGCAGGGAGTCATGACAAATGGTCGTGTCCGCCTTCTGCTTTCAAAGGGTCATTCCTGCTACAGACCACGTAGAACTGGTGAACGCAAACGCAAGTCTGTTCGTGGCTGCATTGTGGATTCTCAGCTTAGTGTGCTCAATCTGGTTATTGTCAAGAAAGGTGAAGGTGATATTCCTGGATTGACTGACACCACTGTTCCACGCCGCCTTGGACCTAAGAGAGTAGGCAAGATTAGGAAGATGTTCAATCTGTCCAAGGAAGATGATGTGCGTCAGTACGTTATCAGGAGGACACTGCCAGAGAAGGAAGGCAAGAAGACCAAGACGAAAGCCCCCAAGATCCAGCGCTTGGTCACCCCTATTGTGCTGCAGCGTAAGCGCAAGATCCTGGCCCTCAAGAAGATGAGAGCACAGAAAGCTAAGCAGGAATATGCTGAGTACACAAGGCTGCTGGCCAAGAGAGCTAAGGAGGCAAAGGAAAAACGCCATGAAATGCTGAAGAAGAAGCGTGCTTCCTCAAGTCATCGGGAGTCCGTGAGCAAATGAGTTCTGTATAAATTTTCAAACAGCAATTAAAGATGAAGATCATTGCAAAGTATGCAGTTGTGCCCTGATTTTACAAACTATTCATTAGAAACTAGCCCACAAGGACATACTACAAAAAACCCTGGAATTGTGTGGTGTTTGTTGTCCCCTAATCTGCAGCTCCTCAGGTGTCACAGTCACTCTGCAGTTTACGTTTGTTATGCTTTAGGTGATTACAATACCCTAAAAAATCCCTGTTATCAAAACTTCGTTTTGCAAAAGCAGAGTCTTGCATCAATATTTTACTCTGCTTCTCTCTGTTTTTTTAACCTAAGAGTGAATATGTTAAGTGGCGAAAATCTTCTGGGCACCACCAGTTGGAGGTGAACTATGACCCTCCAGAACCTGTTCAGATACTCAAGCCACTGTGTTTTGAGAGGCTTGTGCAACAGTAGAAACTCTGCATTGGCTTGCACTAAAAGTGTTTTATGTCATTTTATCCTGCCTCGTTGCCAGTCGCTCACAATCACTTTTTGGGGGATATTTGAGTTTCCCTCTCCGGCACTTTTCGCTTGTCTCCAGCTCTTGCCTGTTCCAAGCTCTCAAATAGTGGGGAAGACGCAAAAGAAAAAGGCAGGCGAAAAGTTGGCGGGGCGGGGGAAAAGGAGAAAAAAGTTTCCTCCCATTTTATTTTTGTGTTTGCACTTTCTCAATTCAGCAAACCTGACCATCTCGGAGCCTGGAACAGGCCACTCCAGCTCTCGCTTTTCGTTTCTCAGTTGCTCCCCGCTGAGCCTTGGGAAAGCTTGTTGAGGAGGCAGTCATTTTATCCATGAGCGGGCAAGTTGAAGAAGCAAATGCTGTGTTTCAACTGGTTACCCAAGTGAGCAAGATAGGCCTATCTTACCTGTGCAAGATTTCCTGTTTTGTCCCACAAGAACCGACTTTGTTTAGACCGCATGATAAATCTCTCACCTGTATTGACCATGCTTATTAATTTTGGTCAAGATGGCTGGATATTTGTCTCGCTCTTTTTTTGTAACTTTATTGGCTTATCGACTTGGTCCATAAAGATGCAAATGGAAAAAAGAAAAATTAATTGAGGTTTCTGGAAAACTGCCCACCTACCGCTCCCCTAACTCAACATTAGCATTTGTGTCTTACTTGGGGAAAAATGTTGGGTTAGGCGAGGGGTACGTGGGCAGTTTCCTAGAAACCTAAATTGATCCCCCCAACAATGTGCAAATTGAGAAAAAGAAACTTGGTGCCAATATCAAGCCATCTTGACAAAACAAGCTTGGTCAGTAACGCATATGCATATAGTTACATGAAAACATAGTTATACATTCTCCCAAAAATTGCAGCACATTAACGTGCAAATACAGCTTCTGAAGCAATGAGCAGCTGCTGTTTTTGCAGCATAGTAACAACGGTGCCTCAAAGATTGTAAATTTCTTGACTACTCCACCCTCGTACAGCTATCAGTATTAATTTAACTTGACCCCCTACAAAAAAGACAACTACTGTCTACAGAACAAAAAATTCATTCACTTTATTGATGATACGTTTTTCACTACACTTTGTTGTAGGTGAAGAATATCTTGAATGATAAGCCAGTTTAATTTTCAATGTGCACAACTACCAGTAACCACAGTTTATCCTTGATAGACTTGAAAGAATCAAAAGGGAAACATTTGAAGATGTTACTTTGCATTTTTCAATGCTGTTTCTTCAGTCAAGAATGTTCTACTCCACTTGTGAGATGTCTAATGTGGAAGTTGACAACATATTCTGCATTGGTTTTCTGCACTGAGATAGCAAAAGGGTAGAGTGGATGAAATGTGAAAGCCACAAGTCTCTTCCCTGTTGGTGGGATGGGGCGACCCAGAAATCCTGCATGGATTTTGAACTTAAGAAGCCCTGAATCTCTGGAATAGAACCTGTAAGGAAAAAAACATACAAATTTAGCATTGTTTTTAAGAAGTAAGTACAAGAGAATAGACTGATCCATAAGTTATAAAGGTAACAAAATTGAACTATGGTATTCCAAAATAGTGGGATGTCTCTTCGTGTTCCCAAAACTTTGTGCTTTTGTTTTGTGGTGTGGGTATTTTTCAGTATCTTTTCAACCTTTTATAATATGTTATTTGGTGATTGCACCTGTCCACAATTCCCATTAAACTACAAAGAACTGACATGTGAATGACCCAATTAAAAAGAACCCTATTTAATACACAGTAAAGATTGACCGTGGACTTCAAAATGTGATCAAGTGGAAACTGTGAATAAGAATCGTTGCGTGTCCGAAGCGACACATGTTTTGTAGAGCTTTTCCAGAACAGGTCGCTCCATGAATTCTACTGGGCGTTGATTACTATGGAACAAGTGAGCACTACAGTGGTCGAAAAAAGAGAAGAATCGTAGCGCAAAGCAACAGATTACGAGTTTGCTGCTTACGCAAGTGAGACTAATTAAATATTACCCTGTAACAATGTTCCATTTGCTATTGAGTTATTTGCGATATTGTTCTTCAAAAGCTAAGTAATATTTCATTTAGGGTGGATTCATTTGCAACATGTGTGTATAGCTGTCACATTTGCCTGCTGGAATTTTTTATTGATTTTAAGTTTAAAAAGAATAAAAAATTCCATTGGGCGAATGCAACAGCTATACACATATGATGCAAATGAATCCACTCTTATTTTTCACAGTGACTTGTGCCAGGGCTGGTGGGGGAAATTAACCAGGGAGGAAAAAGGACTTAACTCTCCCATATTTTAGTGTCAAGACAAGTCTGCATTTTGAGTAGAGCATGGTCAGTAACACAGGAAAAAATATCAGATTCCCATTTTTGAATATTTTAGGGTATTTAACCCATTCACTCCTGGAGATTTTGCCGAAAAACGTGTTTTGAAGCTAGTCGAGTGGTTTTCTGGTCACTGTCGTGCTATAAAGAGCTAAAACTTACCACAAACCTGTTTACAGGTCGTACACTTGGCGGCCTTCTGATCCAGATGCAAAACTTCAGCTTACGAAGTTCGGGCATGCGCAGAAAGCAAAATTTTCGCTTTTTCTCCTCCCTTCTTTTTTCGCTTTTCTTGCCTCATTTTTTTTTTCTCTTGCTGGGCATTTAGTAGGCTTGATTTTGGTGGGAAGAGTTTTTAGGAAAGCTTTTAGGATCTTAGGATTAGGTGAAAGGAAAGGTAGAGGGGCAATGGAACAAGATTTTCATGGAGATTTTCAGGTCAATGTCACGTGGTTTTTTGCTTCTTTCTCCGGTGTCCTTGACTGAATTGTGCTCATTCTGGTATGGTTTGAAAGATCTCTTCACTCTACACAAGTTAGCGAAGAAAGTTGTCCTTGACCGTTAAAACTGATGACGTCACAAAGGGTAGAAAGGACCTGGATCCGCACGGGCGGTTCAGGGGCGAATGGGTTAAAGAATACCCATAAAAATCCCAAATTTGGCAAAGTCCCAACCAGGGAATTCCCAACCAAGTTCCCTGATTGGGACTTGTCTCACTCTTCCAAATTTGGGATTTTTGTGGGTATTATTTAAATACCCAAAAATATCCAAAAATGGGAATCCGTTATTTTTTCCTGTGTAAAAATGAAGCGTTTTTTTATCATTATATTATTATTATTAAAAACATTCAGGAAGCAATATTCCTCTAAATTCAACAAAATTAGCTTTTCTGTGTTCAGTATATTACTGTGTTATTTTGCATAATGATTAAATTTGACTATTTTCAATAATCAATTAACTTTTAGGCTAGCTCCTCAGAGCTCTGGGCTAGTAAACTAGAGTAGCAGCTTGCCCGAAGGGCAAGCTACCGTAATTTTTTTCATATTCATCTTACTCTGCAATCAACAAAAATTTACCTTATTGGATGATCGCCACAAGCCTTTGGCCTCTCCATCACAGATACCCACTTGTCGTCATATTTGAACAGTGACAAGTCCAAGTATGGACTGCTGCTGTAAGACTGTGAACTGATTGGCAGCTGTGCAAGAAGCCGTTTAACAGCTTCAGTGTAACCCCCATATTTGGCATTAACAATAGTATGTTTAAAACGCCTTTGAATTTGCCGAGCAAAAATGTTACTTGAAGCTGAACATGTGAACTGTGCTGGAGAATGCAACATTGCATTTCTAAATGAGTCACAGAACTGTTCGAAAAGTTCTAGCAGTTTCTCTGATGTGTTTTCAAATACAGCCAAGACCTTTGTTGACTCCATATCATATACAATGAAGAATGATGGCTGGGAGTTTGGATCAGGCACTCTCAGTGTCACAACATCCTCACTTGCATACTTAATCAGCAGAATTTTGCTGTCAAAGAGCTGCATTTTCCACATACGCAAAGATCTAAACAACTCTACATGCTGGTAAAATCTACCCATAGCTAAAGCAGTTCCTTCATTGTATGCACACCTCCACAAGTGTGCTAGTATACGGTGCTTAAGCCCATTTAGACATGTCTCCATGTAAGGTCGCATTGGTTGGCCATTAGCATCAACATTTGATCCAGTACTAGTAAGTACATATTCATCATCCTCATAACAAAATCGACCAATGGAGCGCACATCGATGAACCTTCCATCAGAGGTCACCTGAAAAATGTGTATAGCCTGCTGCTGTACTGACAGGATTGCAAGCAGATCCCTGTACAGGTATAGCCCCTGGTTGTGGGACAAGAATATTTTGTCACATTTAAAGACTCTGGAATCAGACAGCATTCCAGTTTTCATATCAACAATGTGGATAGTGTAGTCCTCCAGAGGTGATCTTGGGTTAGGTGAGACAGATTCATTGTTGCTGTAAATATCAAAGAAGAAGGGATGAGGTTCCTCGGGAACATACGACGCCGATCCAACAATAACGTAACGACTATCATCAGTAAATAAACTACACTCTCTGTTCAAATGTTCTCCATTCTGGGCAACAGTTACTACAGAACTGAGACGGAAGAAACTTGAGAACATTTTGCTTCTAATCACATTATCAGAGGGTTCACTGGCCAACAAAGTTTCGGCGGCGCTGGGACCTTGAAACTCGTACACTTCAACAGAGCTTTGGTCCAGCGAAAAAGCCACAAAATAACGACCATCTGGGGAGAATTTCCGCAAATAACAAGGAGGTGTTTCTACATTAACTACGGTGTAATTAGGAAAGATGTTCTGGGTAAACGCTCTTGCTCGGTGCCAATGAGTACCAGGTTTTGGAAAGTGAGTTTCTCTCTGCCGCAGCCTCCAAACTAAATTCTGGTTGGGTATTCTCCTTGGTTTAAACTGCAACGGCTCTGACATCTTACACATGAACTACACCCTCACACTGGTACAATATAACCACTGAAATCATAAAAAGACCAACACTCGCAAATCATCCGCCATTTATTGATCATCCGGGAATGTGGGAACTTTTGCCTGCGAAGTACTGGGGCTAACAGCTGAGTTGTCCTCTTTCCTCTCCTCCCGTTCATAGAGCCCGGTTTTCTCACTGGTTTTCTTTTATCATGGGTAAGGGATATTAGTGATGTTTTTGTTAAATCTTGGTATGATCTTGAGCTAAAATGTTATTTTTGAATCGTAGCTCTTCCATCGTTTACCTCGTTTCTGTTTGCGTCCACTCTGACCGTCCTTACGTTCGCTGGAATGCAAATGTTCAAGACTAACTTGGCATCCAGTGAGTGGATGACCATTTTGGGAGGATTAATTGGATCGCAACTATTTGTTTTCCTTCTGACTGTATCCTTTACGCTAAATTTATGTTAAGTTTAGGCTATGTGATTTATATCAGCCTGTACAGGTCGCAATATTTTTTTTTCTCTTGGTTCTTTTCTGGCCATTGACTGATTGAGGCTGTAAGGCAGAACAAAGACGTTTGCTTTTCTCTCACGTGTGTATATGTTGTGATTCAATTTTTTTCTCAGTTTAATTTTTATTTTCCTTTGTTTTTGGGTATGGAAATGTATGATAATGAGTTTACAATAAAGGAAAATAAAAATTAAACTAGGCTATATATGTTGTGGTTCAATTTTGTCCTTACCCTCTTTTACAATTCGTTGTCCTTTAAGAAACATCTCCCCACTATCATATGCTCCCCTTCCCCCCCATGCCATAATTGTCCGTATTTAAAAAATCCACAATTTCATAACTGCAGTGGACTCTGGATAACTCAAACCTTCAAGGGAAATCGAAAAAAGGTTCGACTTATCGGGAGTTAGAGTTATCGGGAGTTCAAAGAAAATAGCCGAGAGTAGGGTAAAAAACAGTTTTTACTGCACAGTGAACATCTTAGTCACATCTAATTGTAGAAATGTCAAGTGAAAATTAAAAGATACTTCTGTATTATAAATCAGAACGTAATGTAACAAACCATAGCCTAAATAGAGCATGCATTTTACTGTTTTGAGAAGAAAAGCTGCTTCACATTAGCCTGTGACAATCAACATCAGCCTCCACTAGTAAACTATACTTCTACAACACGTCAATAGGAAATCCAAAACTCAATGTTTCGGACGCCAGTAGACGGCTTTTTCCCAGCTTTTTAAGGGCTCAAAACATGGTTCGAGTTATCAAGGGTAAAATTATATAGAAAATGACCTGAGGGGAAACAAAAATTGGTTCAAGTTAGCGGGAGTTCGAGTTATCGAGGGTTTGAGTTACCGAGGGTAGAATTACAGTGAATGTATGACGGAAATCCAGGGGAAATCAATTTTGGTTCGAGTTAGCAGGTTCTAGTTAGCGAGGGTTCGAGTTATCGAGAGTCGACTGTAGTTTGATAATTATTATTATTATTATTATACAATAATAATAATTTTTTTATTATTATTGCAGTGGTGTATTGTGAATGAAATTGCACACAGTCTTCCACTAATAATCTACCCCCCCCCCCCCTTCCACCCCATACCATTTTTTTTTGGGGGGGGGGAATTCTAAAGATGGCGGGCATCATAGATTTATTGGCTGTTTTGACATTTGTCTCAAAGACTGCCTTGCAGCATATAATGATTTGTAGTTATGTGTATGTTGTGGTCTAAAAACCAGAGATAAAATTGAACAAAAACATGTACTATATACATTTTGGAATGGATTGGGGGTAGAAGGGGGGAAAGGGATAAAAAAGGTAAATATTTTTATATTTTATATTTCCCACTCACTTTTTTTTAGGTTTTGCTCTTTGTCTATGGTTTTATTTCAATTTTTTATTGGCAGCAACTAAATAAATCATTTTCTCCTTGACTCGGATGACACATTCATTAGGCTGTAGGAAATTTAGAAACTCATATGTTTGGTCGAAACTTCCAAACAAAGTTGTTTCCAGAAGGTAAGTATGTTAAACATCTTTGTGCCTTAAAGATGCAAAAACTACTCATTGAACATTTTCTGGCTTCAGGTGATCAAAATACAGAAGACTTTTTCAGCATTCCTTTGAACAAGGGCACCAACTTGAGGCTTTAATTTACAGAATGATTAAGTCAATCGATTTAACTGTGCCTTTAGAATATATCAGTAATTAAAAGCAGTTCACTGACTTCCAGACTTGTTAAAATCCAGATTTACCCCGGGGGGGGCACTTGGGTATTTTTTGGGTGGTTATGTGCCGCCCGGGACTCCAAATTGGCACCCCGTTCTAGAAAAAATTTCCCCTGAAATTGATACCCCGTTCTAGAAATAGGCCAATTTTTTATACCCCGTTCTAGAATTCGCCCTAAAACTAACACCCCGTTCTAGAAATGGGCCAATTTTTTATACTCCGTTCTAGGGTGCAACAAGAGTACAACGGTTTGCTTCCTAACGCACTGAACCGTATTTTAAAAGCAATCTGTCCTTGAATGCTTTCAAATGGCTACTTACAAAAGTGGAGAGCTTTCGTGTGTTCGAAATATTATACCCTGTTCTAGAAACCGCGTCTGAAATGGATACCCCGTGCTGAACCAGGAGCTTCAAAATCATGACCCCTTTGGGCGGCACATACCCGTATAGGTAATGTATGGGAGTACCCCCGGGAGATTTACCATGGTTTTGCTGATGTACTCTACCTCAAAGACTTTCAGTTAAATTATGTGGTAAATCATGTCACTGTTATCTTGATTCAAACTCTGTTTAGGGAATGATTTTTTCATGGTAAATTAAAGCATGTAAGTTTGAATGAAATACCAAGTTTTTTTTCTTTCAGTTATCCTGTGTCTGGTAGTAGCCATGTTTGCTTCAGGTCTAGTGCACAGAGTTTGTGTCACAACTTGGTAAGTGAGTTGTGTTGTTAATTTGAATTAGGAAAATTTCGGATAACATACAGTGGCAAGGAGAAAATAAATAGAGTAGGGCCCGATTGTCTAAAACCTAGATGTAACTTCTAATGGATGGTATTACAATGAATAGCTTTATTCCGCTGAGTGTTAGTCATAAGCTGTTCTGTCCCACTGTTCTTTGCATGCAAGTAAAAATCCAAAGTTTTCCCTTCCAAGAAAAACTTTTAATTTGAAGGTAGTAAAAAAAGTAAGATAATCAATTAAAATATAATGCTTTTTGAATGACAGGAAATTATTAATAAATTGAACCCTCAGACATGGCACTATGACCTCACTGTCACTCAGTATGCTACTGACGTGCAGCCAAAGATTTTCTTGTTTAGTCCTTCCACCACTCAATAAATGTATGGCCCGTACCTTGGTGAAAGTTATAATTTGATATCATATAATTTGAATAACCCCTGAAAAGGAACTTAGACATATTGGAATATGTGACCTCTCACGCGAAAACGTACACTAACGGCTTCCCGTTTTCGAACGGAAATCCGTTCACAAGCCGTTTCTCATCCGTTCAGAAAAAATTTGCATCCGTTCGAACGGCTTGGGCGATCCGTTTAAAAAGGAAGTAGAGCCGTTCGAACGGCTGTGTCATCCGTTCACAAAAATTGCCCAACCGTTCGAACGGCTAGTGTACCCGTTCGGAAAAATTTGCATCCGTTCGAGCGGTTTGGTCATCCGTTCACAAAAATCATCCATCCGTTCGAACGGCTTGTGCCATCCGTTCAGAAAAATTGTTTCTCCGTTCAAACGGCTGTGGCACCCGTTCAGAAAAATTTGAATCCGTTCGAACGACTTGGTCATCCGTTCAGAAAAATTATCCACCCGTTCAAAACTTCAATCAGTTGGAACCGTTCATTCAAACGCCTTGGATCATAATTAATTTTACGCTGTTCAGATGGCCTTATGCAGTGCCTTGTGGCCGGTCGTTTGCGAAACGAAGACACGAAATGGTAGTTTGCGAAATCTTGCTCTAGCCGTGCTTCGTTGCTTTCTTGCCGCAACGTAACATTGATCTCGAACCAAGCGTGAAATTCAGAACCGACCGAAAAAAGTCTGACAGAGCAACAAAAATTAATACTGTCTTGTGTAAACAACTGTTTCACCGCAATTGTTGAGTCGAAAACGTGTTCCTCTGATCCCAGGTAAACTACTAAGAAACTATTGGTGGAAGTGGCGATTTAACTCGTTTAATGACCCGCTACCAGAATCACGGGAAACAGTCTACCAAACGAAGAGAAAAGGGTTTTACCAGTAACACTTTCTAATCTTCCTGATCGCGAATGAAATTTGAGTCACTTGCAAAACTCGTTGCCTAGCACGTGACCAACATCTACTCAGTCAACTATCTGATGATTTATTTTTCGTGAACCAAAACTCTCGTCATTTTTTAAAAGGCCTTAGATTTTTTTGCAAAGAACAGTGTACAACTATGGCATAGTTCTATGAAGCGACGGTTTGTTGCTCGTTGGCCAGCACTGGTGAGAATCACGACAAGCGTGACATCTCGAAGTTTTCTGTGGCGACGTGACGCTAGTTTCAAAACGGTCTGCTATGATGCAAGCTTTACTTTCATTCATAATTCGATATTCAAAAATACTTACCGCTGCCGATTTATTCATCGTGATTTGAGCTTTTTAACATTATTTCTATTCACGTTTTCCATTTGTGATGGCCATAGCAAGTTTTTATTTAAAAGCATCAAAGCGTTTAATCGCTCTTTTTTTGTTGTTTGTCTAGAACAAGTTTGTTTATATTCTTCATTTAGCCAAAGAAGTTACTCCGGTTCGTTCATTGTAACTTTTATGTAAACTAGAAACTTTAGACTCGGAAAAAATGTTTTTTTAAAAATCCTTTTGTATGCCTACCTGTTTATTTATTAAAATAGTTGTTTGATCAAAACTGAGTATAGTAATTTGATGGCGGTATTCTCTCTCCGTGTAAACTGCGTGTCAGTGTCGCCGGCGAAGAGGTTTATCCTTTGTTCTCACGCTTTTTTGTTGCGCTACTCACTTATCTTCTAGACTCTTGTCATTGACAGACTATTATTTTCTCATGCCTCATTATTAATTTTCCTAAGAGAAAAGATGCAAAACTGAACGCTTAATATTTTAATGCGATTCAAGCTGTAAAACAACTTATTGACTGAGAAGTTGTTTACACGTGCTTTCGGTTGATGTCTGGGACTCGGGGACACGTCTATGTATCCCTTGGGGTTTGCCAGCGGTAACTTTCAGTAGTCACCAACAATTGGACAAACTTACATTTGTCCGGTAATGTACTTGTCAGTGAAATTATTTTGAAATACGCTAATCAAAACTTAATATTCTTTGCTCGCCCCACCAAAACATCAACAGCTTGCGCTTGTGATCATCCGCATGATCATCCGT